AGGAAACAACTTTCCTTGCCCAGCTTACTATGGAGCACCCATCTCTACGGATCAAATCTGGGAGGTCATCAAAGTTTGTTGATAAACATCCACGTCTTAAACAGTTCTCAAGCCATCTAAATAAATTTGGAGGTTTTCTGCTAGAAGAAAGGGTTGTGCACACCCCAATAGTTGTTGACAGACGAGGAAAATCACGTATATAGTAATCTAAGTAACACTTCTCATCCAGAAACTTGGCGATATTGCACAACAAAACAGCCAAGTGATGCAAATCCCTACACATAGATGTCAAAAATTAAAACGAGTAAGTCATATACCTATTCAATCTTAACTCTTCTTCTGATCTAGCAAACTTTAGTTTTCTGTGAGAAACTATACAGAGGAGTATTAGGCAAACAGTCTAGCATGAAACTACAGTTGTTGGTGCAAAATTGTTTTTTGTCAGGAAACCATCTACGGCTAAATCAACTTTTGTGCCACGTTTGAATCAAAGCATATGCAACAGAACTTATGTTACAGAATTTCATACTTTCATGCAACCAGAGAGAACTAATTAAGAAACGAGGAAAAACAACTCTTTTTGCAAGTTACCAGTCAAAAGATAGCTAATCATTTTGTTAGCAAAACAGGCAAGCAGTACGAAACAAAGCTTTGTGAAACCAATGTGCTTACTGTTTCCGTAGATTATCCATCTTCAAGCTCTCATAAACTGCATGGAGACAATCTAAACTCTGGACCATTAATTCACATGAGCTGCCCGATGTTTCTTCACTACAAATCTTGGAATCAAATGGGACAATTCCTTCCAGATCCAAACGATTTATTGAAGTAACACCATTGTGAAACCTAGAGTAGGTCTTATGAAATTTGCTGCTGAGAAGAAACTCCCAGGAGGACTCTGATGTTTTGGGTTGCTTCAGATGCACAACAGTAGGCTTTTGACAGATCTCCAGAAAAATGTTGCATAACGCTTCCCATTCAAAATGAATACTAGAACTTTTCTGGTCAGAATGACCATCTCCCCAAAGAAGAGAGAGAAATAAACTGTACAGATCGGATCGTAGTCCCTCAGCTATGGCTGCTATGCAATCATTTGCAAGTGACGATGAAGGTTTACCAGTTAAAGCACACCGAAAGATCTACAAGAGTATAGTATAAACAACAAGTTAAAACAAAAGACAATTTTGACTAACCCAAAAAACAAGTACTAACAATCACGTGATTTGTGTCCAAAAGGATAAAATGACTATGGTAATTGACAAAACTATCATTTGAATTTCAAAAGGATTGATATCTGTTAGTCATACCTGTGAATGGTTAACTGAGAGATTGATACATCCTAACACAGCATCAGACAATCCTGTGATCTTCAGGTCCCTGAAACCTGAATCTGTTTTTGCAGACACTCCATCCCCGAAACCAATACTTTCTCCCAACCAAGAAGGCAATACATATCTACAGAGACATTGTTTTCCTGACTACAGATGATAATATAGATAAATTAAACAGACAACATTAGGAAGATATTTAACAAAGAAAACGGTATGGTACATAACAAGAACCTACATAGAGAAAGAGGTCATTTTCTGGAGATAAAACAATGATATCCAAATGTGGAAGCAGTCCTCTTTTCACTCTACAAGGAAATAGAAAAAAGCATTGTCATACTCATCACAGGACGACAGAAATAGTCTCATTTACAGTGACAGAGAGGACAAAAAAAATTGTAAGTAGGAACTTACTGAGAACGTGTCACAACAACAGGTGCAGCAGCAATCGCAGAGACACTCCAGCTTACATCAGCCTTAACATCGAACAGGATTTCGTTATTTATTTCAACAGTTTGGAGTCCCACCGATAACAGCTTCTTTTGTTCTAGAATCAGAAAGCAAATTACTGGGACTGCATCATCAGTTGCCAAAAAGACCTGAAACATATTTTGAGGCACTTGTGAAAATCAAAAAGAATAGTAAATACTTCAGTAACAGAACCCACAAAAAGAACAATCTTCCCCAAATAAAGGTAGCACGACCAACAGCGAGAACATTAGATAGATTTGTCACCTTAGATGCAGCTTTCTTAGCACCTTTGGCTTGCCATATTCTACGAAAAGAAACCCGCTTCGGGAGAACAGCATCAGGAACAATACCGCTTGCACATGAAGCAGAAGCTTCAAGGTTTGACTCTATAAATTCGGCCGCCCACACAGAATGTTGCATCTTGCCTGAAAAACCCAAGACAAAGTATTTCAATGAAAACTACAAAAGTATGAGCCAAGCTCAGCCCGACCAGAGAAGAAACTAACAAACCTTTGTTATACGACGTCATAAGAGGTAGAAGGTCACTTGTCCAAATTGTTCTCTCATCGTAGTCCTTCATTATATTCAACTTCCCCCTCTCTTCTACATAGGTTGGCTGGAAAGTAAGTAGATGAGTTACCAGATGAAAAGTAAGTAGATGAGTTACCAGATCAAAAGTATAACCAAATATTGCATCACCGGAAAACATTTATGTGTTGTTGAGATAAAAACAAAGAAATAATATAGGTCCCGATATAAAGAAAGACTGGCATGAAATAGAAATAAAGTTACAAGGAATATCAACAAAATGATGAGTTCATTTACCCCAGGTTCCTCTAATGGATCTCTTAGAATCAGATGGGAAGACATGTATGGCATATCTCTTTTGCTAATAAGGTCATGCGTGCCTGGGGAATGGAAGTTTTGTGGTGAACTATTCCCAACTTCTTTTTTTTGGCGCAGCATCTCACGGGAACCAAGGATGGGACTAACAGAAGAAAATGGAACATGTGAGGCTGGATTCACTTCAGTAGCTTGCTGAAGAAGTAGACCATATGGTAGAGACCATATTGATTTGACAGTACGCGGAAGTGGAACAGATACAACTTCGCCTGTTGCCAGCAATTGCCAAATATCAGAAAGTAATTACTTCAGCTCGTGTTACTCAGAAAAGAGACAAATAGTACAGATTAATCAGAGATCTAGCCAACAAGTAAAAAGGAATAAGCAATATATTTCCAAGAGCAGAGGAAAGAAAAAATAGAAATTAATAGCTGCTAATCTGATTCCATAGCAGTTAATAATCTACCTGAACGTTCAAAAAGCGATAAATGCACAGAAATCTACATGAAATCGATTCCACATAATCTGATTCCATAAATTTTCATTTGTAATTACATAATTTCAAATGAATCAAGTACGGTAAAGAAAGGGACCAACTATGTGCAACAGTATGAGATCATCCTTTCATTAAAACCAAAACCATATAATAATCCATTAGGGTCTTATGGAAAAGTCGGATAAGTGCAGTAATATTATAGTTCAGGGGTATCTAGCCACAATTACCTGATGTGTTGTATATTGTTAAGCAACCAATTTGTAACACACAAAGAAAAGCTTCTGTCCCTCGACCAAGGTGGCTCCAGCACGCCTATGACATAAAAAGCTATGAGTTAAAACAATCTAGATGAAAAAGATTTTTGTCTATGTTTTTATTAATTCATGTAGAACGAACAGAATAGCTTTACACTGAAATAGACAGTATAACGCACTCACAAATACAAGCATGGTTAAGGGCAACAGAAAAACACATTACCTTAATGACGGCAGAAGACAAGGTAAACCGCTTGAGGACGCGCGAACCGCTTGTCCAGATTATGCTATCATCAAATGAAAATTTCATCGTCAGGAACAGAAACGATCAGAAATTCAGCTAGATGCGGTATACCAATATCCAATGAAATTAACTTCTTCCTAAGCATAATCCTACGGACTCTACTGGAAGAAAGAGCCAAACTTGAAGAAAAGAAAAACATTCTAAATTGAAATGATGAATTATTTGCATTACCAATGATAACAAATTCATGAAGTGCTGCATAGTTATAGAGTAATCAGCAAATTGTAAACACTTCTTACCAGTTGCCTCGGATGAAGAGCTCGTGCTCTCTCTGCCGCGAGAAGTTGGCTTCATTGCCATCAGCACCATCTCGCTCACCAGTGAGCTCAGGATCGAAGAGGAAATACTGATATGAATCGTCCGGTGATTTACCATCAGTAGCTTCGGCGATTAGACCGAAAGGTTTGAACTTTCCGAGGACAGTAAGTTGGCGAACCCCTGGAGGCATTTTTTCTCCGAAGAGCTTTTTGACAACAGGCAATGAAGATTAGTGAAGTTTAATTTACACTCTCCCGCTCTTTCCCAGTTGTATTGGCGCTTAAACCCTAGTCTTTTCTATTTTCAAAATTTTTAATTGAGAATTTCATTTCTCAAACCTGCGGGTCGAAATTGTGTTAAGAAAAGTAAGCGAGACAGAGGAAGATAACATTGAAGAAGAAGAACTGAGTATGAAGAATTGTCACTTACATTAGAAACCAGAAAGTGAGGTTTCACACGAGCTCCGAGAATTCTCGAGGCTCAAAAACTGAACGGAAAGAAGAAAGAGAAGTCCAAGCAGAGCCACGCGAGGTGACTTCAAAAAAGTATCGAAAGTCGGAAGATTTCGCCCAGTGAAAGTGAGATGTTCTCAGAGGAATTTAACCAAACACCTTCTGTGCTAGATGCTAGGAAATCTGGGACGGAGCTCTGAGTTAAAGAAAAAGGAGTTTTAAAAATTGGAAAGAAGTAAAATTTGAAGGCTTAAAGTGAAATAAAACTAAATTATTTGCTTTTGTCCCAAAAAGGCTGAAGATCTGTAACTTTCTGAGGTTTATTTATGTAATTTTTTTGTTTGGGGTTTGTTTTGAGATAAATGAAAACTTATGAGGTTTTTCTTTAACAGTTTAATCATAATTCATAAGTACAGTGTACTGTATTAACGAGACCAAAGAGATTGGTTCGGTTTTAACGGAGAAAAGAATAAAAGATAATCGCCGTTGGGACTTGGGACCAAAACTCTCCATTACGGTCAGTGACGTCACCGCCGGTCATCAATGTCAGGCCACACTTATCCTCTTCTCTCCCACTCCGATTCCCTCCCACGAAACAAAACTTCTCTTTTTTCGTTTTGTTTGTTTCTATTCCGATCTAATCCTACTCCGGACGAATGGAGACGACGCCGCAGTCAAAACCGAGTGTGTCTCACCGTCCACCGGTGGGAAGAGAAGACTGGTGGAGTGAGGAAGCGACGGCGACGCTGGTAGAAGCCTGGGGGAATCGTTACGTCAAGCTCAACCACGGAAATCTCCGGCAGAATGACTGGAAAGACGTCGCCGACGCCGTTAACTCTAGGCACGGTGATAACGGCCGTAAGAAGACCGATATACAGTGTAAGAACCGGATCGATACTTTGAAGAAGAAGTACAAAACAGAGAAAGCTAAACTCTCGCCGTCGACTTGGCGTTTCTATAACCGCCTCGATGTTCTAATCGGTCCGGTTGTGAAGAAATATGCTGGTGGAGTTGTTAAATCAGCGCCTTTTATGAACCCTAATCATCTGATTCCAACCGGATCGAAATCTACTGGAAGCTCTCTTGACAATGATGATGAGGATGATGAAGAAGATGAAGAAGATGATGATGAGGTTGGTGATTGGGAATTCGTTGCTAGGAAGCATCCTCGTGTGGAAGAGGTAGATCTGAGTGAAGGATCGACGTGTAGGGAATTAGCTACGGCTATTCTGAAGTTTGGAGAAGTTTACGAGAGAATTGAGGGGAAGAAACAACAGATGATGATTGATTTGGAGAAGCAGAGAATGGAAGTGACAAAGGAGGTAGAGTTACAACGAATGAACATGTTGATGGAGATGCAATTAGAGATTGAGAAATCAAAGCACCGGAAACGTGGAGGTGGTTCGGGTAAGAAGAACTTACATTAGGTTTTGCCTTGTGTGATCGACCTCTTGTAGAGTCTTGCACATTCAAGTCCCTTGATTAGATAAAGCTTTAGACTTTACATGGTTATTGCTGGTTAGTAATTGGCTAATTGTGAATATGTAAAAGTTTAGTGGTCTCTGCTTTTGAAGAATACCTATTTTATCGATATACAATTCAATTGAGCTTCTTTGCTTTCAATGGTCTGGCAAGAAAAAGTCTAGCTAGCATTATCTTGCTTCTTTAGCTTCGTGAAGTGTTGAACTGGGTAGAGATGACTAGATTAGGAGTGGACTTCCAGGTTTGAAATTGAGAAAATGAATCAATGTTCCTAATATTAGAACACTCTTCATTTGGTATAGAGTTCACTGAAGTTTGATATGCCCTTATTGTACAGGTAAGCAATTGTAGAATTAGATTGGTGGAGGAACTACCATGGTGAAGCAAAGAGGAATTACTTGATTCTGAAGCTCGTTAACGTGGGAGGATCCTACTGTTACTTTTGTTCTAATCTGTAGGATAAAGGTTAGAGAACTCTTTAGGATGTCTATCTTTGTTTTCTTCTACTTTCTAGCGTATTAGGGTACATTGTTGTATGTAATGGAGCAGTTCTTCCTTAAGTCTTTAGTCAAGTGTCCATGTATAATGATTGCTTCAAGCCAATTTCAAGCCAATAAGGGTTAGTCTCTCTCTTCGTTAATCAGGTTTCACCAGATGAGGGATTCTCTTTAGCAGAATCTTCTCTCAAATGAACAGAGTCAAAAAATTAGAAAGCAAAATCTGATCCAATAAATTGGCGAAAAAAAACAAAACATTAGGGGAATCAATGATGATGATCAAACACAAAATGAAGCCATGGTAAAATCATTTTTCAAGACCATTTGAGGTCATTAACATCTTATCATTTGCTTTGAGTTTGTGCTTTTCAGTTCTTGATTTTCCTTTATATTATCTTCTTCGTTTCACATTGCTTCTCTGTTTTCTTCTAGACAATGGTTTACATCTGCGTCTCTCACTGGTCTATTTAGAATGAAATTCTCTCTTCCGTTTCTTAGAACTCGCATTCTTCTCCTCTGCAGTGATTTCCCCAACCAAATCATCTTCGACCATTTTACGAACGAGAACATATAATCTAGGTTCTGAAGAATTCGGCTCTAGAAAGACCTGTTTCTGTGACAAACCCGTCGAATCCTGTAAGAGAAATACATGGAAACTTATTATATATCACTCATCTGTGAAATAACCAGAGATTTAATGCTAAAATACCTTTCCCAAGTCTCCAGCAATGTTTTCAAATGCTTGATTTGCTTCTTCTGGACTTTTAAAAACAACAGTCGCGTTATAGTAGTGACGATCTTGTTTTTTCGATGGCTGCCAAAAGAAAATCAAGAAACAACGAGAGCCTCATGAATAAAGAATTTGGATTAGAAAAATGTATATGTTGGATGGATTCATACCTTAACTTCATGTGGGATATCCCTGGAAACGACTCCATTTAACTTTTCATATGGAACATTGCAAGGGATTCTATGAAGGTAGAGCTTTGACTTCTCAGCTTCCAACATCTATATGGAATGTTGAAGACAAAAGATATGCTTTTATAATTTTAGATTGAACTAATCAAGTTTGGGACAATCCAACTTACCTCTTTAGATAGTGGAACAGAGGTCTCGACTCCATTATCTAGTATAGCAAGTACAAGTTTCATCGCAGCTTCTGCATCATGAACACAGTTGTGGGGAACACCTTCTTTCTGCACTTCATATCCCAATATACACTGAAAATGAAATAAAACAAACAACATCATATTCAGGTCAGAAATCACATACGGAATTATCTCATGAGCAGAGGTCCAGAGGATTGAGCTTTCACAGGCTTTACCTTGCACAGATAATTCAAAGAAGGTCTTTTAAGTCTTAACGGCTTTCTTGTACCGTCATAGTTATACTTAAACACAAGTGAAGTATCTATTACTCTGGCATGATCCATCTTCAATACTAAGATCAATCATAAGTAAGTATGGTTCTGAAACATATTTCAAAAAACTAGGAGCAACTGAACCATTTTTACTAACCTTTTAGATCATGGTTCAAACTTTGACCTACCAAAATTGTATCCTCAGAGAGAAACATCAGCAATTTTTCCTGCAAAAATGATTCACCAAATGTCATCAGAACAATGATCTGAAACCGCAAAACAAAAAAACAAGTCTATATATACACATTGTACCTGTATATCTACCACAGATAGAGTAGCCTTTTCAAGATCTTTAGCAGTAAGTCCAGTAATGAATGTCCTATAGTCAACAACTGGTTGATTCGGTTTCACAAATTCGTCAAGAATCACCTGATTTCATGAATTATCAATACGGTTATATATGAAAAAAGAAAAGGTATACATTGAAAATAAAGATGTAAAGAGACCTTTAAATCACGGTCAACTGCAGCAACTCTAACAACAGCTTCACTCCCATCTTCACAAAGAACCATCTCACAATCAATGGCAATCATTTCGATCTTGGTTGGTTCCATCTTTTTCTTCCCAAGCCCTGTTATAACCCAATCCTGTTTTTTGCAACTCAAAAAGCTCAGCTTTTTTTTTAATCAGTTACTCCATGCCACATGAAAAGAATAAGCTAAACACAAACCTGGGCGTTAGATGGGAACAAATAGTCTAATGGGTACTCATCATGCGTAAGAGTCATTCGAACTAGCCTCTGCACTGCCAAGCAAAATTAGTTATGAAATACTATTTACCAAACTAACTAACTGCATTACACAACCAAAATAATTATGTTTTAATCCACACCTGCTCAGTGGTCTCATCCGGAGATTTCTTTCTGAATTTCTCAAAAACATCATTGTCAAGTTTCAGAGCTCTAGCCAACAGCTGAGGCCATAATAAAATATTAAACAAGTTTGTAACTTTGAGATTAAACAAGTATCATTATCAAACAATTGTGTTGTGTGTTTTAATTTGTCTTTTAAACCTGTAAATCTTCTTTCTTCTTGAGTGTAGTAAGAAAAGCGACCAAATCATCTTTGCGCCGCTTTGAAGGATCACTCAAGCTCGAAGAACCTAGCTGTTTGTCGTAAAAATCTAAAAACTCCTTCCATGATCCGTGTTTGCCTTTTAAACCTAGCTTTTGCGCTAACTTCACCAGCTTTACTAAAACCTTAAACCCCATAAAATTAACCAAAATAGATTAGAACGAAAAGCGACCTTCGAATCCATGAAATTCTAGTTAACGTCGTATTAGAAAAAGAGACCTACCTCTCCCTCTGCCGTGGCTAGCACGTCCTCCATAACCGATTCAGACAGCGGAAAGGAAGCTTCTGACGGCGGCGACTCGCTCGCCCTCGTAAAAGAGACAGATTGACAACACGTGGATAATCTATAATGGTCACGTGACTTCACACACACAGACACAAAACAACAGTTATGGGCCTTGGGCCACATCTTTTTTTTAACTAGGCCTGTATATCTTTTCGTTGCTTTTTTATTTATTTAATAAATTAATTATTCCATATTTTACACAAGAGGACAAGAGCTTTTACACAAAAAAAACTGACAAAGAATTCCAAAAAAGCTTAAAAATCCTAAAATTTGGGTCTTGAATATATAGGATGACGACAAAGAGGACAAGAGCTTTTGGTCCGAATCCAGCGCCAAAGACAGAGTTTATGAAAAACATGACAACAATCATGTGTCTCTATAGATTCTTCGTCGTCGCATAAATCCTCAAGGCATATAGTACATTCGTTGACCGGATTAATCGATTTGGCCGGGATACAAGTAGTCCAGCTTTTACTTTCTTCCATCAAGTGATATTCAACATCTTCCGCATCAGCTTTGAGCTCGAAAGCTCTTCCTCTACTTTCTCCGATCAGTTGAATGCCGTACAAAACCAGAATCTCCCGGATCCTTGGCTCAACATCCGCTAAAACAAAAGACACGTGTCGACGGCATGTTTCTAAGTCGGAGGTGGCTAGAAACTCTGAAGGGATCTCGAATTTGAGTTGAAGTGGCAGACCTAGTGATGTCTGTCCGAATAGTCGTTCTTTCCCGGTGATCGGACGGTAAATATCTCGTCGGAAAGTGTCTAGTGTTATGGAAAAATGGCTTGCGGAATTTGAATGGAAGCGCGGTGAGAAACTGATCGGGTAGAAAAAGACTCGCCGGTTGTTTTGCTTTTGCATGACTTTGTCCACCCAACAATCTACTTGTGATGGGCTTATATTTATAGGGATAACACAGTATTCGATCCAAATCATATTCATGAAAAAGGAAACAAATTTTTATTCTACCGTGTCATCTTTATCTTCATAAAAAAAAAAAGGAAATAATCTCAGCAAAAAAGAGATTTTTTTTTTTTAATTTAGTTTAAAACAAATCAGCTTTAGTTAATTTTTATTTTTTTAATCTATCTTCTTCCCAAGAACAATCCGCGCATAACGTAAGCAAGCTCTCTCTAAAATTTTCACAGTTTCAATTCCAAACAAAAAACTAAACAATGAAGCTCCTCGAAAACAAAAACAAAAGATTCCGCCATGACACTGCGAGCCACAATTAAGATATCATCAAAGGTATCATTAAGATGATGTTGAGAATGTCATGAAAAATCCAGATTTCGCTCGATCATGTTCTTGTTTCTTCAGTATGTGGCAGTAGTTAAGCTGGTATAAGAGATCACATAACAAAAGAAGAGCAATCAATATCTGTTTAAAGGATTGCAAATTTTTTATGATTCTTGATGAGAAGAGAGAAACAAGAGAACTAACTAACCTCCATGCGAAATAGACTAGTTGGTACCACAATTCCTGCACCAACTGAGCTTCTGAATGTCTGCAAAAACTTTGAAGCAGTGAAGTTCCTATACTTGTTCTCTGATAATTCCGCCATATTCCCGGCACATGCAAACACATGACCATGGATTCCTCTGTCTCTGAACCATTTTAATGGGAAATCAAAAGAGAGGTCTGCAAATGCAGTGACCGCAACATCCCCTCCCACAAAATCCCGTTCATATGTGTCACCACTCTCATTGTCTTGTACTTCCCTCCTTGGCTCGTTAGGACCCAATCCCCTAGTCTTGAATCCCCATAACGCAGATGGTCCTCCCAAAGAACACACAGGTGATATGTTACCACCTAAGAAGAACCTCTCAGGTATACAAGAAGCTTTGCTCTTGTATTCGCTTCCCCATGGAAATGTGATTCCCCCAGCTACACCAAAGTTCAGAGCAGCACGATAAAACCCGAGTGGAACAGCATATCGGAGGTCGATTTCCTGAAAAAGGACAAGAAACGCTCAACATGATGTATGGCAAACATAAAAGAACCACATATGTTATCAAAGGGATAACCAATCTTTTCATTTACTGTCACAATAAGTAAAGAGTACCAGAGGTACTTGGGAAGTTATGGTAAATGGTGCAAAAGCCTAAACGAGGAACTAGGTGCTATGGAAATTTTCTGAGTAAAATATCTGAGCTACAACTTTCCACACTGTAATATAGGTTCATGTGAATGCTGACAATAAGAATGAAGAATCCCAAACCTGGCGCAAAAACCGGAGTGTTCGACTATCAGGCGCAAGACCACCTATTTGAGAAGTAGAGATGAAAGAGTACCCTCGTGTTGGCCTCAAGGATGAGTTTCTCTGGTCAAATTTGAAAGTGTACTTCAGAGCAGAAACCAAATTATGACCCAGCTGTCTCCTTATTGATCTTGATGCCGTTTGCGATGGGTCTATCAGGTTACGCCATGCAATATTGTAGGCCAGCTCATGATACTTGCTAGCGATAAGCCCGAGGGAAAGACCAAGAGCTCGTTCTTTATAAGATGAAAACTTAAGCCAATCTTGGGTAGAAAGGTAAACCCGCGACGTAAATGGAGTAGGACGCCCTCTGAACCTTGGCAAAGACATCCCCAAGCCGACCTCAGTAGAGTGATCACAGCCATAGGCAAGAGACCCGTCCCAGATATCTCCATAGCCAAAAATGTTCTTGTACTTCAAAGAGCCTTCAAGGCTTGATGATTTAGCCTGCACAAGCCACAAAACCAATTAATATGGACTCCCTTAAACAAGAGGCATACACAAATATATGTGTAATCCAGATGATCAGTTCCAGAATCAGATACATCCACATGAAGCAACAAATCCAACTCTATTCACCAATCAATGGATTACCAAATTCTTCCAGGAAAATAATACTAATCCACTGGAACAAGAGAATGAAAGTGATACCTCTGCTTTAGTGAAAGTTCCGACTTGGCCGATGAAAGGGCTTTTGCTCTCAACAACATCGATGACCACATTGGTGGTACCAGGAAGCTCAGGAGGACCAGAATCAAGCGTAATTTTGACAGCATCGAAGATATCAAGTGCTTTAAGATTGAAATTGGCAACGTTAGAGGCTTTGAGAAGCTCCTGCAACGTAGTCGCTTGCCTCAAAACATCAACCTCAGCCTCGATGACATGATCCTTAGTCTTCTCGTTACCCTTGACGATCACGTCGTGAACACGCACAGCGACCGGAGTTTCTCGCATACGACGGAACAGAGACTCAGCTTTGATCCTATCAGCGATTGCATCCTCTCGCGTTCGAGGTTTCCCATCGTCTTCGTCCTCATACTCTTCCTCTTCTTCTTCTTCGCCGTTAATGTCTTCTAGCTCTTCTCTTTCATCTTTAGGCTCGAGTTTAGGTGTTGAAGGTATCGGGTCGGGTTTCTCCGCCGGATTCGCCATGAGAAGGAGGGAAAACAACTGAGAGATGAGCAAATCGGCGAAATCAATTTGACGGCTCCTCCAAAAGCGTTTACATTTATTCCTGTGAACACCTTGCAGAACCGGTTATCTGATTATCTGGTTAACCGGTTGACCAATTAGCCGGTTAGCTGGTTATCAATGGAGCCTCTTTCTGAAAATCAAAAAGGTGGAATCTTTTTCAAATTCATATTATCCCTCTCTCTCTCTCTTTCGCCTTGTCTTTTTTGCTTTCTTCAATTCGGAGAAGAGAAGTAAAAATGGCGAAGATTGAGAACGGCTACGAGAATTTGTTGGCTTCACTGATCGTCGACATCAAATCATACTCTGGAAAAGACCATCTTCTTCCCTGGATCCGGTAATTTTGTCTTCTCTGTCTCACTGTCTGTGTCACCATTTTAGTCGACGGGTCTGAAGCATTATTAAGTTCATAGAAACCTAATTAATAAATGTTTGTGTTGATTTTTGGGTCAATCTGAAACAGAGGTGTTAAGAAGATGAAAGAGAGCTTGCCCACTGAGATATTGAACGAGAAGCTGCCACGGTTTTTGCAGAAATGTGCACAGTCATTTGAATCTGATAAGAGATATAAGAACGATTCGCGGTATATTCGTGTTTGGTTGCAGCTGGTAATGTAAATTTACCCCTTGATTTGGCACTTAATTTAATAAAAATTGATTTTGTTTTGTGCTTTAATGTGTTAGAGCTTTGAATTGCTTACACTTTGAGAACCGTAGATATCATTCCTTGTGATAAGCATTTAGTTATTGGAATGGTTGGATTAGAACTGAGCTATGCCCAATTTTGGATTTGAATGGTTTGGGGTTTGTTTTCCTGATGGTTTGTTTCAATTTTTGTGCATAAAGAATTTGTTGATAGCAGATATTGATTAATGAAATTGTTGGTCTTAATGGGTGATGATGAATTCTTGGCTAGATGGACTTTGTAGACGATCCAAGAGCTCTCTTAAGAACCATGGAATCAAAAAGTATAGGGACCAAGAGGTCACTGTTCTACCAGGCATATGCTCTTCATTATGAGAAGATGAAGAGATTCGAGGAGGCTGAGAAAATGTACCGTCTTGGGGTGCAAAAGTAAGTATTCTTGGAAACTCTACAAAAAAGGTCATTGATGGATGCTTAAGATGAGTAAACCTCTACTATCTGAACATGCATATGCAGCACCTATCAATTAACTCTATACTTATATTCTGTGGATGATCATTCCTGGTATCCATCTACAAATTCTACTACACTCAATTCATTATGTGCATATGAGGAACTTAATAATGACAGTGTGAGCTAGCATATATATGTGATATGTTGATGACATGGTTTCAATTAATTGACTATTACCCGTTTTGTTCTAGCCTTGCAGAACCCATGGATGAGTTACAGAAACCATACTTGCAGTTCGTCAGTCGCATGGAGAGGCACAAAAAGAGAAAGACACAGGTACTGTTTCCATAGTTTAATTTTTTCCGCTTGTATAATATTTGTTCTGCAGATGTCTGAATTATATTTCCTCTTGCAGCGTCAGGAACAAAAACTGTCTGGAAAGCACCACAAGGTTGAGAGGCAACAAAATGAGCCAGTGTTGAATTTTGTTGATAAAGCCATTGTAGGAAAGCCTGAAGCAGAAAATGCTTGCCATCACGGTTTGGTGGATCCCACAATAAACATGAAGGAAGCCATGAATGCAATCAACAACATGTTCAAAGAGCCTATAGAAACTGCTCCACTTCAGAGAAGATCACGACAGAGAAGTCAGAACAAAGAAAACCAAGGATGCAACAAGGGTTTTGAAGTTTTTGTGGACGAGAATCTCGAAAGTGAAACAGGGACAAGTAGAAAAGCAATGACTGGTACTACTCAAGAATCCCAGCCTAATCAAGAGTCCTTTGAGATATACATTGATGATGAAAACGCTGATGAAACTGGGGAAGAAAATGATGAGGCTGGAAAAGCTTTTGTCTTTCTCCTGCCAAGAGACCATTCACCTGAAAGCTCTGAAGAAGCAGACAGAAACAGTCCTCCTCGACCTAGATTTAGAGAAGATACAGTTGTTCATAGATTTGTTGGTTCAACAATCTCCGATGAACCAGAAGCAGTTGAAAACGCCTGCCACCATGGCCTTGTTGACCCTACAGTCAACCTAAAGGAAGCTATGAAGGACATAAACAACATGTTTGGCGAACCAATAGATTTTTTTAGACCCAACCGCTCTAAAAACAGAGGAAAAGCAGTAGTAGAGACAAAACCAAATCCTGCTGCAGGTTTCTCAATACTTGAAGATGATGATGATGAAGAAGCTGAGCAAGAACACCAAGGGAAGAACCGGCCGACTCAGATATCGCTTTCAAAATCAGATGAGCGTGAACTATTTGAGCCAACGGTGTGCACAAAAGTAGCCTTGGATGAGATCAACAAATTGTTTGCAATGCCAATGGACTTCTAAGGAACATGATATTTGGTTCACTTTGTTTTACTCTCATAACGTATGCCTAGAAGCAGACAATGTTTGTGGTCGATGTTCCTGATTTGTACCTCTCTGTTGTGTTGAATTATGAGAAATATTTGTTCTTGTTGTAACTTGCAGACATACCTGTGTCGTAAGGTTTGAGATTTAGAAATGTTCTGGTTATAATGTTGCTATGACCAATGATTTTACCGATTTAAACTGAGCAAAATTGAGTCACAAGAGTCCCATTACAATATTACTCAGCCTCTTACAAACAATTGACCAACAATAAAACCAAAAGATACAAAATAGAAACAAATCAATAACATTGACTTATACAATTTGTATATGATGATCTTCACAACCCAAATCAGTAAGTGGGTGGTGCAGTCGCGGGGCAGTGGTCAGGACGGAAAGCCAATGGACCAGCGGCGTAAATTACGGCCTCATAGTTTGTCCACTTGAGCCTCTTCTCTTCATATCGGAGTGGAGCTCCATCTAGAGCATTGTTAATGTTGGAAAAGAGATTGCAGTCTTCACGAGGAGAAGAGACGAGCTTGGCTCGGCAAGAATGAAGAGGATGGTCCAAGTAATGTGGAGTCATCTTGAAACCTTTGAGCTCACCATAGAAATGGCCGTATGAATCAGTTTTAAAGACTTTGTAGAAACTCACTTGTTGCCTATGGTTCTTGCAGATAATGCTGATTTTAGCTCCGGCTAAGGCTTCTGCTCCGGCCAACGACCATGATCCGAATTTGTCGCAGGATTGACAGTACACCATTCCTTCCACTGCCGCCTCCACGGTTTTCACGGCAGGGTATGCGGTGGTTGGAGGAGGAGGAGAAGGAGTGTACGCGTTGGCCAACACCGACGTAGCGATGAGGATGACGAGAACAGAGAAGGGTAAGGCTCTTGAGTCCATGTTTCTTGTTATGCACTCTGTTTCTTAAACTTCTTCTTCTTCTTGATGTTTGATTCAGAGGAGAGAAATAGGCGTATATATAGAAACATATAGAGGCTGGTATTTTATTGTGTAATTAGTTTAATTTTTTGAGAAATTTGACAAATTGTATGAGACGTGTGTGCGACTAATTATGGAGATTACATGTATTGGTAATTTGGTATGAAATGGGGGCAGTTGCGGCTTATTACGTGACTGCCATTTTCTTTGTCAACGGAGTATATATTAAACTATTGTTTTGCTTATTCTCTATTCAATACTTCTTCTAAGAAGACAATGTATATATGCGAGTAAAATACTAAATAATAGAATATGTCATAAATCTTATAAAAATTAGTTTCAGATGTTTCGGACAAAGCTAGGATGATAATGTATGAACATAACCAATAACAAAAGGACCAAACAGAGGAATTTAAGTAAAGAACGGTTGCTCTTTATAATTTAAAAAGTCTACTGACTCTCTCTGTTAGAATATGAATAGCAAAACAACTAGGGAACACTGGTCCACAAGAACCTTCTATAATTTAGAAATCAAACCTTACATGTTGGGTCCTCTAGCAATGAGAATGTCCCCATAAGGCTGTGTTTGGTTTACCTTGATGACTCCGCGAGTCGCTAACACTGGAAATGTAAACCATATTCATAGTCAGTTTTTTTGATGAATAGTTGTATTGCTCACATAAAGTGAAATTAAGTTGGAAGTGAAGAAGTTAGTACCACAGGATTGGAAGAAGAGTTTAGCTGCAGCGTTTCTGTCCATTCCAACAGCGAGCTTGTTAAGAGATTCTACTTGAGGAGCTCCAGGTGTTTCAAAGTGCGTCTTCAGATGACTGTGTTTCGTTTTATACATCTCATCATTGTAACTCAGTATATAAGATTTGGCAAAGTATATTGAATATCTCACCTTTTGATGCTATCTGTTATCTTCTCGTCTGATTGATTGCACACTGGCTTTTGAGTCTGTGTAGATGCAGTTTCAAATAGTATTTCTGTGAAAAAAGAAGCCAAGTTAAGGTTTCTAAGATGGTGTTTTTTAAAGTTCGAGGATCAAAATACAATTAAAACTTCTACCTTTATCGGCTGTGAAGCGTTTTTCAGGTAACATTGAAAACTCAAACTCATATTCACGGTGCTCCCACGGTCTCTCTTCCGCTACTGGTTCGAGTCCTCTTCTTGGTGAGGAAGTTGGCCTTTTTCTATTAAACATGCGACTGATTTGGTAAGCGGAAGAAGAATTAATGATCCTCTTCCAATGCAAAACTTGTTTGTAAGTTACTATTGGATTTAGTATCAGAGAAACTTAGATACCTTTTAGAGCTGATCTCTATGTTGTTAATTGAAGCTGCTCCACGTGCGGATGGTGTGCTAGGCATGGATCTCACGTCGTCTCCTGTAGTTCCCATGAAAATCAAATTACTAACGACAAATAATCCACAATACCAAGCTATGATCTGATGACTGAATAAATTAGAGAAGCTTTTAACCAGAATAGAACGGCGTGATATTTATATCAGCTTGGCGGTTAATAGTTTCAGGGCTTGCTCGAGATCCAGCCATCATGCTTTCTACTGAAGCACCTTTCCCAGTACGAACTGTCCGGAGTATTTCTGCGGGACTACCAAGATTTTGGGAGCTTGTGTCACTGCGCTGATGCTGCATACATCCACATTCAGTTAGAGAGAATATGGAAATGTGCCTTTCTCTTATTGATACTAAACTTTCAGGAAAGAATATGCTTCCGGGACTTACATGGTCTGTTTGATGGTGGTTCTGCATTCTCTCCTGAACAAACCCTGGAGATTGTTCTGCACAGAGATCAGGACGTCGAGTGTCTGCATCGGCATTTCCAAATGTTAGATTCGTTTCAACAAGGAGAAAACAAAAAAGCAACAGTGATGGATAGAGAGAAACCAGATGATGAGGTTTGAAGAACTTGAGTACTCTTTGACCAAAGCTCGTAAAGCTGAGGCGGGTAAGAATTTTCCACATGCTTTTCAAAGAGTTGTGTAGGTGGCATATTCGCACGTTTGAAAATTTTGATTTCTGGCCGGATAGTTCCTCGAACCTACAAAAGATGCCAGATGTAAGGCCAACATGAGCACCAATTAGTACATTAGAGGCCAAGGCGTTCACAAATTTGAACCTTTCTCTTTTCCCCCCTACAGAGAATGTCAGAAGTATCCTGGAGCCATGACTGGTAAACATGACCAGCGATAATAGTCTGCTCATAATCCATCGCTGAAGTAGCTGTCTTTCTTGCTCTTTTTTTTGCTGGTTGTGGTCTATCATGTTCCTGCATGCAGAACAAAACCCAATTCAATGTATTTTCTCACTAGATGAGAGTATTCCTAGTAAGAGCAAAAATACCTCTTTGTCCGGTATGTTTTGTTCCTCCATCTGCTCAGCAAATCCGTCCCTACGATGCTCCTGTTGCTCGTGGAGCTGAGGGCTTGTGGGGTTGACTCCTGCAGATGGATACAGGTTAGTAAATTTGTTCTGCTCTGTTCATGAAGCTCAGTGTTAATATCATTCAGAGGCTTCAACAAAAGTACATTCCCTGATCAGATACATGATTATTATACTAGAGACTCGCCCAAGCCATTGTTATTGGCTTCATAAACTTAGCACAATATAAAAATAGAAACAATCTCATCTTTGACTCAAAACTTCATATCCCCATACAATAACCAGAGGTCACGATTATAGATTAAAAGAGTGACATAACTATCTACCTTCGGGAATGTCATGATGACGAGGTGGTGATGGGATGAGAGTTGTAGGTATTTCAGCGCCTTCTCTTGGATTGAAGTTCATCTGAGTTTCATCATCTCCTTCGATGTCAAATCTGAGATGCCATTAAAACGCAGAATAGAAAAGAACAAATCATCACCAGCTTTTTGCTGAAAGGTGGATGAAAGAAAATACAGAAATAGTGAAACGCTACAAACTTCTTTAACCTTCAACAGTTATTGGAAAGGTTTAAGATCTGGGAACTAAAGACCGAAGATAGATAGTGGGAGTGAAAGCTCACCTTTCAAAACGATCATATGTTTCATTGTTGGTCTGGAATGAACCATGATACTCAAAGAGTGTGATATTCTCGGCATCAGCTGAGAATGTTACAGAAATTGACAAGCGGATTAACGTAAGTTATTAACATGTCGTATATTCACAAAGGTTATGTCTCACGATACACACCTTGATGGAACTGCTGTCCAAGATCTTCTGGCTCGGGGTTATTGTTAACATGGGATTCATCTAACCGCTGCAAAGAGAAAACCATGCAATGAATTAGTTCAACTGAAGATGCACGCAAGTATTCATTGGTATACAAGGAGATGAACACTACTATGATCAATTCACATTAACAGTTGCATCTTTTGTGCATTGCCTATTTACACAACCCATAGGTTACATGTCAAATCTTAAGCGATGTTCAAATGATTTTGGTTTGAATTCATATGCTCCAAGATCCAAAAAGATTTTCCTTTGAAATATTCACCTGTAGACTAAAATGAGGCTACTCATAAACCACATGCTTGAGTTAGACCAAGTCCTAGATGCCCTTAATGCGCCAACTTATTTACTCCACTTCTATGGACAATGAAGAATGATGGCTACTAATATTTCTATATCTTATACACTGTTTTAGGTTGGAAATTTTAGGCCATCTAATTAACAATTCTACTAACTGATGAATATTGAGTTGAGACGTAAAAGGAAAATAAATACCCAATTCAATCTGGGAAACACAGGTAATTGAGTTGATTACCATGGAAATAAAAGTCTGCTGAAAATCCATGTAATTGCCAAATTTAGGAATATTACGAGTCTGTTCAAAATCTCCAAAATCAGCTTCTTCGTTCTCAGGCAATGTAACAGCCTCTTTCCTGCAAACAAAAAAACAACAAACCAATCATTTCTATTGTTCTTTACGACAATGTTCTTCTGTTTTGGATTTTCCATCATAATCCTTCAATGGCTATCAAAAAAAACCCAAAACACCAAACATTTTTACTCTTCAGAATCCTTCAATGGCATGAGAAGCTCCTTCAAGGAAGAAGATGTGAAAAATACCTGGCATGGGTTCTTCCTTTAGGTAGTAAAGTGGGATCCGGAACAGCTTTTGTGCGCCAAGCTCCATTAATTTCAACCTGAGAAAATAAATGACATGTTGAAACCCAGAACCCGAGGTACGAAATAGGATTTTGACGGGAAAAAAAAAAAGTGAAAGAGGATCGGAGAAGATTTGTTTACCAGAAGGCGATTAACATCATCTGAAATATTATCGGAAAATAAAACCCAGAAAAAAGAGCAATGTCTCATCAGTGTAAATTTAAATCCCAAAATTCAAAAATGATTGAATAAGAAAATTACCGAATAGGAGCTTCACTTTCCTCTCATAAACAATCACAACACCACCTAACGAAAAAAAGAAACACTGAAGATCAAAATCAAACCCAGAATGAGAACTGGGGAAAAAATTCCGATGAGCTAAATTTGTTAATCATACCCATAAGAATCCCAGAGAGTCTAAGAGCCATCGGAACTGACGGATTCAAAATCTCTTCGCTGTGAGAAAGTAAAGTAACCAACAAAAATGGAAAATCAACGTTCGTTTTCATGGCAGGAACATCAAAAAAAAATCAAAACAAAAAAAGGTGCGAACAAAATCTCCTCTCCTCTCACCAGATTTGAATGATATCGAGCTTATCTAGTTTCTTCCGGTTGATCTTCGCGTGCAACGTAGCGGCCATCCTTAAGAAAATGAAAAAAAAACAAAAACAGAGCTTAGAGATTCCACTCTTCGCATTCACTAATAATCCATAGACGGATCAATCAATGGAAACCACAGTGACGATTTGAAGCAGTAACAAGTGCTTCATCGGGACGAGGAAGTTTTCAGCCGATTTCAAAAACAGAGGTTGCGAAATCATCATGAAAATCGGAAAACGTTTAATTGAGAGGAATCGACTCACCATATCTGACCCAACGGAGCTTTTCGAGCTAGAAGCTGGTGAGAATAAAACATGATTCAGCTCAGAAAAAAAAAAATCCAAACCCAGGAAGAGAAAAAGAGAGAAGCGAGTCTTTGCGTGGAGAAGAAGCTGAATCTGAGTAAATAAAATATTCACGAGTTTTTTTTAATGTATAAATCTGTCTGTATATAGATTATGAAGCCGCCATGAGAGCTTTAAGAAGGGAAAACTCGCAGTGATCGGTGAGGGAGAAGAGAGAGTGAGCATGTCAGGAGAAACGCTAAAGATAAATGACAGTGACGAAAGTGTCACCAATAGTCCTCTCGTGGTTTGACACGTGCACGAATTATAAGTAACCACAGGTGACGCTAGAATAACTTTCGAAATCCGTTACCGCAGCTGGTCCCCACACTGTCACTCTCAAACTCTCCAGTCTCAACATTTCCTTTCTACTACCTGCCATTTAGGATGTGAAAACGACACGTAGTTGATCCTTGGAAATATATAACGCTTTGGTGTTTAATCACGTCCTTTCTCTCTCTCCAGTCTCCATTGGAGTTTGCATCGGTGAGCTCGGATAATCAAAAACACAGAAGCTATCATGCCGGAGATAAAACAAAACGGCGCCGTTAAGTTCTTGATTACACTTGCTTTTCTCACCGCTACCGCCTTTTCTCTTCCTTCTTCCCCCGATCGATTCCTCAGATCGGCTTCGACTTATCTCCGGTCACCGGACGAGCCTCAGGAGTACGAGGAGCTCAGGCGTCCCCTACCGTCCGATCAGCTAACGCCGTCATGCTCTCACGTCCTCCTCCGCCACTCATTCGCCAACACCATCAACAGACCTCCCTTTACCACTCCATACACTCCACCTTCCGGCTGTACATCGCCGCCGTGGTCTTATGTTGTACTTGAACTACAAGCCGCCTCGAGTGGCGATCAGTACGATCGTATCTCCGGCTTGTGGCTCGGCGGAGTGGAGCTACTTCGCACCAGTACGGCGGAGCCGAGTCCAACCGGAATCTTCTGGAATGTTCGGAAAGACGTGTCTAGGTATTCCTCGCTCTTTATGAGATCGGATTTAAATGTCACAATGATGCTCGAGAACATCGTCAACGATGTTTACACAGGCATCTATCATATCAATGTAACCCTCATCTTCTACGAATTCAATCCTATTGCGTCAAATTTTAAGGTAAATGGTAACAGATTAGGGTTTGTGGAATCCCAGAGAAGAGATCAAACCCCTGCGGATTTGATAATCCCGGTATGTGACGGAGGGAACAGAGGGTTCTGGTTCATGATCGAGAACCCGACAGAAACTTACTCAAAACGAATTCAAATTCCGTCCAACACTCGTCAGATTGTGCTGGAACTATATGTATCATTCCATGGAAACGATGAGTTCTGGTATTCAAACCCGCCAAATTCTTACATCAGAACAAACAATCTAGCAACCGGTCGAGGCAATGGTGCATACCGGGAAGTTTTTGTTAAGATAGATGGGAGATACGTGGGATCCGAGGTGCCATTCCCGGTGATCTTCACAGGTGGAATCAATCCCTTGTTCTGGGAACCAGTTGTTGCAATCGGTGCATTCAATCTACCGTCCTACGATATGGACTTGACTCCATTTCTCGGGTTGCTTTTAGATGGAAAGTCTCATGAGTTTGCGTTTGGGGTCAACGATGGGATATCATATTGGCTTGTAGACGCCAATTTACACCTCTGGTTGGATCACGAGTCTTCGAATGTTGAAGCTGGGTCTAGACTTTACGATAGCCCGAGTCGGCATATGACGAGACAAGAAGAGTTTGAACAGCTTGATGGGTCGTTTAGGGTTGAAGCAGAGGTAAGTAGTGAATATGATGGCTGGGTTAGATCAAGTAAAGGTAATCTGACAACCATGGTCAAGAGCATGTTCAAGGTTGGCAGCTTGGTGAGGTTTGAGAAAAACGGAACATACAAGAGGGTTGAGCAGAGGGTGAAAACCGAACGGATCGTGGAGGTGACTTCTGAATCGGGTAAACCGGTGAATCGAGTCGTGCACCAGCGGACATATCCTCTCACGTGATCACTTCTACTCTTAGAGGGTTAACCAACGACAAGGATACGTATATGCTCGTGACGAATGTTTCACACGCCTTGAATGAGACATATTCAGATGGAGAGGCTTTGACCCAAGTTTACAATAAACAAGACTCAGAGGGTTGGATGGAGGTTGAAGATCACAATGTCTTGGCCGGTGAAGCAAGGACAAGACAGAGTCTTAGCTGCATCGATGAATTCAGCTGTTATTCCCGCACCATCTTTGCGGCTAATGGCGAGATTGCCCAGGACAGTTCATCTGATTCTTGCACTTCGTCTTCATACTCAGAACTCAACACATTAAGCAGCTTATCATAACCAATGTGGAATCGAGATGAAACACTTGTCTTGTATAAGAAATGCTTGTACTACTAACCATGTTCAGGGTCAAACAAAAAGAACTGTTTTTGCTCAAAGGGAAACAAAATTGCAGGATGTAAAGCGGAAACAGCAGTTACAATGCTTTTGCTTTTGTTTATTCAATTATCCCGCTACCTCCATCGATATCGACTTCTCCCATTCCAGTGTCTTCTTCTTCATCTTCGCTTCCCTCATCTCCACTGATTTCTTCATTATCCATTCTAAGCTTAGCCATGTGCTCAGTAAGCAATTTGTCATCACGGTCACTCACCTAAAAATGTTGTAGCACATTGAAGTCAGGGAACCGAAGAAAAGGAGTGATTGAAGTAGCAAATTCAGTCGACTTGTCATAGAAAAAGGCTACAAGACTTACCGCACGAGCACCTTCTTTAACGACAAGTTTACCCTTTTCTTTCTCTATTGCAGTAATGCATGCTTCAATTGCTTTATTCAGAGTCACTATTCCTTTTTCCTACTCAGTCAGAACAAGAAAGTGTCAATGTTACTATGTAATCCACAATGTATTTTAAAACTTTTTCCGCCTATATAAATCGAAACACACCCAACACCATAAACATACCTTGTCAAGGGTGTGAGTTGTGAGTACATAAAGTGGTGGAGCAACAAGCTTGATTTTGACTGGACAATCATCACTACCTTCAGCCTCTGCCTTCTTCATGGCTTCCTGCAAATTCATAATAATAGCCAAACATCTTTAGCTAGAGGTAAAAGGAAAAAAACATAGAGAAAAACATCAGATAAGAAATAAGAAAAGACTGACCTTGATGTGGAGAACTCCATCAAACTGAAAACACTTCAATTCAATATCAGCACGAATCTTCATTGGCTGTTGTGTCATTCTCCTCCTAATGTCCTTCAAAAATGCATCTTTCAATTCTTCAGACACAGCCGGGACAACTTTGGTCACCTTTACAAAAGATATGTTATATAAGTCTTCATGATCAAACTAAAACAAAGATAGGGGATGCTGCTTAAGGTAAAGAGTGTGTTACCTCCACACCATCAGGTCCTGTTTCTTTAACTTCTCGGGTAAGAGCATTGAAAACTGAATCAGGATCAGTGACAACAATTTTGAAAGCCTAAAACACACAGTCCAAAGTATACACCATCACAATAGTTCATATAAACGACAATGAGCCAATTACTTAATAAACGCTTTGGAACTATTACCTCAAATGCATGTCCATGCTTCTTATACAATGGCCAACCAATGTGTACGTATAGCTCCTACAAAAAAAAGAAGTTTTTTCCTCAAAATTGGACCTTGTTTCAGTTCAAGAAGAAAACAACATGACACAGATCAAGCTATAACATTGAAGGCAATAATTTCACAGAAGAAACATTCAAATAAATTCAGGAGTTGAGAGAAGAGTCACAGAATCCTATGAATATACCTCCAAATCGATACCAACAGTCTCAGCCACATGACGCATGATAGAGTGAACAAGCTTGCTCTTATTATACCTCTCCAAACAAGCCTCTTTGTCCTCATCACTAACCCTACGCTTACTAAGATCAATGTAACCTCTATCTCTGTCGACACGAAGGACCATAACAGGCTCGGTCCGACCGACCTTGATTAAGCTACTGATACTACGAATCCGACGGCGAGAGAGCTCAGAGAATAGGATCATTCCTTCAATGTCGTTGTACTCAAGTAGAGAGACGTAAGCTCCCATGTCAGCGATGTTCTTCACCTGAATCATCACCGCCATGTCTACATCAGGATATTTGGATTCGTACATACGGCATTCCAGATTCGGTGCGGGATTCGCCATGGTTATGAGATTCTTGAGAAAACCTTAGCAAGCTACGAATTAGACAGGAAGATCGAGTTTCTCAGTAGAGAGTCGAAAGATTGAGTTTTAGGGTTTTCAAAATTGGGACGATTCTGTTTCTGTCGTTATAGATAGTCGCCGTCGTATAATCTTCAATCTCGCCGAGTCACTCACATTCTCACGGCCCACTCTAATACGACTACGTAGCTTGCCAACGACACCGTTTAATCTACAAGAAATTACAATTGATTTCGGTTCGGTTTACATTATTAGAATTAATAAGGTTTTAAGAAAAAAAAAAAAGAGTCACGCGATGGAGATTTTGGAAAGAAGTGCGTTGATTGAAAAAGGCATGATTTCTAAAGGGGTACACCCACAGAATTGCTCACACTCGCGCAACGCGCACTTTGTGCGAGTGGGTGTGAAATAGAGCCTTCTGATTGGCTTAAAAACTCTAAAAAAAGTGAAATAGTATACATGTTGCTAGCTCCTCATTTATGTTATTATATATTTTTCGTCTTCTTCTCTCATTTTGAGGCAAAAACACGAAGAGATCCACAACTAGATTCATGCATTCATCCACAACTAGACTCATAAGCTTCCTATTGCTATACTTCACTCTGGATTTGCTGGTCTGATTCCGAGAGAAAGTGATGATATAGAGATGATAGACCTCATTTGCATATGTCACTCTGCTTTTATGGATGAGTTCTCTCTTTTGATTACTTCTCAAGAACATAGAAGTTTTCATGCATTGTACGAGAATCAGAAAAGATATACCGAGGCTGCCCTCCTCTCCTATGTTATTTATTGATAAAGGTTTGTACTTGCTTCATTTTTTCAGTGACCGGAAGTTCGAATTTGGTTTCTGATGGGATCTAAACAAGTATCAAAGTCTAGAATTGCTGGATTTAGCAAGTTAAAGATTGCTATGTCACAGTCCCAGTTCGTTTTCGTCCACTCAGGTGAATGGCGATTCCGCTCTGTAGGATTCAAACACTTTGTTTAATGTTTTATCTGTGGATTGTTGACATTGGTTTATGCTTGACAATAGTCCAAGGGAAATCCAACAAGGAGAGGAGATTGCATGGTATGCAAATGGGGAAACAATTGTGAGGAATGAGCATAATCAATCAATAGCTTATGCATATGGTTAGTTTTAACAGTTTGACTAGTGTTCATTGGTTTCTGTACCGATCATAAATGTTGTTATGTGGAATAGACTGAAGTTTCCTGCATCATGAATCAAGACCTAAATTAAACTAGATGTCAAAGTCCAATCTGCCATATTGTTTCTTGAAATTTCTATCCTCTCTTACAGATCGTGTTTTCGGGCCTACAACGACTACACGCTATATCTATTATGTTGCTGATCAGCAAGTCGCTCATGGTGCTATGGTGGAGATCAATGGTATGGACTAAACACCTTTTATTGGCCGATCTAGTTAAGACATTATTCTTAGAAGATAAAAATATATTTATATTATCAAAGCTTACCCCAAGCTACAATACCATGAACAGTTTGCATGAACATTCATTTAGAAAATGAGATCTTTGAGATGCCAAACTGTATCTAGTGCTTCTTCTAGTCTTAAGAACACCTTGAGTTAGATTTCTTTGGCCAATTTGATTTTAATGAAGTGAGTGTTAATCCAACCACAGGGACCATTTTGGCATATGGAGTGATAAGCAGTGGAAAAACTCACACTATGCATGTAAGATTCATTAATCATGATATTTCTTGCTTTTCATCTTATTATAATAAAACGTATTAGGTTACTACCTCGTACAATGTACTTCAATGTGTTACCCCAGACATGCTTCTATGTCAGAGAGTCATTTATCTCTTCCTTCGTTTCTGGCTAATCTTGTAGTAGCCATAACGATTAAGCAATGGAACTCGATGTTTTGATCCTAAGATGGTTTTTTGTATTGGATATTTGGTTATTGTCCCTCTAGCTAGTGTTGTGCTGTTGACCTTATAAAGCCTTTTCTTTGACTCTAGTTAGCATATAGCTGCATTCTTTAGGTTAGTTCTCTGCTTTACACACTTTTCAACCTAGTAGAACTTTTCTCTTATGGACACCCATGATCAGTACATGGTCCTGCCCTAATGCCGGATGATTTCACACTCTTCATTTCAGGGACCATGTTTACGTTTGAAGATGTGCATGAAATAGAACAATTTTATCTCATGAAGACAGTTTTGTTTGGTTCAAATGTCAGAGGGACCAAAGATCTCCTAGTATAATACCATTAGCCGTGAAAGATGCTTTCAGCATTATACAAGAAGTACTTCTTAGGTTGTTGATTAGTCGAATTCCCTGGCCTAAGTGCTAGCTATTTTTCCTGCAGACACCAAAGGCGGGAATTTCTCCTACGTGTTTCCTAATTAGAAATTTATAATGAGGTGCTACTTTCTACCTGCTTTTCTTCTCTCCATTCACTATATCCACTTCACCAGTGGTACAAATGATAGTCAGATTCTGCTTTTGATATCTTAAAATCCATAAGGTTCATTTTACTTGAGGTTGTCAATGATTTATTGAACCCAGCAGGACAAAATTTGAGGAACAGAGAAGATGAGCAGGTACTTGTTTCAGTATTTGATCCTCTTATTTACTTTCTGTTGGTGACATGCATAGTGCTTATTTCACTGTCTCTTATATATATGTTGTTACTATAGTGCTTATCATAGAATCCTAAAACCTTGCACACCATATTTGTTTAATTAGAGGTGCCATCTTTTCTCGTACTTTCATTTTCTTATAAATGAAATTCTCTGGGACAATGTGAAAAGTGGCCTGATTATCAATATTTGAATGTTCTAGGTTACATTTCTTATTCAAGTACATTAGAATTGATCCTGTTGAGTGTTGACTACTTGTATCGCTTTGCCCTCTACAATTCTGCAATGAATCTCTCATTATTTCCGATTGTAGGGAAACATTATTGAAGGGATTAAAGAAGAAGTTGGTATATCCCCTGCTCATGCGCTTTCTCTTATAGCAGCTGGAGAAGGTAGGCACTTCCATGTAAATTTTCTTTGTCAGAAAGTGTTTTCCTTTGATGTGATATGAGATAGCAATTCTAAAGACTAGCATTCTCTTTCTTGATTCCAGTAGTTTCATTTCATTCTTAATCTTTCTCTTGAATGGGTATAGCTTCAGGGTAAAAAGTTTCTTGGCTTGATTCTGAGATTTTGGAATTTGAAAGTTTAATCATTTCCTACAGTTTTTTGTAATGTTCAAAGATTACTGTGATTTTGGATATTTTTCTATCAATCAGTTCATAGTTTGTGGTTTTGAGTTATGGTGTTTCCTCTTTTTGAAATTTTCTGTCCAGAAATTGCTGATTCCGTAAGAGAAATATGTTGATTTCGGTTCGGTTTACATGGTTTTGAAATTATAATTGATTTCGGTTCGGTTTACATGGTTTTGAAATTATAATTGATTTATGTTCGGTTTAAATTGGTTTTGAGAAGAAAACAAAAAACATAAATAAGTCACGCGATGGAGATTTTGGAAAGAAGTGCGTTGATTGAAAAAGGCATGATTCCTAAAGGGGTACACCCACAGAATTGCTCTCACTCGCGCAACGCGCACTTTGTGCGAGTGGTTGCGAAATAGAGCCTTCTGATTGGCTTAAAAACTCTAAAAAAAGTGAAATAGTATACATGTTGCTCCTCCTCTTTTATATAATTTTCTTCTTCTTCTCTCAGCGTGAGGCAAAAACACGAAGAGCTCACCACCATAGATTCATGCTTTCAGATTTCGACGGGTGAGTCTAATCTGTATAAACCTTAACTATTGTTAATCGTCTTTGTTCTTATCGAATCTATTGTTCTGGATTTGGATTTTTTATTATTTGGAACCATAGAAATCTTTAGGAATCTTCTTGGTTTAATTCTGAGATTTTGGAATGTGAAAGTTTAATACTTTCCTACACTTATTGTAAATAGAATGTTCAAAGATTACTGTGATTTGGATCCTTTTTCTACAGTTTTTTAGTTTATGAGTGGAATGAACAAGTTGAGAGTGAAACTGAGACTAGTCGTCCTCTGATTACATCCCTTTGAGCATATCCCAATCTTGACTCCTCCAAGTGATGCTTTCGCTGAAAGAAAAAGCATATCAAGCATACTTATCTGAAATTCCACACTCTTAGTTAACTTTACTAAACCATTTTGATTGCCAAAGTATCATCTAATGATGATATGAATGTCTATTTGTGGCAGAAAATTCAGAAGCTTAATGAGCTGGTCCGAGATCTAAGGAGACAGTTTCTGCAATGAAGAAATGAAAATCAGGTTGAGTTGACGGAGCTAGAAACTGAGCTTGATTAGCTGCTGTTAAAAGGTGTTTAGTCCATATTACAGGTTCATTATTTTCCCCTACCACATCTTTCTATGTATGATGCATGATTGAAAACTTTAAGTACATTTATCTCAATACATTAAGCAAATTACATACTTCATCTAGTTTAGTAGTGACGTATAATCCAGCGAAACCAACATGTGTTTCAAATTTTATTTCCAACTTATTATTATCAACCTCGTAATCATTATGGTATGGTTCATATCCTTGACACTGACTAAACCATCAATGCTCTTATTAGATCGCAGGGATTGCAAGTTCGGAAATGAACCATAACTCAAAATAACCCACAACAACAGAGCTTTGAACTCAGACGTTCTACTTCAACCACAAGGTTAGGGGAAGCATCCAACTCCTGCCATGAACCATCCTCACCACAGGTTTGAACCACGAACCGGACTCCCTTCACATCTGATCCAACGACCATATCAGAGACATAATAAGCATCAACATGAGCTGTTCCAAGGAACACTTTCTCGCTTCTTGGTTCTTCCATAACTTTCCTTGGTCTATAATCACTCGAACTCAGATTCTCTGCATACACATTGTACTTTGTAAAGACAGAATCTTCTTCAGGGTGCTTCAATCTCCATTTTAGCTTACAACTTAAGGTCTTGGAGCCAGAACCACCCGGTACAAACTTTACATGATGAGCCTCAATAACCCATGATGACGCCAGAGGAAAAAGCTTGGTTTTTTGCTGGCTTTTGATGGAGATATGTCCAAGCAATGCAAAATACTCTAGTGTGTTTGTTTCTTCTGTGAGATCATCTGGTCTGGAGCAGAAGGCAGATATCTCAGTCAGTGTATGCCCATCCAGAACAAGGTTCGTTTCATGCACCGTCCAACCGGATGTGGTCTGTTTTGATGTGAGAAGACATGGTAGGAACATGTCGCCAAATCTGTTGATGGATTCATTTTGCACCATAAGAAAGGACTTTGTCTCATCATGTGAAGGAGATGAAAAATGGAGCAAAATGCTTAGCTCGGATCTTTTATCTGACTTCACCTGCACCAGTCCAAAGACTTACATGAGTAAAACTTAAAGATTGAAACTTTCTAGAGATGAGGTGGAGCTCAAATCTTATGCGTTAACTTACAGAAAAGGAGATTGATATTGGGGAAGCAGAGAGCTGAAGCTGAGGTTTGAAGAGTCTTGCTGTGAAATGTGCATGTCTCTTTAGTTTTCCTCTGAAACTGACGTTCCCTCCTCCATTATAAGATGCTTCTCCACCACTACCATGTTTGCGTTCTTAAATGTTAGATGTCAAATTTCATTTCTTTTTAGGCTTCTTGAAAACCAAATATGAGGCTAGTGTTATCAGAACTCAGAACTTACTCAACAGTGACTTGCATGATATCTGAGTTCTTTCCCTCATTGAATTCTAGGAGTGGCTGTTACAAAGAACACAACAGAAGACAATATCAGATTGGGGTATAGATAAGTCCAGATGTAAAATGTGACAAAAAAGAAAAGAAAAAAAAAGAGCTCTATTGCAGTAAAAGCTAGAACAAGGAGTGACCATTGAACCTGCAGACTTTGGCATGAAATATTGTACCAGGGAGCTTCTGATAACTTCCGACCTCCAAGAGAGATATGAGAACCAAGGCCCTATATAATAAACAGGAGAAGAGAGTTTCAAAACTTAGCAAAGCATAGAATAACCATGCTCATTTGCATATATTCACTGGGAACAGAGTTTCACTTCACCGGATTAAAATCTGAGTAGAAAGGTAGGACTTGAGGATATGTTTGAACTATACCCCATGACTTCTCAACAAGTGACCACCATCTAAAGAAACATAACATATGATGAATAAGATTGCAAAGAATCTATAAACCATCACATTTGCAAGTATTACTTATTTTGTGCCGTGTAAAAATCCGGTGGTTGCTCGGTTTCGTAGACCCATCCAGGAGCAAATATAGCAGCTGATACATTACTGCTCTTCAGCAAATCAAGGGCAACATTTGCCTACCATGAAAAAGAAATGAACAAAGGTAGATAAACTTTATATGCAACATGAACATTTCAGATAACTGGTTGAATGAATTTTTAAGATACGTACAGTCCATTGCCCACCACCATAAGTGCCCCGACCAAAAACATCGATTCCCATGTAGACATCATGTTTTCTATCACCGGCAATTTCAGCTGATGCTTTGGGATAGTTCTCCTGAAAGAGATACCTACTTATATCACAATCAAAACATATAAAATGAATGAAGATGAAGTGAAAGGACAAACCTTCCATGTATAGTTCATGAATATTCCATCGCATATATCAAAGAAAGGTTTATTCTTCTCAGTTAACTGATCTTGCCAAGCAAGCTGACCATCAACAGTGACACTATCATACCTACAAAAAAAAAGGTAATCAAAAGGAACAGTATAGTCTAGAAACAGAACACAAAAGAGTGATTTTGACAAAAAGAAAAGCTTCTCAACACTCACCATATAACTAAACCTCCAGGTACAGATGAATGCATGACTTTTGTTAGATGGCTTACAAAAACCATCAAATTTGGAATTTGAACTTCATCTATTACATTCTCTATATTTATCTGCAAGTAACAATTCATAAGGTACAACTTAGAAGGCAATAATCTATAGTTTCAGATGGTTAAATCATACACCACAATATCGATTCAAATATGAAAAAAGATGACTGAAATTGTAGAACTAACAAGGCTATATACAAGAACCTCACCAGCCACCCATCAAAGCCAAGAGCAGCAGCAAGTTCAGCCAAACGCTCTGCATACATCTGCGCAGACTCCTTTGTCGCCAACAACTCTTTGCAGGTAGCTTTTCCTTCGTCCCATTCTGTGATGAAAGTCCCCAATACCTTAAGAGATCCATAAAACACACACAAGAAAGTGAATCATTCCTTCCAAAAACCATGATTGTACGTAGTTATCTCCATCATTTATTCATTTTGTCTCTAATCAAAGTTCAATATTTGCTATCACTTTGCAATCAAAGATCGAATCTTTAAGTTACTTCAACTATAAATCAGACTTTGAAAAGTCAACACATTGACTAACCTTGACGCCATGTCTGTGAGCAGTGTTGGTCCAACAAGGAGGAGGCAGAGTCACAAGCGAGTGTGAGAAGTAAACGAAAACGTCCATCAAATACCAATCCCAGATGGCGTAACCAGCGTTGTTTCCACATCCTTGAACCCACTTATCGTCAACGTAGCCTCCTTTCATGTCATGACAAACCAAGAGCCTAGATCGATCCGGCAAGGCGCCAATGTTCCGACGGAGAGGTACGGAGGAGCGGTTAAAGGGATAATGAAAGGAATCGAAGTAAGAGCGAGACTTCAAGTCTTGAAGAGTTTTGATAGGGAAGGAGATAGGTGTCGATGGCTTCGTCGGATCGAAAGGTGGTGGTGGTGGTGGTGCCACTAACATGGCTTCGTCGTTGGATATCACGAGACAGAGAGGGATTTGCTAAAATTCAAACAAGTCAACGGCAAAAGACGAAGAAGACGATGATAATTGATAGATACAGAGAGATTTTTATTTTTATATTTTTGTTGTGTCTGAAAATATCTTTAGTGATGGTGATGGTCGTTAATTTTATTATGGAGGGCATTTACTAGCATGTGCAAGCGTGCACACTCTCCTAGGAAGATTCAATCCAAAAAAAGTTTATATATTCAGTCCTTTTTTATATTTTGCTTTAATGTTAGGTTTGATAAATGCAAAACTATTCTAATCATAAAATTGATTTTGTATTTAAATACATGGATTAAGAATGTTGAGTTTTTTGCTCTATAGATTCACAATTTATTTACTCAACTTGAGAAGAAAACAAATATAAGGTGAAACTCGTAGAACTTGCTTCTAAATTTGAGAATCCTTTAGCTAATTTCACCATAAATTTATGACCAAAATATCTTTAGAATAAATTTCAAAATTAGAACGAACAAAGACAAAACATGATCCAATGTAATTCTCACAAGCTATGCCAACAACAATGACCCTTTCTTTTTAACTTACACACACATGAGAGTAGAAACACTAAGCTTAGTCCAGTCTGAGCATGCAGGTTTGTTTCTTCTCATCAGAATAAATCATCATCTCCTGTAAGTCTTTCATATTCATCTTCTTTAATTAACCCTTTCTTTACTTTTATCATTAACTTATAATCTCGATCCATCACTTCGTCATCTTCAGCAGTTTGAATAGTTTGTCTTTGCTTCCCAGTTAACTTTCTCGACGCTTTCTTAGGATCATTAGTAGTAGGAGCATCAACCCTTTTTCTCTTGCCTTTCTCTCTTTTCTCTTCTTGCCGTTTCTCTTTCCTTACTTGTAAGTTTTGCTGTCTTTGTTTCTCCCGAGATTTGTCCCTGCGTTGATTCAAAACATTCAAGTTTAGAGAAATGCCTACTTATAGACTCAGAAAGCATATGATTCCTGAAAACACGGATGTACAAAGACTTCAGACTACAAAAGCTTGTTTCCTCTAAATCTAAAACTGGTCAATGTATGTAAACGACACTCACTTTAACGAATGTATCAGGGAATGGGAGAAGGTGGATATATATCCTAAGTGTTTAGGGATTTTGGTAGAAAAACCTACTTGAATTTTATTTCGTCAAACTTGACACCTTCAACGGGTGTGAAACCCTCACTGGAAAGTCTGTGTTGTTTAACTTCAGACATTGAAGGAAGATACAAGAGGCCATATCCCATGGCTAACTTTCCAATTTCAAGTTCTTTCCATCTGTAAGGTAATACCAAAAAATATATATACTTTTCAATTACAAAACTGATAGAGCGATAAAGAATTTGAAGAAACAGAAAAAAAGACTGAGCCTCATGAATGAACCTGAAAATGAAAGAGCAGTGATGCTCCTTATAAGCACGGACAAAGGAAACAAATGCCTTTAATCCCTTCTCCAACACTGCTCGGTCCTTCATGGCAGCTGAACGTATCTGAACAAATTGTAGCAATTAGTAAACAATGTGACCCACACACAGAGAGAGAGCGACCCTTCTTGTGTGCAACAGATAGAGAGGTATGGAGGGTTTTCTTACAATCGGGATGACATCGGATGCGTCCTCAGAGCATTTTCTCTCTTCCAGAGGGACTCTTCTTATGCGCATAAAGTCTACATAGGCTTCCTCCTACACACATATGCGAGGGAACTTTTAAGCTTTTCAGGCTCTATGATGTAACTATGGGAGGAACAAGAGAACATAAAGTGCTCAAAGCTCAACCTTAGGCAGTAAAAACACAATGGCCTTCCCTAGTCTTCCCAATCTTGCAGTTCTGCCGGCCCTGTGGTTGAACATATTTGGGTCTTGTGGGGGATCATACTGCATGAACGTTCGAACCTCTGAATCCTAAATATTGCAACAAAGAGGGCATAATAATGGAAAATAACATTATTGTATCTACCTGAACTACATAATCAATGCCTGGAATATCAAGTCCACGTGCAGCAACGTCTGTGCACAAAAGGGCACCGCTTGATGCTTTAGTAAACGAAGCTAATGCCTTGTCTCTTGCATTCTGATGTGTAAAGTATATTTCATCAAAACCTTTAATAACAATAGGTAATGAGGTGATATGGAAAATTAAAATCTATCATGGTAACTTACCTGCTTCATATCCCCATGGATAGGAATTAAAGATATAGACTTCAGGGCAGGAATTTTTGAAAGTACGAGTCCCCAGTAGTCAACAGAAGCACAGGTCATGAAGAATCTGCAGAGTTACTTAGACTATTTATAAGAATGCTTTATTTTATAAGTCTGTGTGGAATATTTAGACTTACACTATAAGCTTTTTATCACTGTTCTTGATGAGGAGATCCACTAGTTGTGATGATTTCTTATCTGCTTCGCATTCGATATACTGTAGGGACAAGGAGATATAAACCGCTAAGAAACACACAAGTAGGAAATGTAAAGATAGAATGTCAGTTTTCTACTGAAAAAGAATTATGTACATATGCAACACATATGATCAATAAGTATTTTTGATACAGTGAACTTGCTACCAAGACAAGGGAGTACAATAGATAATCGTTAAACAATTAGATTCTTACAAATAGAAGAAAAATCTTCATAAATCAGGTCACAATAATATTAAACGATAATGCAGGATACAACAGAAAACTTACTACTTTGAAACATGCTATTACATATTTATATATTGAACTTCTGATACCTCAAGATGAAGACCAGAAGGGGTTTTCGAGTTTGTCAATTGCTGGGAAGATTCCGACTTCGCCTCAGCTCGAACTTCAACTCTCACAGGGTTCCTAAGTCCAGCCTTGGCGAGCTCTTCAACGCCTTCTGTTTGTGTAGCTGAAAAGAGACCAGTCCTCCTCTGCTTTGGCAAGCGTGAGATAATGTAATTCACCTGCCTTTGGAACCCCATCTCCAAAAGCCTATCAGCCTCGTCTAAAATAAGAATCTACATGTGCAAAACAATACAGTTTAAGTAAAAAACTAAACTTTCAAATTGTTTAGACAACATAACCATATACAGCTATATAGATTCAACAAGATCCATCTTAAACATATGAATCCCCGATTGAAGAAGAAAACTACCTCAAGATTTCGAAAATCCAGAATCTCCATTCGTTCCATTATATCTGAAAGCCTTCCAGGTGTACCAATCAATAGATTGCATCCTTCTTCTTCAATAATCTTCGTGTCAGCTTTCACCTCTCGGCCTCCAACAAGTAACACAGAGTTCACATTTGCCAAAGTCGAAACAAATGGCTGTGCCACATTATATATCTGCGTTGATAGCTCTCTTGTTGGCGATATAATCACTCCCATGACCTGTAATTTTAATCTCAAAGATAAGCTCACAATCGAAAAACCAAAGATCCTAATTTTTAGATTAGTTGGCAATTATCTTACCTGATGAGGCTTCGGAGGGAATGAGGTGGATCGACGGAGGATTTCAACGAGGGGGACGACGAAAGCTAGGGTTTTTCCAGAACCGGTGGCAGCGTCGACGGCGACATCCTTGTAACTACAGAGTAAAGGAATCGTCGCGGCTTGAACCGGAGTGCAGAACTCGAAATCAGACTGATTAAGCGCATCAATGATATCTCCGGAGAGTGGAGGTTCGAGGTCGGAGAAACGCGTCTCCGTTAATGCTTTGTTTATGTTCGCCGATGAATCCATGACGGCCGCCGCTGCCTCTCGTTGCTCACTTCCCGCTTTTACCTTGTAGTGACCTTTTATAACTGAAAACAAAACGCAGCGTATTGATCAATTCGGTTCGGTTTTATGTTACCACCCAGGCTTAAATTGAACCGGTGACCAATTGGTCCCCGGTTTTTTCCGAGAAACGCATTACTGGGTACGATAAAATGTATCTTTCGGCCCATTTGTTTTAAACTATTTCTTGGGCCTCGCCACTTGCAATAATATTATTACCGTTCCTAATCACTTAATTAGACATTTGAAGTATCTCAGCACTAATTTGAGACAAAGGATAAATGTCGCGAATAATTTTGTAAGATGTGGTATGATAGTTTACATATCTACATTTTCATGTATTACAAAAATTAAGTACTTTTAAAATTAAAAGTAAAAAAAAAATAATCATTTGTGTTATTTTTCAACAACATGCAATATATGGATTTGAATATGGTGGTGACAAAATAATTATGATAGAAATATAGAATAGTACAAATATGTTTATCTCAATTTATTTGTTCAAAATAGAAGAAATAAAAAGGATGTTTTACCAAACACAAAATAAGTGATACAATGTATTATAAATATAAAGAATTTTGTAGCATTATATACTATTATATTTAATAGTTATCTTTTGATATTGGTTATACATTTGTTTATTATGTCGATCAAAAATCAGAGAGTAAGATATTTTTCATAGAATTAATCAAAATTTATGGCCTAGTAAGTATACTAGTGTGCTTGATGTGTTATATAATATGTAAGTTGAACATGGCAACAAATAAAAAATATATACGGTATACTCTTTGACAAGATTTTGATAATTTGTTATTGTCCTCCTTTTATATTTGTATTATTATTAAAAGGAAATTGGATAAAAAGAAATATAAACTCTTTAAGACCGGCATAGGGGTTCGATGTATCATTTCCCACTAGGGGCAGAAAAAACTAGCAAGTTGCAACGCGTTTCCAGCTAAATTTTAATTGCATGTCCTTTTAGACTTTCCTGCTTAAATAAAATTTTGAATCGAACGAATTAAAATAAACCCACCAGAAAAAAAAAAAAAACAAAACAGTAGACCAAAAACTTATATTTGAATTAAATATAACCCACTAGGTTGGTTGGTTATTATTTACTAACAAAACAAACGGGAATAAAAAAAAATGATAATCTCCACTTGACCAATGACCAGACTAGTAGCCAATGAAAGACAAGTTGGTAATAGTTTAAGCACGTCTACTTTTGCTTTAGGTCTAACAAATATGTTTATGTAATTGCACATGCTAATCAGGTTTAAATTCCATTATCTGGTTTATAGTTTTCCCCTTAGTTACACACAGTTGACAGTTCCTTCCATCTACATATACCTTTTAATAAACTGTTACGAGAATATTATGTGTAATAGACAGATAATTCGATTAATATACTCAATACTAAAAGGTAATTTGATGATTCCCTTAATATGATCCATGATGACGATAAATCTTAAAGTTAAACGAATAGGGGTTTTATTATTTCTGTACTTTTAAGTACTCTCTGGTATATATACATTTGGAACAGTTATCGGCTTGATTCTAATTGATTCTTAGTTTTATAATATCGGCTTTGTATTATATTTTCTATCTAAAACATTTGGACAAAAGGATCAACCCAAAAAAAAAAAACTTAATAGTAAAGTTACATACTATGAAGAAATATATTAATAAGTCTACCATTAACAATATCGATGCATCAAATATTCATTTACAAACCACAAAAACGGTTAAGAGTAACATTTAAAAGAACAAGAAATTAAACAATGTCACAAATTATGATACCATGTACAAAACAAAAAAATGGATTAATTCATTTAACAGATTCACCTTAAGATGTTTTGTGTACCAGTACTACACTACTACCACCCTCCAAATCCATCTTTTTTTGTGAAAAAAACCCCAACAATATTTCGATATTTAATTTCCAACATAAATCTCCCAAAGAAATCCCGTTAAATTCCAATTCTTTCTAAACCCATATATCTATTTTTAAAAGAAAGAAAAGGTATCGAAATTTTCTTCCTTGTAAAGAACGAACATCTAAAAGAAATAGAACAAAAAAAAATAGATACATAATTTGCAATTATATAAGGAAGATGAGATTATTGCCGGTTGGTACTTCTAGCCAGAGACTGAAGGTTGCACCGGACGATAGTATCAACGAAGCTTAGAGTTTCCTCCTCCGTGTTTCCCGGCGGCACATCGACGATGTAAGACTCCACCACGACGGTCCCTTCATCGTCCGCCGCGTGTAGTGTCGTCACCGATCGGTAGTTCTTGAGCCTGTGGTCCCCACCAACGACACTAAAGCTAATCACGTGACGCTCCTCGTCCAAGATCTCGAGTCTCTCGGTGCTCGAGACCGCCGGAAGTCCAGAGACCACCATGACCTCCCGGAGATCGCCGACGTGTAGTCCATCGCCTTGGACGATACGGCACTGTCTGATGAAGTTCTTGTAAACCTTCGGGTTATCAAAACGCCGCACGAGAGCCCACACGGACTCAGGCGGCGCGTGGATCATCTGCACCACCGAAGAGCAGCACTGGTCCGGACCAACGTCGTGTGTGTGGTGCATCGCAACGTGTTCAGGGACATGCATACCGCGCGTGAGACACACTCTCCTGATCGGACCATCGGTCTGATCGAGAGGCTGCAGCGTGTGGAAACCGTTAGTGGCGTCTGAGCCGTGTTGGAGTTGCACCGGTGACCTCATGATCTTTCCTCTATCTGGAATCTATCTCTTAATTTGTTTTTTGGGAGAATTTATGGAATCGTATATATTGCGATCAAGAGAGAAATAAGTTTGATGAGAAAAGAAGAGAGCTAGCTTTTTGATCTTGTTCGCTGTCGGTTGTCAAGTTGGTTTTGTTTGAGAAATTTAAAAAGTATGATCATCTTTTATTTTATAATAATAACGTAACAATAAGATATGAACATTGTGTGTTTTTTAAAAATATATATTTGTAGATAGATGGATAGAGATAGCTGGGGATGTGAAGGCTTTGTGTTTGTATGTATATAGACACAGTTGTGTATATAGACGAATTTGTATCATGTACATGTGTGTCTGTGTGTGACCATGTATGATACATTGTACCATCTTATGCCCCCATGATTTTTTTCCTCAGACGCCTCCTTCATTATCTTGAAAATATTACCAAAATAAATTATATTCTATAGATTCCTCATTTTCCATCTTGATAAATTTATATTTTAGAATCTACAAGGTTTAACTAGACATGAATCCAGTTAATAAATTGTTCCTAGATAAAAAAAAAATTGATCTTAGTTATCATTCTTTAAAAATCAGTCATTAGTTATAGTAAAATATTTTACTGTTATTGTTAAAATTTACATATTATATACACATTTTGATTTTAATATTACTAAAGTAAAAGTTATGAGAAATAGCATGTACAATACAATATTTGAAATCAGAAGTTTTGAATATCACACGACTATAACGCGCATGTGAAATGTAGTGTCATATGATTTAATTGATTGTGTTAAACCCCAATCGTAAATTTTAAGATAGACATGGTCATGGCAAAGTTAAAACTACATACATGCATGAGCACACGTGCATGCACAGATGTTGATGGGTTTGTCATATATGTGTAAATGGTGTATGTAAATGTAGTTATGTATGGAGAGAGAAAGTTGGAGGAAGGTGAGACCTTATCAAAGAGCTTACGCCGGACGATGCAAGTGGATGTTGCAACTTGCAATCTTCTTTGGACTTAGTTTAGGTGGAAGATTATCCTTTCCTTTTTTTCTCTATTTCTTTTGTTCTTGTTGCCCATTTTTATATTATATTCTCATCATATAGTACAAAGGTTGTTGCATCGCGACTTTGTAATTTTTTTTTCACAAAATAATATAATAGCGACATGGGTATGTTACTCTACATCAAGTTCCATGTACACTCGAATTGTATAGGCATGCAATTACTATTATTATTTATTTTTATCAGCAATTACTATGTTTTCTAATCGACTATGATAATTTGTTTAATTGTAGTTGGAGAGTTAATTAATTATAGAAGAATGCATTCAGTAATCCCACTAAATAGTCCTTGCTTTGTTTTACAACTTGATTACTAGTAAAAAAAATGTTATATTTGGTAATACCTGATTTTTTGAAAAAAAAATAATGGTACATGTGAAAAATTAAAGTATAAAATAATCGATTTTACTGTATATTCTAAACTACAGCTATCTTCTTAGAACCCATCCTAATAAATTCCACAATTAAGCTTGTTTGAATTAAAACATTTTAAAAAGAGTGATCTATACTAGAAAATAATATTTGTTACCGTGTCAATGAAGATAAACCATAAAAAGAAAATATAGTCGTAATTTCAAATTTGTAAGACTTGTTAATAAACCTTGTGGGGTTTTTGGAAATAGCAATTCGACCATCACAAAAAAAAAAAAAATAATAATACCACAAACTGTGGGTTTTAATAAGTTGTTTTAACTTTAAGTTTAAAATTCAAGGCCCAATCGGTTGTTCTTAAAATATACTATATACGAAATGATGCCCTAAATCAGAATAACGATAAAAATGAAATAAAAAAAAAACAATTATCGCCTATCGAGAAAACCTAGTAATTAAGGGGCTCTTCTCAACTTCTCCATGGACGACAACAAAGTAATTTTCTTATTCGCTCTTCAACCTTTGTTTCTCAACTAATGGTTTCTTCACAAATACTTCAAGTTAGTTTGTCGTGTTTCTGATTAGATCTCTTGTACTTTTTAGGGACTGAAACAGAAGGGTAGGGATAGAATCATTCCAAAATTCAGGTAAATTGAAATTTCGGTATGTGTAAGATGATCGATGCATGTCTTCAATTGTCACCACGTTGATAGTATAATCAAATTATTGCAGTGAAGCTGGGAGGATTATAGTTACGGGATATGACACTGGTCTTCCTCTTGATGATGTCGCGACGGCATTGAAAAATCATTTCTCTCGATGTGGAAAGATCACGGATGTTTCTATTCCCTTAGACTCCGTAACGAATTATAATATTCTCCAGAGGTTTTGTGGCTTCTTCTTCCTCCATTTTTTTCCAGCTCATCAGCTCAAGTTAAAATATTGCTAACTAAAAAAAACTTCTTGTTGTTGTTGTTGTTTCACAGACGTGGTTATATTTATTTTGTGGGAGAAGGCGCAGTAGATAAGGCGTTGCAACTTAACGGAAGTGACATGGGAGGAAGGAAAGTCTCTGTCGAGGCTTATCCGTATCAGGAAGATGCAGACGAGTAAACACTTAATTCTTATTATTTTTTTTAAATAAGATTTGTATCTTAATATATATATATATATATATATATATATATGTGTTGATAATAACAATGTATATCATCTCCTGCAATATCCTGTTATTGCAGTATGGTTTTTGTAAGAGTTGAAGGACTGATCTCAAGAGTGCTTTGAGTAATCATTTCTCTTCATATGGAAAGATCAAACAATTCTTTACTATCGAGAGGTTTGTGGCTTCTTTCTCCCGTTTTTCCCAACTTTCAAGTTATTAAAACGACTAAAGACTTGTTTCTTTGTTGATTTTTTCAGCTCAGCTAGAGCGATGATTTACGGAAAAGACGTAGCAGATAAGGTGACTGAACTTAATGGGAGCGACATGGGAGGACACAAATTAGCTGTTCTGGTGACTGCTAAACCTAGAATACCCACTGTCCACGGACGCCAGCACCGCCAACGGCCACCCCCTACTCTCCCAGGTACATCAATTTGATTCTTGATTCTTGATAACAAAGTAAAGCTTTTGTGGTTTATTTTAGTATCTGATAGCTCTAGCAGGGATGCAGCCATTCCAAAAAGCAGGTAAATTATTAAGATGGCTTTATGAGTGTACAATGTTTCTTTCATAAAAATTTCCTCAATTTCAGTGCTTTTTCTTTGGTATTATTGCAGGAGTGAAAGCTCCAAGACCCCGGATAAATCTTCTAAGAAGAAAAGGAAGTTAAGTGAGGAAGCTGCAATGGAGAGTAAAGCCATTTCTACTACTGTTGAGAAGCAAACGCCTGACCTAGATGGGCTCATTGTTGAAGAGTTATGCATGGGTAACCCCAACGGCAAGAAAGCTGAGCCTGGAAAAATGGTATGCCCATTTAGTCCTAATTAAATTGTTGTAGTTTTGTGTGTAAGTTCCCAAATATTTGTTGGAGCTCATTTTATTGTCTCTGAGTGCAGGTTACTGTCCATTATACTGGAAAGCTTCTGGCGAATGGGGAGATTTTCGAATCCAAGTTTGGAGACTTACGTTATAAGTTTCGTCTAGGTTTGTATTATAACTAGATATATGTGAAAATAAGATGAGCTTTATTAGTCTTGTGACGACTGGTACTTGGATACTTATATATAATGTGCTTGTTGTTACATGGCAGGTGTTGGACACGTCATTAAGGGACTGGATGTTGGCGTTAATGGTAACCTAGCTAATTTCTTACTGGTTTTTTGTTTCTTCACTATATATGTTGAAACGGTGCATCGATCATGTTGTTTTGATCTCTTTTTTTGTAAATTTTGAAGGCATGAGTGTTGGTGGCAAAAGAAAGCTTACAATTCCTCCAGAAATGGGGTAAAGCCTTTGTAAATCATTTTGATTTATCTTTACTGTGATGTTTTATTTAACCTTTTTTAATATATGAGAGATGATAATATATTTATTGTCTGGCTCTCAGGTTTGGTCCTGACGCTTGGCTGGTGTTTGATGTCGAACTGCTTAATGTTAAATAAAACTGCCCTGGAAACCATTGATTGAATCCATGATGAGGTTTTTAAGTTGTTAGTTGTCAATCCTTAACCAATTTTCTTACTGCAACTCTAAATGATCCGAGAAACTTCTCTTGCAGTTAATTACTACAACAAACCTCACTGACCTATATAGTTCACTCTGTTCTCTCTGGCTCTTATAATTTAGAGGCAGATACAATATTCTGTTAACTCAAAATATCAACAAAATACTTTTTGGTAATGCATTCAATAAAATTAGTACTGTCTCAACGTGAGAAATGAGAAGATTGTGAGAGATCATCTTTGGCTTGGGATTATCCTCTTACGATTTGAGACGCATTAAGGCCCATAAAGCTTCACAAGTGTGTATTATTTATTCATTCCTGTTGTTACAAAACATAAGAAAATCTAAAGAACAACTTAAGAGAAGCAGACTAACAAACTATAGTTGTCTTCTCTATTGTCATATCGCTGTTTCGATATATACACTTCACCTTTACAACAAGAAAAAAAACGTTTTCTGAAGTTCTCTATATCACTAAAAGTAAAACTCAGAAATAGAGAATCAACAGTCATTGTGGGATTAAGGCAAATAACAAATCCGAAAAGCTTCATATTGTTTAGTTTAGTTCTCCAGATCCAAGTAACTCAAGTCGTCGAAAAATCCATTACCATCCTTTGCCTCGAGCTGAAACGGAGGTAATCCGTATCCGTAGTTGAGGCTTTGAAGCAGATCAAATCCGCCTTGTTGACTCTCAGGCCTGTATGAACCGTTGGCAACATAGTTCCCCGGGTACTGGTCCTGATTTAAGCCTGTAAACACGTCGTCGCCATTTATGTCACGTAGTAGCTCATCAACATCAAACATATCTGAAGAATCCAAGTGACTCTGATCCAGATCATTGGGCCAGCCATAGTCTGCAACAGATAGTGAATCCTGCGGTTCCTGTTGCTGACAGGTTTCTACAATCTCTTGCTCCTTCAGTTTCTCTTTCTCTTTCAGAACATCCCTCCAATAGTTATGTTCAAAAAAATTTAAGACACGAAAACATGAAAAGGGTACTACTGTATCTGTATGTGTTGGTAAAAAGTCCGTCGAAGGACCATATGGGCCTTAGAGTCCAGGCCAGAACTAAATTCAAGGCCCAAAAGAAAAAAGCAATTATAAATACCAGACCTAAATTGATAAATCTGTAAAAGGGTTAGCCATGTTCTCATCCACCATGGTAATCTTCTTCTTACTCTACTCTTATGGCTTTTCTGATTCACTCTGGTCTCTTATCTTTGTTTCTCAATTGATGGTTTCTTCACAAGTTTGTAAGAAAATTACTTCAAGTTAGTTAGTAGTGTTTCTGATTTGATCTCTTTTACTTTTTAGGTTCCGAAACGGAATAACATTCCAAAACTGAGGTAAATTGAGAAATTGGTATGTGTAAGATGATGCATGTTTTCAGATGTCACGTTGATAGTATTATTATTGCAGTGACGTTGGGAGGATTAAGGTTACGGGATATGACACTGGTCTTCCTCTTGATGATGTCTACACGGCATTGGCAGAACATTTCTCTTCATGTGGAGAGATCTGGGAGATTTATGTTCCCTTAAAATTTGATGAGACTAAGACGAGTCTCAACAGGTTTTGGTGGCTTCTTCCTCCTCCATTTCTTTCCAATTCATCAGCTCAAGTTAAATATCAGCTCACTTGTTGTTGTTGTTGTTGTTATTTCAGTCATGGTGTTATGTGTTTACTGGGGGGACAAGACGCAGTAGAGAAGGCCTTGCAACTTACTGGAAGTAACGTGGGAGGATGGAATGTCTCTGTTGAGGCTTATCCGTATCCGGCAAACGCAAACGAGTAAACACTGATTTCTTTAAAAAATAAGATTTGTTGATAATAATAATGTTTATCATCTCCGGCAATATCCTATTACTGCAGTAGGGTTGTTGTAATAGTTGAAGGATATGACACTTCGCTTAGGAAGAGTCAAATCTCCAGGGCTTTGGTTAAACTTTTCTCTCCATATGGAACTATCAGACGCCTCTCTTTTTTCAAGAAGAGGTTTGTGGCTTCTTTCTCCCATGTTACCCAACTTTCAATTTATTTTAAATTACTCTTTAACGACTAGAGACTTGTGTATTTTGTTGATAATTTTTCAGCTCAGTTAGAGCTTCTGTTCACGGAAAAGACGTAGCTGATACCGTGACTCAACTTAATGGGAGCTACATGCGAGGACGCAAATTAGCTGTTTGGGTGACTGCCAAACCGGAAATACCTATACGCCTCATTCGCCGCCGCGTCAATTTCAGTAAACCTATTCCTCCTCTCCAAGATCCTTCTGCCATGGATGCAGCCATTCCAAAAAGCAGGTAAATTTATTTTCTGACAAACTTTTCTATCCTTCTCCAGTCACTTTTGTATCCTATAACCACAATTCAAATATTACTGTAAAATTTAGCTTTTCTTATTGAAATGGTTTTAACTAAATTCCTTCATATATAAGATCCTCCGGCATACTCTTTTCAAAACAATGAATAGAAGTCAGCTTGAGTTTTTTTTAGCTACTTGACTTTGCCTTAAAACTGAATATTATTTAACTTCTTTGTTCTTTTTGGGATAATCAAAAGTAGTCATGTCATTTGGGATATATCAGTTAGTACATTTGTTATTGGTATTCGATATTAATTATTAGCTCATAAGTAAATGGTTCTTTCAAATTCTTTCCCATCTTATAAATTTCTATGCTCTTTTTTTTGGTATTATTGCAGAAGTGAAACCTCCATGGCCCCATCTGAATCTGCTAAGAAGAATGAGAAGATAAGTGAGGAAGCTACAGTGGAGAGTAAAGCCTTTTCTAGTAGTGTTGAGAAGCAAACGCCTGACCTAGATGGCCTCATTGTTGAAGAGTTATGCATGGGTAACCCCAACGGCAAGAAAGCTGAGCCTGGCAAAAGGGTATGAACATTTAGTCCTAAACTGTTGGAGTTTGAGTGCAAATATTTGTTGGAGGTCAATCTATTGTCTCTGAGTGCAGGTAAGTGTCCATTATACTGGAAAGCTTCAGGGGAATGGGAAGATTTTCGATTCCACCGTTGGAAAATCACGTTATAAGTTTCGTCTAGGTTGGTATTATAACTTGATGCGAAAGTAAGAGCTTTATTAGTGTGTGAGTGGTACTTGGATACTTATGTGCTTGCTGTTACACATACAGGTGCTGGAAAAGTCATTAAGGGATTGGATGTTGGCGTCAATGGTAACCTAGCTAGTTTCTTACTGGTATTTCTTCACTAAATATGGTCAAATGGTGTGTTGTTTTGATCTCTCTTTGTAAATTTCAAAGGAATGCGTGTTGGTGGCAAAAGAATGCTTACAATTCCTCCAGCAATGGGGTAAAGCCTTTGCAAATCATCTCTTATTTATCTTTCTTTGGTAATGTGATGTTCTATTTTAAGCTTTTTTAATGAGAGATGATAAAATTGTCTGGCCTACAGGTATGGTGCGGAAGGTGCTGGTAGCATTCCTCCTGACTCTTGGCTGGTCTTTGATGTCGAGCTGCTTAACGTTAAATAAAGCTGTCCTCTAATCCCTCGAGACCTTCCTAAGACTGAATCCAATGATGAGTTTTTTTTAAGATCGTATAGTTTTTCCTCTAAAGGTTTCAAATATTGTGAGACACACTAAGGCCCATCAGGCTTCACAAGTGTGTATTATTCATTCCTGTTGTTACAAAACATAAAACATATCTAAAGAACAACTTAAGAGAAGCAGACTAACAAACTATAGTTGTCTTCTCTATTGTCATATCACTGTTTCGATATATACAGTTCACCTTTATTACAAGAAAAACGTGTTCTGTAGTTCTCTATATCACTAAAACTCGGATAGAGAATCAACAGTCATTGTGGGATTAAGGCAAATATCAAATCCAAAAAGCTTCATATCGTTTTGTTTAGTTCTCCAGATCCAAGTAACTCAAGTCGTCGAAGAATCCATTACCATCCTTTCCCTCGAGCTGAAACGGAGGTATTCCGTAGTTGAGGCTTTGTAGCGGATCAACACCACTTTGTTGACTCTCGGGCCTGTATGAACCGTTGGCAACATTGTTCCCCGGGTACTGGTCCTGATTTAAGCCTGCAAACACATCGTCGCCATTTAGGTCACGTAGAAGCTCATCGACATCAAACATGTCTGAAGAATCCAAGTGACTCTGATCCACATCATTGGGCCAACCATAGTCTGCAACAGATAGCGAATCCTGCTGTTGTTGCTGACAGGTTTCTACAATCTCTTGCTCCTTCTGCTTCTCTTTCTCTTTCAGGACATCACTCCAATAGTTATGTTCAAACTCACTCAACCAATCCTTATCTGCCTTAACATCTCTCTTCATCTCTTCCGCATCATTCTCCAGACAATACATCGGCTTAACTTCACCGAAGAAGGGTTTAGATTCACAATCTGCATCCTCTGTTTTCACATGAACACAACCAGGAGTCTCAACAGTACACACCTCAGACTGACTCGAGGTACTCGTAACCTCAGACGCATCAGACCGAGGGAAATTAAGACGAGCCAAAGGACCATACATAGCTTTAGCAGCCTCATCATAAGCAGAAGCAGCTTCTTCAGCAGTAGGGAAAGTACCCAGCCAAAGCCTACTACCTCGATTAGGCTCTCTGATCTCAGCAACCCATTTACCCCAAATCCTTTGCCTAACTCCTCTGAAACTACATCGACTATTCTCTGGTCCTCCTTTACCTTTCATACAACCCTTCTTCGACCCTTTTGCAGGTACTTTCCTTTTCTTGGTAGAAACTTCTTCAACATTCTCATTGTACTCTTTCCATCTCTTCAACCTCTCAGCCACAGTAGTACCATCAGCTCTACTTCTAGATTTCCTTTTCCTCGATGTATCAAGTTGGGTTCTGTTTATATCTCCACTCTGATCATAAACTGCCATCTCCTTCCCAGAAACAACACAATCTACAATACAACAACACTTCAATATCAGAACACTAGTTAAAACATAAGGCAAACAGAACTTAAATTGGTACAAAATCAGAGGGATTTACTTATGTGTTATCAAACTCCTTGAACTCAAATTAAGAACACCTAAAATTTCCCAATTTCACAGATATACCTAAAAGGCATAATCGAAAACCTAAAGACGAAGATAAACCCTAGAATCACCAATCGACAAAAAGGCAAGCCCTTTTCGAGACCAAATCAGAGAAATTGATCGTAAATTTGTAAGAAGTCAGAAATCAACGTACCTATTGGGGACGAAATTTGAAAACCAAAGTCTATTCCTTTGAGTATATAAATCGCTTTCGTGTTTAGTGTTCTTCTTCTTCTTGTTCTTGTGTGTAGCTTTTTCGAGTTTTCTCTAGTGATTGGTTTCTTCTCTCTTACTCTTTTTATCAGACAGCTTTAGCAGAAATCAAAATATCTAAGGAGGACAAGTATCGAGGAATATTTATAACCTTCTCTAGATATTTCTAATATTATTTTATTGTTCTGTTTGTGATCAATGTGACGTGTCAGTTTTTGATTCGAACATCAGGGCTAAGACTTCTTTCCCAATCGACGAGTGTCCCGAATCTTCTCGAAACACGCTGTTGATACGGAAAAGTAAAATTTAAACCTTTTTTTAATTGATTTATTTATGGATAAGATCACTCCATTATTTTAATATTAACAAATTTAAAATATCTTCATTTTTTTTTATTAACTCTGACAACACAACATTGTCTCATACTCTCATGCTCTTTCTCGATTTTTCTTGGTTTTATTGCCACTTTTGAAGGCTTTATTTATCACATTATATGTGGTAATTGATCAAAATTAACATGACATTGTTACTACTACTAGATGTGTAATTGGATGATGTAGTACGAAACTTCAGTTGTTTATTGCTTGTATTTTCAAGTTTTTACAAATATGCTCATTATTTCCCTATACAAAACTTTCTAATTGCGATTTTTATTGATTATAGATATTAAAAGAAGATTATGGTTAATATTGTAAAATTAATGCATTCCAGCCTATAGAACGAATTCATAAATGTTTCATTACGAATTCGAGAAAATGTCAGCCAGAAATGACTATAACATTAAATATTAGTTTAGCTAGGTAGAGACGTGTCAAATGGTGAAGCTCAAACTTGGGTGGCTTAGCTTCGAGCAGAGTAACAGGGTTCATTACCATATAATAATATTGGGAATTGCAAGTTGTAAGCAAAGTAGCAGTCATAAGCCTTTGCATGTGCCTCATGTGTCCTTTGCAAACCATGACCACTTCATCCACTACGTGTCTCTAACGCCATCGCTAACGTAAGCTCACGCAATTGCTTACGCACTCCTACCCCCATGGGCCATGGCCTTATATCTTTTGAAACTTTTAAAGCCCATTATTTCGTTGCAGATGATTAGATGAATGAAAAAGCCCATTAAGCTGAATTTTTTTCTGATTTTTTTGTTTGTTTGGCTTGGCAAATAACAACATTGTGCTCACTATCATTTGTCTTATAGCTAGCTCCAACAATTGAGAAGACAGATATTATATAGGCTATGATTGACATTGAACACATACAACAATTTATCTACGCAAACTGACAAGGACATTTATCTCCCATGAATAGATTTAATCCAATACAATACCAAAATCTGAATATTCTTCTATTAGAAGTGACTCTTTTATATTGAAACTAGCAAATAGGTAGATCGTGAGGAGGAGCTTCAAGAGTCTCTAATTCTCCGACACCATTGTCGACCAAGAACGCCATAGCCAAACCCCACTTTATATGAACATCTAAGTGACAATGCATCAACCAAACCCCTGTTTCATCACACAAAAAAACCAACATTATTTTCCCAAATCAAATCAAATGTAACTATTAACTAAAGATATAATAAACTTTTGTTAATTACCTGGATTATCTGCAACGAATCTGATAACAGCCCATCCATTAACAGGAACAGCCACAGTGTTTCTAAGTGGAGGATCAACAAGATTAAACTTAGAAGTATCTTTCTTGGGATTAAAGTTACCAAACCCTTCACCAACTATGTAGAAATCATAACCGTGAAGATGAATCGGGTGATTCTCCGACGTAACAATGTTTGTATCCTGTAAAACAACCTGAACTCGAGATCCATACTTGAGTTTGTACAGTTTAGTACCCTTAACCGGCTGAAACAGAGCCCTGCTTATGTTATTTCCGGTATAATCGAACTTAACCGGCGGTTTCGCCGGAAAATCTGTCGTGAAAACGCCGGGAATTCCATTGGAATGTGCTTGCAAGAGCGAGAAATTCGACGGTAGAACAAACGAAACGTTGTTCATCGATGCAGTAAACCGGGTTCCGTTTAAGCCTTGACACCGGCTTTTAGGGAAATTCTTGGGACAATTATCGAGACCTAAACCGATTGTGAAGAACAAATTATCATCAATTGTTTTTGGAACGACGACGTTTCGGAGAGATTTGAACTTCCTTGAGAAAGACGTCACGGTGTTCGTGTCGTTGAAGGCAGGCAAAACCGGCATGATTGGTTTAGAAGTGGTCGTCGTTTTCTTGTATTGGAGAATGGCTGTAGTTGTGGTGTTATCAAACGGTGCGTTTTGGGCGCTTTGGTAAGCTCTTGCTGCTATGTAATAGCGTTTTGGCGGTTGGTCGGCGGTTAGAAGTACGTCAGTAGTTTGGCCTGGACCTAACATAAGGACCTTTGTGGTGAATGGTTTGAGGTAAGACGCGTCGGCTCCAACCACAGTGAGCTTGTGGTTAGCCACCGTGAAAAATAGCGGTTGGTTTAAAGCTGCGTTGATCACTCGTAGGAGACTTGTTTCCCCTGAATTTATAGGTACTACAACAGTATCTGCATTTACAAAATATTGCAAAAACTTTAATGTATAAAATATTTAGTTAAATTAAAGTTATATTATATAGTTTTCATTTATGTTTACCTTTGGTTGAGCAATTATAGAGATCACCGGGTTGGCCATTGATGGTATAAGCGTCGGATATATTCGGAGCAGCTCCGGTTCGAGTAGCTTGGTTAATTACATCAACCGGGTTTGCATTCCACCATTCCCCTGATTTTTGAGTTTTTGTTTGTTAATTTAGATTTAGAGATTTCAACAAATTTGTTGATCAAATAAGGAAAAGAATCCGGTATGGTATGGTGTATACCGAGCATGAGTGCGGTTTGTCGGTCCGGTTTAGGGAAAGGAAAAGAGGAACCAGGGGTTGGGTGGATGATGAGTGCGCCGTAGACAGTGGCTCGTAGCCAGGAGCTGTGAGCGTGCCACCATAATGTCCCTTCTTGGCCTTGGATAGTGAAACGGTACGTGTAGCTCTTTCCGGGTCGGATCGGGCATTGGGTTACGAATTCAGGCCCATCAGCCCATCCAGTTCTTATCTGCCTCACTCCATGCCTGTTTTTCAATTTTTGTCATATACGAAAAAGCTTAATTATGTGATATACCGTGACCCAAAAAAAAAAAAAAACTATAGTGTGAAAAAGCTTATTCACTTTTTTTTTGTGTGGTATTTTTGAGTTGTTTAAAGGTTCTATTATTTTTGGAAAAAAGTAACATAATGGTATTTTCTCTAAAAAGATTTTAAAAAGTAAATTGATGTATGTAAAATGTACCAATGGATGGTGATATTGTAACGAGCTCGGTTATGCACTTTGACTTCAAGAGTGTCGCCGTTGTTGACTTCGAGCGTAGGCCCCGGAAGCATTCCGTTGACGGTGATGGCGTTACGGGTCTTGCACAGCCTCTTCACCGGCGTCTCTTGTATCTAAATGATTGCACATACACAATTATAAGTAATGACAATTAGTTGTTAATGTATTTAATTAAGTGTTAATCAATATGAACATGCAACATACGACAAAATCATGGTGTTGGACTTTGGCGATAATCAATGAAGCCGAGAAAAGGGAACAAAAGAACAATAAAGTAGAGAATGTGTGGACAGTCGTCATCAAGTGTGTTTAAGCTTTGAGCTTATGAAAATTTTGAGATTAAGGTTGATTAAGAGAGATATGAGAGAAGGGTTTGAGAGAATAATGAAGAGGGAAAGATCCCTTTTATAGTTAAATTAAATGGAAGTTAATTTTTTTTACAAAATTATTTAGGGGTTGGAAGAATTAGGTGCTAATTATTCAAAAGAAAATTTGAATTACCGGTCACCAACATATTTAAGTGTCTTTATCAGTTCGTTGGCTATGTTTTTTTGCTTCCTTTCACACTTCAAATGGAGAACCATGGTTTAGTTTTCTTCTATTTTAAGAGTTGATCAACCTCAAAAATGTTGGCAGAAAATATATGTTAAAATATTTTAATGGACATAGGATCATGAATCATGATACCATTTTCAAAAATATGTTGTAGGTTTAGAAATTAGATTTAAATACCTAACCTCCAAATGATACTATGTAGTATCCCTTTAAGGTTTGTTTTAGTTATTAATAACAGTTTATATTTTTTTAAATATCAACCCATGAAAACATAATTAGTTTTATGACTACTTTTTGTATTGCGTAATCATGTTTCTTGATATTCCACGCCATAAGTTCTAAACTTGAAAAACAGTTAACTAGTTCTTTTTGCCCCTCCAAAATTGAGAAGAACTTGAGACATTGAAAGGGAGCAAAGACTTAGTTGAGGTAAGTAGTTGCACCGAACACTTGGCATAATTTCAACAAAGTTTAGTTGAATTGAACTCAAGTCATTTCATATCACGTCTAGACGTTCTAGTGCTTGTGACTCAAGCTTCTTCCTTACATCCCAAGTTTTTCTGTCTTATCAAATACAAAGATCATTAATCATCACCAGTAAAAATATTTTGGCAAAGTAATACTAAGGTTACACAAAAAAAAAAAAAAAAAAAAAGCCAAGGGCACATATATCACTCATTTAATTGTGTAACCAGATTAATCATTTTAATTTGTTATATCTTCCATTGGTTATCCAAACTCAAAAAATGGGATAAATAATTATATATTTTGTATTAGACGAATTTCTCAATAACTTAACAATATTAATTATTTATAAGAAAATTAACTATTGCATAATGGTATACAGGGCCGGCCCACGGCTAAAGCCCAACAAGCCAATGCTTTAGGCAGCAAAAATTGTATATATTTTTAAGGGCATCAAATTAATGTCGTAAGTGTCTAGTAGCCTAGTGGTTGAGCAACATTTGCTTAACCTCCTCAACCAAGGTTCGAATCCTATTGCCTTTTCTTTCTTCCAAAACCGAATATTTTTCTTACTTTTTATTTTTATTTTAAATTTACCCGATTATTTGAATTTTCTAATTTCAATTTCCTTTTATATTATTATATTTGACTGATTAACATTAAATTATTCACTAAACATTTTAATTTGTTTTTAAAACCTATTTTGCTAAATTTTTTTTTTGTCTTCTTTTATATTTACTAAACAACTATATTAGATTGATTAATATTAAATTATTATTATTTTTTTTCATTTTTTTTTTAAAACAATGATGCTTCTGTATTTTCTGTTTTTGGTTTTAAGACTTTTCCTTTATTTGAACTCATGTTAACATTAAATTTCAAAGAATTATGCTGTTTTTTTAAGGAGATTTTTTTTTTTTTTGAGGCAACGATTTTTTGGTTTGCTTTAGGCATCAAATAACATTGGGCCGGCACTGATGGTATATGATATATGTAGGTCTAATTCCATTCATTTTTATATATGAATCAAAATCAAGATTCATATCTCAAACTCTAAAGATGAATTTGGAATACAAACAACATCTAGATGCAGAACCTAAAGTCAAAGTTGAATTGTTAACACAAATGCCATATTCAGATACACGGGTGAATTGGGTCATATTGGTCTAATAATCTCATGATTTTTTCTTCTTGTTGTTTGTTTTTATCTTAACAAACATAGCATATGCACTGTGCTAGAGTGTAACGTTCAAACAATAAACTAACAGCCAATAGCAAAATCACCTTTTTCACTTGAAGTAATATTCAAATCTTTCATCATGCATTTTAACAAACATTCACGATAAACTTCTTTGCTACGTTTCTCCTATGTCTCGATATTATCCCACTTGTCATGTTCCATAACCAAAATCAAAAGTATTTACACGTCAGAAACAAATGTATCTCAGTGCAGAAACATTCAGTTTGAAAAAAAAAAAAAAAACATTCTGTTGAAGATGGATCCGTAATTTACCAACATTTCCCGAATAAAGAACCAATTTCGTTTGCCAAACCAATTTGAGATAGACACTGGGCTGGATTTTAAATTCAGAGTCAATTGAGTTGAAAATGAAACTTAGAGTGGAATCACAAACATCTAACCACACTAACGATGATTGGATCCTATTCCTAACACAGTTAGTCTCAAAGCTTAATAATAGTAATCAGCCATTCAATAATATTTGTCACACACCTAACGCCATAGAAATCCAAATCGAGAGTAATGTGACTGTGATCAATTGTTGAATCATTACATGTTTGAATCAATGGAGGTCAAAACCAAGACGATCAAATTTTACATTTTCCCTCACATAATCGCATAAGCAATTTTAAGAAAAAACAATAAAGAATCATAGAAAGTGAGTTTGTCTACAGAGAAGAGTCCTTAAACTCAGACACGACCTGACGCAGGAGTTGATGCGGCGGCAACTGCGGCGGAGGTGGCGGCTCCGCTAAGGAAAGACAATAATCCGGTGTTGGCAGGTTCTTGATCATCCAAGAAAAGATCCTCCGGAACTCTAAATGCGCCGTGTAAGCATACGATTCCGAAACCAATCATCAAAGCAGAGGTCAATAAAGATCCAACGCTGGTCAAGAAGACGACGACGATTGTCAAAATCACCAAAACTCCAAGTGTCTCACGATCTGAGAACGTACGGCCGAGAATCACCAGAGGTTGATCTGACGGACGGAAAAGGTAGAGGAAGATCCAAGCGCCGAAGAGGCATATGAGAACGAGAAGAGAGAAAGGATGGGAGAGGAGCGAGAGCGCGAGCACCAAGGAGACGATCGTCACGTAGTTTACCTTGAAGTAAGGTAGATTCCTCCGGATCCGAGAATACGCATCGGTGAGAGATTCTGGCCGTGAAATTGCGCTCCGATCTACGAGTTCTAACCATGGACGCCGCTGCGATAGGCTTTGACGGATCGACGACGAGAGGCGAGAGAGGAACGTGCGAAACGCCGGTGTGGATACGGTTTTCTGAGATTGAGAACCACCACCGGAATGGTCTGAGATCGGTAACGTTGGTGGATTAGCCATCACACACGACTGCGCGTGGGGATACGAAAGAGGCGCGTGGATTAAAGACTTATTATTTATTTACGGATGAATTGATTTCTTCTGACGCAATCTGTTTCCCGTGTTAACGTCATGATCTCATGTAAACAGCTTCACCATAGACCGCTCTCTGCATCGCAGCATCTCCACCGTCCACGTGGATTATTGCAAATTTATAAAGAAAAGGCCCATCTACTATCCATTAGGCTTACGTGGGTTTGAAATTAAAAGCCTTTATAATTAAACGGCAGCGTTTGTTGGCAGAGACGATGCATATTAGCCGGCTTGAGAAGTCTTCTTGTTACAATTGTCGGAATCGGAGATTTGGTCGACGAAAATGGGAAAGCAGCCGGTGAAATTGAAGGCGGTGGTTTACGCGTTATCGCCGTTTCAGCAGAAGATCATGACGGGTCTATGGAAGGATCTTCCGGAGAAGATCCACCACAAGGTCTCAGAGAATTGGATCAGCACTATTCTCCTCGTCGCTCCCGTCGTCGGAACCTACTCGTACGTTTCTCTCTTTCTCTCTCTCGGTCTAGTCAATTAGCGAACATATTTGATGGATCAATCGTGTGGAATTCGATCTGATGATTGTGACTGATGCGATATGTGTAGATTTAGTTAGGTTGTGGTTTTATTGGACATGACAGCAAAAATGGTTTTAGGGTTATTGTTTTGTGACAAATTCTCATAGATTGGTGTCGATTTCGATGCTTAGTACTGTTTCTGCTGAACCAATACTAAAGGATACAAGTGTCAAGACAAAAGAAGTAGCTAGCTAGCTTGACAACATTATAAGATTTGATTATCTGAACCACGTATACCTCCCCCCAAATAGAGATAGTGAATTCATGATGATGATGATAGAAAGATAGTCAGTATATTAGCTTGATGATGCTCTTTTACTTGAAACAGTTTATGTGATTCATGGAATTCAAATATATGCTCAAGGAGTTAAATTATGTTCAGCTTCCCTATCTTTGATTATCATCGCTCATTCGCTCTCATAGCAATTATTTAGGAAACTTTAGATCTTGATTGAGAAATAAATTTCCTGTCATGTGCCATATTGTACTTTGACACTCATTTTGTCACTATCAAGTCTTAATTGTTGTTATTGTTTCAAAGACTCATATCTGAATCTTGTTTCTTGCAAATGAACGCAGGTATGCTCAGTACTTCAAAGAACAAGAGAAGCTGGAGCACAGGTTCTAAGCATGGAAATATCCTGATTTTACAAGAATCCAATTCTTTCTTCACTTTTCATTCTCCAAAATGTGGTCAATTGACAATTTGTAATTGTACACTCATAGAAGCGGAAAAGTTGCTTCCTTTCATTTTTTGTTGAATAAATTTGTATTTGAATTCATGAACATCACCCCCGAAGGTTTGATCTCTATATTAGAAAATCAAATGCTGAAGGAAGATTTAGTCTAAATCGCATTTTATTGTCTGTGTATACGAAATCCTCATGAATTCTACAGCAGATGCTTAAGATCAATTGAGCATACATATAGACCTAACTATTGCTAAATCTGAGGAAAGCAAAAAGACTCTAGTTGGCAAAGAGGGTTTGATTGTCTTGATCCCATTTAACAGCAGCTTTCCTCACCTTTTGAAGAACCCTAATCACTTGTTCCTCTGTTACATTCCCTGTGACTGTTACTTTGTTCAGCTGTGTGTCCACATCGTATGTCTCTATATCTGTAATTTTCATCAAATATAATTATTTAGAGATAGTACGAACCATAATAACCTGTAAATAAACCATAAATATCTTACAAATGGTATATTTGCTTTGAGGAGAAAAATTACACAATTGTTACCTTCAATTTTCTTGATGGCTTTGAGTATTTTCCTGATGCATTCGTCGCAATGCAAATTCACTTTCAGCTCCACAACCTGACAGTAGAGAATATTTTGTCATTTTGGTTAATTGTTAATTCATAAACAGTCAAACACAGATATCCAATAAACATAGACATTGCATCAAGCATAATTTGCAAGAACACTCTAGTTGCAACGATCTCTCTTTTTGTTGTTTATTTTCTTGATAACGGTGCAGTTAGAACATGGTAGATGAAATTAAAGCAAACCATGTACAAGATCTTACTTACATTAGCCATCACAGAAACTTTTGTGGAATAAAAAGACTTCTTCTTCGTGTAGAGAAACAGAGGAAAACAGAGTATATGTGTGTAAACAAGGTCTAGTTGTGTAGAGAAACTAGAAGTAGCAGCAACATATAAATACATGATTTAATGTTATAAAATGACAAAAAGAGAAGAAGAAGAAGAAGATGACGAATGGGATTCTTTGCGTAAAGGAAATTTTTGTGAGTAGAAAACCTCACTGGCCTCCACTAAGTTAGCCGCGTTTGATAATAGGACCAAAGTAATTTTCTTTTCCTTCATTTTCTACAACCGTTCTTTTGATATATTCACTTTTTCAACCTTTTCACACTACAATTTTAAGAAAACAATTATATGATCATGATGATCATATATATAGTTCGGCTCGGATATTCGCTATTTGTTTAGGTAGGATTCAAGTTTTTGTGAATTTGAATCGGATTAGAATTTAGAACTTAATGGTAACAGTTTTCGAAAGATGGTTGGTGAACCAAGCATCTCCAATGTAATGTTAGATAAACCAACATCATGGTGAAAACTCAGGGACTTCTTATTGTTGGGATCATGTACATAATTTTGATAGAATCTTATGTGAATCTTTGAAATTAAGTGTTATCAATGAACTGAATCCATCCTTAGAGAGATGCAAACATTTGTCAAGTGACATTCCAGATTCCAGATTCATTCTTGGCAAACTGTTTGATTCTACTTCTGGGGACAAAGAAACAGAGAAAGCGTGGCAAAATCTATTGGTAATGCAATGATTTCAGCTACAACAGACTCGCAGTTAAATTACTTGACTGCGTGGTAATAAATAACTTGAGGGCCACTTTTTGACCATTGAGATGATACAAAAGCTTCAAATTTGAATACATCAAGTAGAATTAAACAAAGGAGAGAGAAACTAACAAATCAAAGTCACTGGCAATACAAACATTCGAAAGATGATCATCAATCTTTCTTATCATTGGAATCTGAATCGCTTGCATTATAACCTGACATTAGAAGAACAAGAACCCCAAATAAAACACAAAACATTTCACTAATTCGATAAAGTATGCAAAAAAACAAGTCTATCATATATTATTACCTGGAGGCTTATCACTCACTTGCCAAGCTGATGATCTAGTTCTTGAAGCTTTGTTAATCCAAGCACGACCCTTTACAAATCAAAACCACACACAAACAGAATTCTAAATCAGAATCACAATTACATCTTCAAATCAGAGCTAACTAAACCACCTACATTTAAAGAACCCTAATTCAAACTCTAGTAGACCAATCACAACAATACCTAATCAGAGCCATACAATGTAGATACAGAGACGAAAAACCAAACCTTTATATGAATTCGAGAAGAACTTTAAGAAAACAAACTAAACCCAGAAAAATGAGTGCAAAACTGAATCAGAAAATTCATGAAAAAGCGAACCTTGTTTTCATCTTTAGGGATTCCATAGCCGCTGCAATACATCTGACCAACCAAAACCTGCATACCAACGTCACCAGATTTGGCTTCCTTGAGCGTATCCTGAAACCAGCGTCTGACGCAATCCTCGACGACCTGAGCAAGGGGAACCCGATTAATTGGATCCGAACCCGAAGGCGGAGCGGGATTGGAACCCGAGTGCGATCCCGCCTTCTCCAGCTTAACAAGATTGGAGTAATCGAGGTGTGTCGTGTCTGTCGTCTTCTTGACGAAGACTTTGTTCCGTGGAGGAGGAGAAGGTCTGTGGGGTCTGGTTGGATTCTCGGAAGAGAGTCTAATGGCGAATTCTGCGAATCTGACCATCGATTTTCCCATTCAACCAATATAGGGTTTTCAATTTTTTGGTTTGACAGTGGATCAATTAATTTCTTTTCTTTTTTCTTTTTTTTTTTAATCTTTTTTTTTTGTCAACTTCTTCTTTAATATTTTTAGTAGAAATAGCAGCACAAAATAAAGACCATTGGAATATATATTATAAGTTTTCTTCGTTAGTTGGAATTTAATTTGTATTGCATAATAAAGACCATTTTGAATATATATTTACAATGTTATTTCTTCCTAATAACTACTGTCTCAGGCGGCTAAGTAAAAACTATGGCTAAATTCAAAAGCAAATTAGAAAAAATTGATTATTAAACTTAAAACGGAGAATGTAGCAATTACATATGAAGTCCATATTTCAGCCACGTATTTGTGTTGTAGTTGTGCCTTAAAATGAAAATGTAGAGATGAAACTAGCATTATTGGATTCTCATTCCAATCATTGTATATCACTATATCAGTACTCAAAACTCTAATATTTTCAAAAGGCAGAGGAAGTCAAGAGCTATTGCTGTTCCCAGCTTATACCTCAGTTAAAAACCGTAGTAAAAAGTCTGTGTGTGTCAAGAGTCAATGCCGACGATAGTTTTATATCAACATGGCATAGAGTTTCATGTTGTTAAACTTGTCGCTATTCTTAATCTTATACCTCTAAACATTGACTATCTTATAAGAAGATAGATACATACGGATATACTCGATCAAGACGGTTGTTGATTTTGGAAATAGACAGGTAAACCATTGTGTATATCTTACAACATAATCCAAAAATCTTGAAAACAAATAAGCATCAAACAAGTAAACCCGCTTTCAAGCGTTATGAGTAATCAATCACTTGAGAATAAACTAACAATAAACAGATAACATAACAAAATTCCAAAACATATAACAAAACAACTAATGATTGTACACCTCTCTTTGTTGCGATGAATGCAACCGGCTCCTAGCAGCTTCCATTCGGCTCCACATATGTAGCAAAAGGAGTACCCACATCTATCAATCAATCATGAAATTACAATGTTAATTAGGAGGCTAAGACATAATAAAACTCGAGAAGGATTAGTTGTAATATCTAGCTAGAGAATAATGAGACTAGAGATGATACCTGCAACTTATTTGGCAAAACCCATGAGCTACTCCAGCCATTTGTTGGCACTTTGCACACATTGCCCAATCTGTTATAGTTGTCTCTTCGATCCTTTGTTCCCACATGGCTCTTAGTTTAGGTGTCAAAAGATGGGCACAGCTTTCAATAGTCAGTTTCGATTTGCAGCCGTAACGAGGACATCTCGGTACCCTCTCCATTAGTTCAACTTGTATATGTAGTTTGAGGCACTCCAAGCAGAATTTATGACCGCATAAAGCAACAGAAAACATCTGTTCAGCTTCGAGATCATCATCGAAACAGATACCGCAAAAAGCGTTCTTCTTATGACAAGGAGGCATACTTATGCTGATTTCAGAAACGAGTGTTTCCGATGCAAGTTTATAAGCAACCTTATTAGTTTGATCTCCAGTCACCAGAAGAGGGGTGCTAGATGTCAGTTGTTGTCTGGTGCGTTGCACATCATTCATTAGCAAGGCAATGCTATCTTTCTCAGGCCCGGAACTCCCCGTGACCTAAAAACATGATCAAGGGTAAAACATCCATTACGATATTGAAGAAAGTGAAGACAAATGTGAATGTCTTAAAGGAAAGAAAACTTACAAGTTCAAAAATGTGATAATGATCGCAGTAGATTGAGATATGAGTGATCCCCAAACTCACGGCTTCGGTTAGTCCTCGTTTCAATGCCATAAGCTCAGCCTCCAAACCCGTAATCGCGGAGTCATGAATTGATCCTTTCATCTGAAACAAGATATTATCCTCTTGGCCGCAAATTGCAACCCCAAATCCTGCCACCAGCCCTCTTGTTTCCTCCCTTGTCAAACCCTTGAAGTAAAGTCTGTGCAAGCCAGAATCCTGTGACGGTTTTGGGCCATCTTGAGTGCCCTTTTCCTCCATGTGTTTCTCTTAAGCTTTTGTTTTCCTTAGGTTTTATGGCTCGGTATACAACTATAAAGCAGAGGCGGCTCCTCGTGATGAGAATCGGTTTCTGCTAGGGCAACAAAGAAAAAGAAAACCCTAACTTGATTTCAGAAGAAGCAAGGTCAAATCGTTTTCTCTCAAATATAATTCGGGTTAAAAGGAAAAATAGACAACGATTAAGGACTAAAGATCGAGAAAATAGAAAATTGATGTTTTTTTTATATGTTACTGTTTTTTTGTTCTTAGTTGTTTATACGGATACCGCAGGTTAGAACCTATTTGTTTGTATACAAGTTTGTTAATACATAACCAACATTGAAGAAATGTTTGATATGATCGAATGCTCTGAGCACTGCGATGAGTCAGTACAATCGAAGAAATCGTAAGTCGGATGAAAAATTCATAATGCTTAAGAATGTAAATATAATTAAGATGAAAGTTAGGTGTTACAAGAGAAGACCTATACATTTGAAACTTTGCCAAAAAAGAAATAAAAAACAAGGAGACAATAACGCATTCACAAGATTTAGGAAAAATCAAGGATCATTTGGTGAAGCCAAAGTGATATAAGATTCCTGAATTTCTTCATCTTCTTACGAAATGAGATTGAGTTTATAACTTGCCGGTCAATATCTTTAAAGATAGTAATCGGAGGAATAGCAATGTGGTTATGAATGAAGTTGTTTCTTTGCATCCATACACTGTAAACCACTGCATGAACCAGCAACAATTGAAGCGTTGGCGCCTTTGCGGAGAGTACCTATTTCTGACTTTTGACCAGCCCATCAACGAGTCCCAAGTGGAAAAGATAATTGCAGGGAGGCCTAGTCTGGTCGTAATTGAGTCCCAGAGGACTTGAGAGAATGGACAACCAATGAAAAGATGGTCTCTGGTTTCCACAGAACCAGAACACAAGCATTCATGGCCTGATTTTTGTTGATGTGTTACGTGACATGTATATCAATGCCAATTGTGACCAACATTTGTGGAAAAAAACTAATTTTCGGTCCGATCAACGGCGGTCTATTATTGTGAGATTGGTCCATTTGTTGGTGTTGTTTTGGAATCGTCACGACTAGGGATGTTAATTCTGGGCTTTAGTCCACTGGGTACCCGAAACCCACATCAAATAGTAAGCCCATGGATCTACTTTTTATCTTAAAAAAACGCGGGTTTAAAACGGGCCGGGTACCCGAATAAAGAGAATCTTATACGGGTTTACTCTATCGGGTTATGGGTACCCGTGGGTTTTTTTTTTTTAATTCATTCTAACAAAAACGACGTCGTTTCTTCTCAGAGACACGATTTTTCTCAGAAACCCTAAACGCCCAAATTCGATTCTTCTCAGAGAGACACGATTTTTCCTCTTCACCTTCAGATTCTTCTTCTTCACCATAAGATTCTTCCTCTTCACCATCAGATTCTTCTTCTTCACCTTCAGATTCGATTAAAACTGTAAGTTCTTCTTCTTCTTCAAATTTTCTCTCAAATTCAATTTTGTGTAGCTTAAGTTTCGATTTTTTGTATCTTTCTTCAGTTTGGAGTTGATGGGCTTTTGATTTTGGGATCTGCTCGAAGAGGGTTTGTGAAGTTAAGGAGATTTTTCGGGTAAATTGACTTTTTTGATGTTTTGTAAAGCTTCTTCTTCTTAAGTCATATGATTTGTGTTTGCTAATCTTGTAACTCCGTGACTTGTGGTGTGATTACTACTTCCATGGGTTTGGTTTATGTTTGAGATTTGGTTCTTGTAACTCCGTGACTTGTGGTGTTCCATGGTGTGTTTAGATTTTGTTATTTGTTCTCATTTCAGATTCAATTTTGGAAATTTAGTAGCTTTATAAAATGGGTAGTAGAGTAATTATTTCATTGTTACAATCATTACAAGTAGTTACGTTTATGTTTGAGATTTCTAGCAATGTTTACGTGTTACCAAATACATATAAAATACAAATATTAAAAAGAATAAATTACAAATACATATAAAATACAAATATTCATAAATCCAAATAAAGAAGAAAAAAGGGTAATATAAATTCGGGTACCCACAGGTTACCCACACTCGCTCGGGTTTTTTTCGGGCTTACCCATAAGAACCCGAAATCCATCGGGTTTTTTGAGTTCGGGCTTTTCGTGGGCGGGCTCAATTCGGGTTCGGGCTGGGCCGGTTTTTTTTACCCACGACTACATTCCTAGTCACGACAGTGATCTGTTTTGGTGATCCTGCTGTTTACCAAAACGCAAACGAAAACAAAAGACCCGCTGGTGTTAAAGATTCACAGAAAATACGAGATAGAGCTAAAGATTCAAAAAGTGTTTAAACCACACGAGAAAAATTAAATCGTTGAGACAAAATTAAAATTTATTATTAATATTTTTATTTTTAAATACAAATCTCATATTAGACATGTCAATTGTGCCAAAACTCAAAGTCTGACCCGGCCCATATATGAAAAAGATAGAGTAACGTAACGGAGCAGGCACGTGAAGGGAAGAGAAGCTCACCGATTAAACCAAAAAACACGGTTAGACCATCCGAGTAATTAAGGTCTAGCCAAAGGATCTTACTTGGAGAACACGTAAAGGTCGAATGAGAGATTTGTTTGGCTGAAATAAATTTTATTTGAATTTGGATCTAGTTTTAGCTTTATTGTTCCTCAATTGCAGTTCCCGTTTGCTTAGCTGAAAATTTGCAAGGACAAAAGTAATGGTGTCCTCTGTGATGTAGTTGTGAAGTTGGTTCTTCCGACCGAACACTTTCTGTTAACTATGTAATGATAGATGAGTACAGTGCGAGTATATTTGATTGAGTAGACTGAACATTGTTTGGCGCTTAGAGGAGTTAAACTTTTGCACAAGTGCTGTTCTAGAAATTTCAATTTTTTTTTTTTTTTTGCAATATAAAGATGTTCACGTATCAGAAACCGGTCGAGATCTTGTTAATCAATGTGCTCTTAAATTTCATAGGTTATAAGTTTAATATCAAAATAAAACTCAGACGAAATAGCTAATAATATCTAATAAACACAAAAGAAAAATTAAAAATCCAATTTTGTCTGACTTTCAACTTTTCTCGTGCCCTAGGGGGCATCAGTTGAATCCGACCTAGCAGCAGCTGGTTTATCGTTTGCTTCTACGATCCTGAATATACTCCAGCCGACGGTGAATAAGGGAACCACCAATGTTGTACAAATCATCATACCATTCATACGATTCCCTGCCATAGTCAAGAGAGTGATCACACCAATCACGATAGATCTCCACTGATAGAATCGGAAGTTGCTTTTTCCTGAAGAAACAAAGGAAAATTTGATTAGAAAATTTGTATCATAAGAAAAAGTGAGTGAATTGCACAAGATTAGAAGAACTACAAGAAATCTTACTAGAAAAGTTGGCTAGTATAGCAGTTGCTACACATGCTGCGAATAGGAACAATAGACTCGTTTCGACATGTTTCATTGACCAAAGTTCTATTATCACTTCCTTATCAACATGAGTTGATTTCTTGTGGATGGCGGACACGAGTCCCATCAAAGTCGTGAGGCAACCATTGATCGAACTAGCAACTATCGCTAAGTCCTCGTCCTTACGCACTAAACCTTGAGATATTCTCGTGAAAAAGGCACCCACGGAGAGTTTAACTCTATTGAACATGGCAGCCATCGAGAAAAGGGGATGATGGAAACTGAAAGGGGGTTTTGGTGTTTTATTTATATGTATTAGACGTTTGGTGTTTTTCCTTTTTTAAATTAGGATTAAGGTTTTGTTAATTTCCTTTTAAAAGTAGAGATAGGTATAAAGTTATCTTATGATCAAATAATAGGTATATAATAAGGTGATTTTCCTTTTCTCCTTAACCCTTAGTCTATTTTTCCTTTTCTCCCCGGAATTGTATTTGCCTTTTTTTCACATATAAAAAAATAAACAATCTCATATAGACATTTTAATTAGGGCCTAAGGTCAAATTCTGAGCCGGCCCAAACCTGAAAAAGAGAGCAACGTAACGAGCAGGCACATGAAGAGAAGAGAAGCTCACGTAATTGTTAAAGAAAACCCGATACAAAGTTTCTGGATCGAGTCAACCCGATACAAAGAAAACTTCTAATTTGTTTAATTTCTCGTTTATTGAAGCATCAAATGTTTCATATCATGGTTCAAAGGAGACAAAGAGAAGCTAAGATTACCAGCCTACGCATCTAGAACGTAAAAGTTAGATTCTAAGCGGAAGCACACACAACCGAAGTACCAACTACAGAACATTGGTAACTAATTATTAAGTAAAAATCCTCCAAAGCACAAAATGTTATTTCTTCCTAATAACTACTGTCTCAGCGGCTAAGTAAAACTATGGCTAAATTCAAAAGCAAATTAGAAAAATTTGATTATTAAACTTAAAGCGGAGAATGTATGTAGCAATTACATATGAAGTCCAAAAGGCAGAGGAAGTCAAGAGCTATTGCTGTTCTTGGCAGGAATATATGGGAATACTGTATACCTCAGTTAGAAACCGTAGTAAGAGTCAATGCCGACGATAGTTTTATATCAACATGGCGTAGAGTTTCATGTTGTTAAACTTGTCGCTATTCTTAATCTTATACCTCTAAACATTGACTATCTTGTATAAAATCACTCTTGAAAAGGGGGCGGATAAGCGGGAAAAAAAAGATCGGATATTTACAAAGCGGGTGCGATTATCTTTTGAGGGATACAGAGAGAAAATATGCGACTCCAAAGGAATGAAACGATTTTTAAAGTGTGATGTGTGAGCGGAAAAAAAAAAACAATAAAATTCGATCATAACACTCCACATGTGTGTGTGTATCCTCAAACTTTCTTACTGTTTTACGAGACTCCATCGTCGTATATCTATTAGATATAAGAAGATAGATACATACGGATATACTCGATCAAGACGGTTGTTGATTTTGGAAATAGACAGGTAAACCATTGTGTATATCTTACAACATAATCCAAAAATCTTGAAAACAAATAAGCATCAAACAAGTAAACCCGCTTTCAAGCGTTATGAGTAATCAATCACTTGAGAATAAACTAACAATAAACAGATAACATAACAAAATTCCAAAACATATAACAAAACAACTAATGATTGTACACCTCTCTTTGTTGCGATGAATGCAACCGGCTCCTAGCAGCTTCCATTCGGCTCCACATATGTAGCAAAAGGAGTACCCACATCTATCAATCAATCATGAAATTACAATGTTAATTAGGAGGCTAAGACATAATAAAACTCGAGAAGGATTAGTTGTAATATCTAGCTAGAGAATAATGAGACTAGAGATGATACCTGCAACTTATTTGGCAAAACCCATGAGCTACTCCAGCCATTTGTTGGCACTTTGCACACATTGCCCAATCTGTTATAGTTGTCTCTTCGATCCTTTGTTCCCACATGGCTCTTAGTTTAGGTGTCAAAAGATGGGCACAGCTTTCAATAGTCAGTTTCGATTTGCAGCCGTAACGAGGACATCTCGGTACCCTCTCCATTAGTTCAACTTGTATATGTAGTTTGAGGCACTCCAAGCAGAATTTATGACCGCATAAAGCAACAGAAAACATCTGTTCAGCTTCGAGATCATCATCGAAACAGATACCGCAAAAAGCGTTCTTCTTATGACAAGGAGGCATACTTATGCTGATTTCAGAAACGAGTGTTTCCGATGCAAGTTTATAAGCAACCTTATTAGTTTGATCTCCAGTCACCAGAAGAGGGGTGCTAGATGTCAGTTGTTGTCTGGTGCGTTGCACATCATTCATTAGCAAGGCAATGCTATCTTTCTCAGGCCCGGAACTCCCCGTGACCTAAAAACATGATCAAGGGTAAAACATCCATTACGATATTGAAGAAAGTGAAGACAAATGTGAATGTCTTAAAGGAAAGAAAACTTACAAGTTCAAAAATGTGATAATGATCGCAGTAGATTGAGATATGAGTGATCCCCAAACTCACGGCTTCGGTTAGTCCTCGTTTCAATGCCATAAGCTCAGCCTCCAAACCCGTAATCGCGGAGTCATGAATTGATCCTTTCATCTGAAACAAGATATTATCCTCTTGGCCGCAAATTGCAACCCCAAATCCTGCCACCAGCCCTCTTGTTTCCTCCCTTGTCAAACCCTTGAAGTAAAGTCTGTGCAAGCCAGAATCCTGTGACGGTTTTGGGCCATCTTGAGTGCCCTTTTCCTCCATGTGTTTCTCTTAAGCTTTTGTTTTCCTTAGGTTTTATGGCTCGGTATACAACTATAAAGCAGAGGCGGCTCCTCGTGATGAGAATCGGTTTCTGCTAGGGCAACAAAGAAAAAGAAAACCCTAACTTGATTTCAGAAGAAGCAAGGTCAAATCGTTTTCTCTCAAATATAATTCGGGTTAAAAGGAAAAATAGACAACGATTAAGGACTAAAGATCGAGAAAATAGAAAATTGATGTTTTTTTTATATGTTACTGTTTTTTTGTTCTTAGTTGTTTATACGGATACCGCAGGTTAGAACCTATTTGTTTGTATACAAGTTTGTTAATACATAACCAACATTGAAGAAATGTTTGATATGATCGAATGCTCTGAGCACTGCGATGAGTCGAGTACAATCGAAGAAATCGTAAGTCGGATGAAAAATTCATAATGCTTAAGAATGTAAATATAATTAAGATGAAAGTTAGGTGTTACAAGAGAAGACCTATACATTTGAAACTTTGCCAAAAAAGAAATAAAAAACAAGGAGACAATAACGCATTCACAAGATTTAGGAAAAATCAAGGATCATTTGGTGAAGCCAAAGTGATATAAGATTCCTGAATTTCTTCATCTTCTTACGAAATGAGATTGAGTTTATAACTTGCCGGTCAATATCTTTAAAGATAGTAATCGGAGGAATAGCAATGTGGTTATGAATGAAGTTGTTTCTTTGCATCCATACACTGTAAACCACTGCATGAACCAGCAACAATTGAAGCGTTGGCGCCTTTGCGGAGAGTACCTATTTCTGACTTTTGACCAGCCCATCAACGAGTCCCAAGTGGAAAAGATAATTGCAGGGAGGCCTAGTCTGGTCGTAATTGAGTCCCAGAGGACTTGAGAGAATGGACAACCAATGAAAAGATGGTCTCTGGTTTCCACAGAACCAGAACACAAGCATTCATGGCCTGATTTTTGTTGATGTGTTACGTGACATGTATATCAATGCCAATTGTGACCAACATTTGTGGAAAAAAACTAATTTTCGGTCCGATCAACGGCGGTCTATTATTGTGAGATTGGTCCATTTGTTGGTGTTGTTTTGGAATCGTCACGACTAGGGATGTTAATTCTGGGCTTTAGTCCACTGGGTACCCGAAACCCACATCAAATAGTAAGCCCATGGATCTACTTTTTATCTTAAAAAAACGCGGGTTTAAAACGGGCCGGGTACCCGAATAAAGAGAATCTTATACGGGTTTACTCTATCGGGTTATGGGTACCCGTGGGTTTTTTTTTTTTAATTCATTCTAACAAAAACGACGTCGTTTCTTCTCAGAGACACGATTTTTCTCAGAAACCCTAAACGCCCAAATTCGATTCTTCTCAGAGAGACACGATTTTTCCTCTTCACCTTCAGATTCTTCTTCTTCACCATAAGATTCTTCCTCTTCACCATCAGATTCTTCTTCTTCACCTTCAGATTCGATTAAAACTGTAAGTTCTTCTTCTTCTTCAAATTTTCTCTCAAATTCAATTTTGTGTAGCTTAAGTTTCGATTTTTTGTATCTTTCTTCAGTTTGGAGTTGATGGGCTTTTGATTTTGGGATCTGCTCGAAGAGGGTTTGTGAAGTTAAGGAGATTTTTCGGGTAAATTGACTTTTTTGATGTTTTGTAAAGCTTCTTCTTCTTAAGTCATATGATTTGTGTTTGCTAATCTTGTAACTCCGTGACTTGTGGTGTGATTACTACTTCCATGTAGGCCTGGGCAAAAAACCCGGACCCGATATCCGAACCGATACCCGGACCGAAAAAATCGGGTTGGGGCGGGTTAGGGTATTAGAAAATTACCTCATTGGGTAGAGTATTGGATTACCCGTGGGTATCGGGTCGGGTCGGGTATTACCCGTTACCCATTTAGGGTACCCACAAACCCGAAGCAATACACATATGTTTATATATGTATATAGATAATTAGATATATAGTCTTATATAGTTATATACTTATATGTATGTCCTAGGTTTGAACCAAACTTGTTTAGACTTTATAACCACTGATTCAATGTGTTTTGATATTCAAGTATGAATCGCTGCTTATACTAGAAATCTGAGTTTGAGTTTAGTTTCAAGATAAAGTTTGAGTATTTGCAGTTTGGGAATTTAAGGATTAATAGGATTACATGATTAAAGTTTAAGGATCCATTATTAGTTTTATTTTATTTTTGTATTTTGTTTTGTATTTTAGTAAGATTCACATGCCTTGCATTCAGATAAAGAGACATTAAAAAGCATTTTAGCTAAAAGAGATTCCAATTCGGATTCCAATTAATATGATTACATGATTACTTCGTATGTTTACAAACCACATGTTTATATTTAATCTGACTTATTTAACCTATCATGCAACGTATTGGCCAAACTTCGGGTATTACCCAAACCGACCCGAACCCGACACTACCCGAACCGGACCGGAACCGAAACCATAGGAATACCCGAATGGACCATAAATTCATTACCCATTCAACCCGAACCCGAACGGGTTTTACCCGAACCCGAACGGGTTACCCATATGCCCAGGCCTACTTCCATGGGTTTGGTTTATGTTTGAGATTTGGTTCTTGTAACTCCGTGACTTGTGGTGTTCCATGGTGTGTTTAGATTTTGTTATTTGTTCTCATTTCAAATTCAATTTTGGAAATTTAGTAGCTTTATAAAATGGGTAGTAGAGTAATTATTTCATTGTTACAATCATTACAAGTAGTTACGTTTATGTTTGAGATTGTAAATATTTAAGATTTCAAGTAGGAAATGTTGAATGAATCATGATTAAAGATGGAGAGAAAAGATAGAGAGAAAAAGAGTAAAGAGGCGACATTTTTATTTATGAGATTGTGTTACATATATATAGGACAAGGAGGCTAGGTTAAATGCTCCCTTTTGTGTCCCCTTTCTCGTAACTCAGCCACAGCTTTCTCATATTTAACATCTAACTATGAATTAGTTAGTGTCAAATATCTTCCTGATTAACACTCCCCCTCAAGTTTATACTACAATCTTCATTGTGAATAAACTTGGCCACTTGTGTGAATAACCTCATTAAAAACCTAAGATCGGAAAACCACATGGGACAAAACCGAGCTTAGGGAAAAAGAGTGTTACCCTCACAAGGTTGGGAAGTCTCAATCAAGGGTGTGTGAGGTCAATGAGCCCAAGCTTGCCATGGATGAATTGACAAACTTGAATACTCGTAGCCTTGGTGAACACATCGGCCAATTGATCCGAGCTCTTGGTGTAGCACGGTAGAATTGTGCCATCTTCAATCTTCTCACGAGTCTTGTGGCAATCTATCTCAATATGCTTGGTCCTCTCGTGAAACACCGAGTTAGTAGCAATATGAATAGCCGCTTGATTGTCACAATGAAACGTGATTGGTGTCTCTTGCTCGATCCCAAAGTCTTTAAGCAAAGCTTTTAACCAAGTTAACTCATTTGTGAGTTTCTTCATGGCCCTATACTCAGCTTCCGCACTTGAACATGACACCACCTTTTGCTTCTTGGACTTCCAAGTCACTAGGTTTCCACCAATGAAGGTACAAAAGCCGGTTGTTGATTGTCTAGTGTTGCGATCTCCACCATAATCCGCATCACAATACCCAACTATCTCCGTGCTTGAGTTCCTTCCCATCCAAATTCCTTTGCCGGGGCTACCTTTGAGATACCTTAGAATCCTATCCAACATGCTCCAATGATAGACCGTAGGCACTTGCATATGTTGACTAACCTGATTCACGGCAAAAGAAATATCAGGCCGAGTGTAAGTCAAGTATATCAACTTACCTACAAGTCTTCTATATTGCTCGGGACAATGGTATGGTGTATCATCTTTCTCCCCCTTTCGATTGACCGTGTATCCTGGTTCAAGTGGTGTTGAGACTGGTTTGGCTCCAAGTTTTCCCGTGAGCTTAAGAAGGTCGAGTGTGTATTTCCTTTGTGAGAGAAACAATCCCTCCGGTGATCTACACACTTCGATACCTAGAAAATATTTCAACACACCAAGATCTTTAATGTCAAAAGTGGAATGTAAAGAAGCTTTGATGGCTTTAATACCTTCCTTGTTACTCCCTGAGATGATCAAGTCATCAACATAGATCAACACAACTACAATGCCTTGATCATTTTGGAGAGTAAACAAGGTGTGATCGGATTCTGACTTCTTGAATCCATTAGCCTTCAATGTGGAGCTTAATTTGTGATACCAAGCTCGTGGAGATTGCTTTAGACCATATATGGCTTTACGAAGTCTTAACACTTTTCCCGGTGCTACCATGTCTTCTAGGCCCGGAGGAGGAGTCATATAGACTTCTTCTTCTAACTCTCCTTGTAGAAAAGCATTCTTAACATCCATTTGCCATAATTCCCAATCTAAGTTAGTTGCCAAAGAGAGAACCACTTTAACCGTGTGTTGTTTGGCAACCGGAGCAAATGTTTCTCGATAGTCATCACCATAGGTTTGTGTAAAACCTCTTGCAACCAATCTAGCCTTGTGTCTTTCAATTTCTCCATCACTCTTGTACTTGATAGTGAACACCCACTTGGAGCTCACACATTTCTTTCCTTGTGGTAGATCTTCTACATCCCATGTATGATTTCTTATCATAGCTTGTACTTCATCACCAACCGCATTAGTCCATTCCTTTCTTTCCTTGGCTTCCTCATAGCTTTGTGGGATGAATTCCACATCTAGCTTACTAAGAAAAGCTTTATGTTCCTCGGGAAGAAGGTCAATCGAATATGTCGCTTGAATGGGGTGAGCAACAGCTTGACAATTGAAGAGAACCTTAGGCTTCTTTGCCCTTTTACTTCGTCTTGGGTTTTGTAACGTGTAGACCGGTTCATTTGTTGTTTGAGGAATTGAGTTAGTCTCTTCTTCGCTTGATGATCTAATGACTTCATCTTCACTTAGTGGACCGATCTCTTCTTCACTAGATTCTTCCTCTACAACATTCTCATGGTTACCATCCGACGACTCTATTGGTGTTTCAACTTCACTTTCTTGAGTCCCACTTGTAACTTCGCCTGGTATCTCTTCCGTAGTGTCTTGAGGTATGTTAACATTACCCAAATGCTCAAGAATGTGTTTAAGACTCTTTGCTCTATCCGAAGTTGAGTTAGGTAGGTCCTTTACACTCTCCCAATTCTTTTCTCCGAAATAGGCCTTGTCTTCCATGAATTTCACATCTCTAGATACATAGTATCTATTGTTGGTTGGATCAAAGCATTTGTAGCCTCTTTGAGTAGTGGAGTATCCGATGAACACGCACTTGGTACTCTTGGGCTCTAGCTTGTTCCTTAAGTCACCTGGAATGAATACAAAACAAACACAACCAAACACTCTCAAGTGCTCAATGTTAGGGTTTTGGTTATTCAATACTTGAAAAGGTGATTGATCATTAAGAACTCTAGTTGGAATTCTATTAATAAGATAACAAGCGGTCATAACCGCATCACCCCAAAACCTCTTAGGCATATGCTTATGAAATAGCATTGCTCGTGAGACCTCCATGAGGTGTCTATTCTTCCTTTCCGCAACACCATTTTGTTGAGGGTTGTATGGGCAGCTTTTTTGGTGTAAGATCCCACACTTTTCCAAATGGGCTTTGAGCTTGGTGCTCGTATATTCACCTCCATTATCTGTTCTAAGAATTTTGATCTTTGCATCAAAGTGATTAGTCACATAGTTTTGGAAGTTTAGAAATGCATCATAAACTCTGTCCTTAGATGGAAGCAAAGTTACCCAAGTATACTTAGATTTCTCATCTATGAATGTCACAAAGTATTTATGATTATCTCTAGATGCACAAGGTGAGGTCCAAACATCCGAATGCACAAGATCAAAACACTTCTCATAAATAGCATTAGACTTAGGGAAAACCGTTTTGCAATGTTTACCTAAGATGCATGCTTCACAATGAGAACAATCATAAGATAAACCGGGTAATAACAAGTTCAAAGCTTTAGAGTGTGGATGGCCAAGTCTATCATGCCACAATACAACTGAAGTCTTAACATTATTTGCGGAAATAGAAGAGTTTAAAGAAGTGTCTTCAAGAACATAGAGATCATCCTTGGTGCCTCCTTGTCCAAACACAGTACCGCTCTCAATATCCTGCAACTTAACATCATTAGGACTAAATATAGCAAGACAATTTAAGTCCTTAGTTGTTTTCTTGACCGAGAGCAAGTTAGAAGTGAACTTAGGCATATAGAAAGCACTAGACTTCTTGTTAAACAAGTTTATGCAACCTATTCCTTCTATTGGAACATTATGACCATTTGCAACCTTAACATTCCCTAGTGCCGGTTTAACATTCTCTAATAACCTAGGATTACTTATCATGTGATGAGAAGCTCCGGAGTCTAACACTAATGAATTTGAATCATGAGAGTTAGAGGTAAAGAGAGAGATACCGCCGGGATGCATTTTGGATGCTATGGATTGAAGAAGAGCTTCAAGATCGGCCTTGTTCATGGTGATGGTTTCTTGAGCTTGAGAGGTAGAAGTGGTACATCCCTTGTCTTGAGCAGTAGCTTGCATTGCTTTCTCTTGATGTCCATATTGCACAATGGCCCTCTCTTCATTATCAAGTAGTCCTCTATCACTTGTGTTTGCTACATTAGCTCTCGGCTTGGAGTTCTTGAACTTTTCCGGCTTCAAGTGAGGGTGTAGGATCCAACACTTGTCTTTGAGGTGACCCTTCTTCTTGCAATGATCACAAAACCAAGTCTTTTTATCATCTTGTTTCACCATCCCGACCTTGTTTGCCGTTGGAAGACTCTCTCCTTTGCTACCAAATAGACCTTGCGAACCATACTCCCTTTGTATCTTTGCACACACTTGTTCTAAGGTAGGGATCTTGTCATCTCTCAAGATGTGTTGGATCACATCCGTGTAGCTTGAATTAAGAGTCAACATCAACCCAAAGACAAGATCTTGTTCCCTACGCTCCTTAAGTGTCTTTGCATCCGTAGTGAATGGCCTTAGCATCTCTAATTCAGCAACAAGCGATCTATACTTCCCAAAGTGAGCATTAAAGTCGCTATCTTCTTGACTTAGTTCCCCTAGAGCCTTCTTAATCTCATAGATCCGAGTCAAATTTGATTCATTACCAAACACATTCGCGAGAGTATCCCAAAGCTCCTTGGATGTCTCACAATACGAATACCCTTCTAAGATAGAAGTTTCAAGGGAGCAATGCAAAGCACTAAGGACATTCAAGTCATCTTGCTTCCATGTGTCTTTGTCAATGCTTTCATCCAACTTCTTCAAGTCTTCAAAGGTTGATTCAATGTGCTTTGTGAGCCTCCTACTGCCGAGCACATTAGTAGTTGTCCTCTTCCACAAGAGGTAGTTGTTCCCGTTTAGAATCACGGAGAACTTCAACTTCAAATCCTTGTAAGTATCACTCATTGTACAAACCAATTTAATAACCAGTCCAACGTAACCAACGTAATCCCACAACGGGACTTCCAACAAAAATCTCCACCGTTCAAATCCTAGATAAACGGGTCAGGAACAACACTGCAAAATTTCAGCTCAAACCGAGAAGAACTCACCGTTAGATCTTCCAAAGACTCACGACAACTGCTGCAGAAAAATCTGGAAATTTCAGATACGACCAGCCACGATAAAACTCAGATTTATCCTAAACCAACCGTTGAAACACGATCTCCACCGTTGAATCTCAAGACCACTGAGTCACGAAGCTACCCTCCAAAAATCAGCCAAATCGGAGCTCGTTTGAGTGTCCAAACGATTAACAAAATCAAAAGACGCTTGAGAGAGAAGAATAAGAGAGAAAGCAAGATTAGAAACTAGAACCACGCTCTGATACCATGTAAATATTTAAGATTTCAAGTAGGAAATGTTGAATGAATCATGATTAAAGATGGAGAGAAAAGATAGAGAGAAAAAGAGTAAAGAGGCGACATTTTTATTTATGAGATTGTGTTACATATATATAGGACAAGGAGGCTAGGTTAAATGCTCCCTTTTGTGTCCCCTTTCTCGTAACTCAGCCACAGCTTTCTCATATTTAACATCTAACTATGAATTAGTTAGTGTCAAATATCTTCCTGATTAACAGAGATTTCTAGCAATGTTTACGTGTTACCAAATACATATAAAATACAAATATTAAAAAGAATAAATTACAAATACATATAAAATACAAATATTCATAAATCCAAATAAAGAAGAAAAAAGGGTAATATAAATTCGGGTACCCACAGGTTACCCACACTCGCTCGGGTTTTTTTCGGGCTTACCCATAAGAACCCGAAATCCATCGGGTTTTTTGAGTTCGGGCTTTTCGTGGGCGGGCTCAATTCGGGTTCGGGCTGGGCCGGTTTTTTTTACCCACGACTACATTCCTAGTCACGACAGTGATCTGTTTTGGTGATCCTGCTGTTTACCAAAACGCAAACGAAAACAAAAGACCCGCTGGTGTTAAAGATTCACAGAAAATACGAGATAGAGCTAAAGATTCAAAAAGTGTTTAAACCACACGAGAAAAATTAAATCGTTGAGACAAAATTAAAATTTATTATTAATATTTTTATTTTTAAATACAAATCTCATATTAGACATGTCAATTGTGCCAAAACTCAAAGTCTGACCCGGCCCATATATGAAAAAGATAGAGTAACGTAACGGAGCAGGCACGTGAAGGGAAGAGAAGCTCACCGATTAAACCAAAAAACACGGTTAGACCATCCGAGTAATTAAGGTCTAGCCAAAGGATCTTACTTGGAGAACACGTAAAGGTCGAATGAGAGATTTGTTTGGCTGAAATAAATTTTATTTGAATTTGGATCTAGTTTTAGCTTTATTGTTCCTCAATTGCAGTTCCCGTTTGCTTAGCTGAAAATTTGCAAGGACAAAAGTAATGGTGTCCTCTGTGATGTAGTTGTGAAGTTGGTTCTTCCGACCGAACACTTTCTGTTAACTATGTAATGATAGATGAGTACAGTGCGAGTATATTTGATTGAGTAGACTGAACATTGTTTGGCGCTTAGAGGAGTTAAACTTTTGCACAAGTGCTGTTCTAGAAATTTCAATTTTTTTTTTTTTTTTGCAATATAAAGATGTTCACGTATCAGAAACCGGTCGAGATCTTGTTAATCAATGTGCTCTTAAATTTCATAGGTTATAAGTTTAATATCAAAATAAAACTCAGACGAAATAGCTAATAATATCTAATAAACACAAAAGAAAAATTAAAAATCCAATTTTGTCTGACTTTCAACTTTTCTCGTGCCCTAGGGGGCATCAGTTGAATCCGACCTAGCAGCAGCTGGTTTATCGTTTGCTTCTACGATCCTGAATATACTCCAGCCGACGGTGAATAAGGGAACCACCAATGTTGTACAAATCATCATACCATTCATACGATTCCCTGCCATAGTCAAGAGAGTGATCACACCAATCACGATAGATCTCCACTGATAGAATCGGAAGTTGCTTTTTCCTGAAGAAACAAAGGAAAATTTGATTAGAAAATTTGTATCATAAGAAAAAGTGAGTGAATTGCACAAGATTAGAAGAACTACAAGAAATCTTACTAGAAAAGTTGGCTAGTATAGCAGTTGCTACACATGCTGCGAATAGGAACAATAGACTCGTTTCGACATGTTTCATTGACCAAAGTTCTATTATCACTTCCTTATCAACATGAGTTGATTTCTTGTGGATGGCGGACACGAGTCCCATCAAAGTCGTGAGGCAACCATTGATCGAACTAGCAACTATCGCTAAGTCCTCGTCCTTACGCACTAAACCTTGAGATATTCTCGTGAAAAAGGCACCCACGGAGAGTTTAACTCTATTGAACATGGCAGCCATCGAGAAAAGGGGATGATGGAAACTGAAAGGGGGTTTTGGTGTTTTATTTATATGTATTAGACGTTTGGTGTTTTTCCTTTTTTAAATTAGGATTAAGGTTTTGTTAATTTCCTTTTAAAAGTAGAGATAGGTATAAAGTTATCTTATGATCAAATAATAGGTATATAATAAGGTGATTTTCCTTTTCTCCTTAACCCTTAGTCTATTTTTCCTTTTCTCCCCGGAATTGTATTTGCCTTTTTTTCACATATAAAAAAATAAACAATCTCATATAGACATTTTAATTAGGGCCTAAGGTCAAATTCTGAGCCGGCCCAAACCTGAAAAAGAGAGCAACGTAACGAGCAGGCACATGAAGAGAAGAGAAGCTCACGTAATTGTTAAAGAAAACCCGATACAAAGTTTCTGGATCGAGTCAACCCGATACAAAGAAAACTTCTAATTTGTTTAATTTCTCGTTTATTGAAGCATCAAATGTTTCATATCATGGTTCAAAGGAGACAAAGAGAAGCTAAGATTACCAGCCTACGCATCTAGAACGTAAAAGTTAGATTCTAAGCGGAAGCACACACAACCGAAGTACCAACTACAGAACATTGGTAACTAATTATTAAGTAAAAATCCTCCAAAGCACAAAATGTTATTTCTTCCTAATAACTACTGTCTCAGCGGCTAAGTAAAACTATGGCTAAATTCAAAAGCAAATTAGAAAAATTTGATTATTAAACTTAAAGCGGAGAATGTATGTAGCAATTACATATGAAGTCCAAAAGGCAGAGGAAGTCAAGAGCTATTGCTGTTCTTGGCAGGAATATATGGGAATACTGTATACCTCAGTTAGAAACCGTAGTAAGAGTCAATGCCGACGATAGTTTTATATCAACATGGCGTAGAGTTTCATGTTGTTAAACTTGTCGCTATTCTTAATCTTATACCTCTAAACATTGACTATCTTGTATAAAATCACTCTTGAAAAGGGGGCGGATAAGCGGGAAAAAAAAGATCGGATATTTACAAAGCGGGTGCGATTATCTTTTGAGGGATACAGAGAGAAAATATGCGACTCCAAAGGAATGAAACGATTTTTAAAGTGTGATGTGTGAGCGGAAAAAAAAAACAATAAAATTCGATCATAACACTCCACATGTGTGTGTGTATCCTCAAACTTTCTTACTGTTTTACAAGACTCCATCGTCGTATATCTATTAGATATAAGAAGATAGATACATACGGATATACTCGATCAAGACGGTTGTTGATTTTGGAAATAGACAGGTAAACCATTGTGTATATCTTACAACATAATCCAAAAATCTTGAAAACAAATAAGCATCAAACAAGTAAACCCGCTTTCAAGCGTTATGAGTAATCAATCACTTGAGAATAAACTAACAATAAACAGATAACATAACAAAATTCCAAAACATATAACAAAACAACTAATGATTGTACACCTCTCTTTGTTGCGATGAATGCAACCGGCTCCTAGCAGCTTCCATTCGGCTCCACATATGTAGCAAAAGGAGTACCCACATCTATCAATCAATCATGAAATTACAATGTTAATTAGGAGGCTAAGACATAATAAAACTCGAGAAGGATTAGTTGTAATATCTAGCTAGAGAATAATGAGACTAGAGATGATACCTGCAACTTATTTGGCAAAACCCATGAGCTACTCCAGCCATTTGTTGGCACTTTGCACACATTGCCCAATCTGTTATAGTTGTCTCTTCGATCCTTTGTTCCCACATGGCTCTTAGTTTAGGTGTCAAAAGATGGGCACAGCTTTCAATAGTCAGTTTCGATTTGCAGCCGTAACGAGGACATCTCGGTACCCTCTCCATTAGTTCAACTTGTATATGTAGTTTGAGGCACTCCAAGCAGAATTTATGACCGCATAAAGCAACAGAAAACATCTGTTCAGCTTCGAGATCATCATCGAAACAGATACCGCAAAAAGCGTTCTTCTTATGACAAGGAGGCATACTTATGCTGATTTCAGAAACGAGTGTTTCCGATGCAAGTTTATAAGCAACCTTATTAGTTTGATCTCCAGTCACCAGAAGAGGGGTGCTAGATGTCAGTTGTTGTCTGGTGCGTTGCACATCATTCATTAGCAAGGCAATGCTATCTTTCTCAGGCCCGGAACTCCCCGTGACCTAAAAACATGATCAAGGGTAAAACGTCCATTACGATATTGAAGAAAGTGAAGACAAATGTGAATATCTTTAAGGAAAGAAAACTTACAAGTTCAAAAATGTGATAATGATCGCAGTAGATTGAGATATGAGTGATCCCCAAACTCACGGCTTCGGTTAGTCCTCGTTTCAATGCCATAAGCTCAGCCTCCAAAGCCGTAATCTCGGAGTCATGAATTGATCCTTTCATCTGAAACAAGATATTATCCTCTTGGCCGCAAATTGCAACCCCAAATCCTGCCACCAGCCCTCTTGTTTCCTCCCTTGTCAAACCCTTGAAGTAAAGCCTGTGCAAGCCAGAATCCTGTGACGGTTTTGGTCCATCTTGGGTGCCCTTTTCCTCCATGTGTTTCTCTTAAGCTTTTGTTTTCCTTAGGTTTTATGGCTCGGTATACAAAGGCGACTCCTCGTGAGAATCGGTTTCTGCTAGGGCAACAAAGAAAGAGAAAAACCCTAACTTAGATTTCAGAAGAAGCAAGGTCAAATCGTTTTCTCTCAAATCTCTTGAGACAAAAAAAAAAAATGTTACTTAAGTTACATACAATTAGGAAAACCAACAAACTTTGCTTGGGCCCTAATTGACATGATTGTATTTTAAGACGGAAATATAATTCGGGTTAAAAGGAAAAATAGACAACGATAAAGGACTAAAGAGAAAATGGAAAATTAATGTTTTTTATACGTTTTACTGTTTTTTGTTCTTAATTGTTTATACGGATACCGCAGGTTAGAACCTATTTGTTTGTATACAAGTTTGTTAATACATAACCAACATTAAAGAGATGTTTGATATGATCGAATGCTCTGAGCACTGCGATGAGTTGAGTACATTCAAAGAAATCCTAAGTCGGATGAAAAATTCATAATGCAAAACCAGCAACTATTGTTGTTATTTTTTATTTTATTTTGCTAAGAATGTAAATATAATTAAGATGAAAGTTAGGTGTTACAAGAGAAGAACTATACATTTGAAACCTTGCCAAAAAAAAAAAAAAAATAAGGAGACAATAACGCATTCACAAAGATTTAGGAAAAATGAAGCCAAAGTGACATAAGATTCCTGAATTTCTTCATCTTCTTACGAGTTGAGATTGAGTTTATAACTTGGCGGTCAATATCTTTAAAGACAGTAGTCGGAGGAATAGCAATGTGGTTATGAATGAAGTTGTTTCTTTGCATCCATACACTGTAAACCACTGCATAAACCAGCAACAATCGAAGCGTTGGCGGCTTGGTGGAGAGTACCTATTTCTGACTTTTGACCACTCCATCAAGAGTCCCACGTGGAAAAGATAGTTGCAGGGAGGCCTAATCTGATCGTAATTGAGTCCCACAGGACTTGAGAGAATGGACAACCAATGAAAAGATGGTCTCTGGTTTCCACGGAACCAGAACACAAGCTGCAGGAAGTAGACACTTGTAACCCCCAATAAGCAAGGCGAGACATGGTAGGAAGCCTATCAAGCAGCATGAAGTAAACTATTGTTGTTTTTTAAATTCACTTTAAGGTCCAAATCAATGTAATGTGGTTCATCGTAGAAGAAACCAAAAAACCGCTTATGGTAAAAACTCACATGAGATGATGAGAAGAAACATAATTCTCTGACTGATACATTTCAAACAAAACTAGAATTGTTTTACATGGTTTATAATTCGTGAATTTCATACACTCCAAGACGAATTTAAACTTTAGTTCCAATTAAATATAGATATACCCGAACCGTATAAACAGATCCATAGTAGATCTGGTTTTACATTGTTTACTATTTTTCTAAACCCCAAAAAATTTGAAACAAACTTTGATTAATAACTGTTAGTTCTAAGTTCTAACTAGCTTCTCTGTGTATGAATGGAGGAGAAGGTGGACTTAGAGCTTCATCACTTTTATCTCCCAAGCAAGTTTCATATTTCTGTCTGCTCGGGCTAAGAGACGAGCTAGCTATCGCCGTGGTCATCTTCTTAGGTGAGCAACTCGGATCAAACACACCGTCTTCACGAGGCAATGAAGATACCACAGCCTCATCAATCTTACTATTTTCTTCTCTTCTTTTGCAGAATTTATCCTCTACTATTTCATAAGAATTCGCGGTCCGGACTTCTTGAGCTAAAGAGCACCAGCAACAGAATAACCAGAGTGTACAATCAGCAATCGCGGGTCTCCCGCAACAGAAGTTATAGCCCGGCAACTTGAATCTTTTCCTCATCTGTATTCTCCAAAAACCACCATAGAGCAAACCAAACAAGCAAAGCACAATCCCAGTATATCCAAGTGCTTCCCTTAGAGCATCTCCAATGGTGAGAGTCCCTCATAGGCTCTCACCAATTTTTTAATACAAATTTTATCAAATTGTTAGATGAGAGTTTGTATTTTTTTTTTCTTAGCCCAATGGTAGTTTCTCTCTAATGGGGTTCTTAGGAAAAAAAAAAAATTTAAGTTTTGTGGTTGATCTAATATAAGTTTTGTTCTAGTTTGTGTGACATATGAAGAAATCATTCACATAAGAAGATGCTTTGTATATATAAACATAAAAACTTGGGTTACATTTGACTCTCAAAATGACATACTCTCAAAAGATAACATTTGACTTTTGCATATGCTCGAATCTATTCAATGCTTTCCCTACCTCTACATTAGCAAATAGACAAGCTAACACAATATTTCACATCACAACTCATACAATAAATATCAACCGGCTGCAAAAACAAAAAAAGGTTTCAAAGCCATTTACCACTAAGTAGCTATGACTTGTATTATGTGTTTTCAGATTGTCGAGATATACCTTCTGGTCTTCGAGAGGAGTGCCTTTGACTGCAAGTAGAGCATTAATGGGAACACTCTCAGGGTGAGAAGGAAGTGTTGCTAGTGTGTGTAATAAACCTACTCTGTCTTCCTCTACCTCTCCAAGCCCTATGATTCCTCCTGTTTATCGGTAAAAAGAAAACACTTGAGAACATGTTTGTTGTTCTTATCTATGGATTTATCAAATCAACGAATATTAGGGACTTATGAGTCTAATGACCAAGCTGGAGAAAGGTTTCAATCTTCTAGTTCTATAGAACTGAGGCATACAAGAATAAGAAAATCCAGATTTTATATGTTTTCATATTGAAGTTACCTGAACAAACGTTGATTCCAGCTTCACGAACATGCTCAAGAGTTTCAAGGCGTTCGTCATAACTTCTAGTAGTGATGACGTTTGGGTAGTACTCTCTTGAAGTATCAAGATTGTGGTTATAGGCAGTGAGTCCAGCTTTCTTTAGCTCTAGTGCTTGTTGTTTCTCAATCATGCCCAAGGTGCAGCAAACTTCCATCCCCATGCCTCTGTTGTAAAGTGAGAGCCCAGAAAGTGAGTATACACATATGTTTCAGCCAGAGACCATAATCAACATCATGTTCATTCTGCTCACGGATACAACAAGTACACTTTGAAAATTCATATTACAAACACATCATACATTAAACATTCATAATTGTAAATTCAAAGAACCCTAGAAAGAACATCAAATTCCCCAAATTAAATCATTATAAACTGCATATAAAAGAAGTATATGCTCTTACCAATTACAATTCAAGCTGAATCGATTACTCTCCATCCGTTGAATTTGGATATCCGATTTGCATATCTCTCTCACTCCCGATCGTGACATGCGGTGGGGCAAATGACGAATCCGGCCTAATCGTCGCCGGCGGCCTCTCTATTCTTCCCTCAATCGTTGCCGGCGGCCTCAATCGTGACCTCAATCTTCGCCGGCGGCTTGAGAAAAGTGTTTGGTTTCGCAAAGAAAGAGAGAGAAACAGGAGAACAGTCGGGAAATGACAAAAGTCTTTGGCTTCTTTAATTTTTTTTTGACGCGTTTTTTTTTTTTTTTTTGGATCAAAACAATCGACGGTTGAGATTAAGCCACGTCATCGTCTCTCTTCCTACTCAAAGTTTCTCTCAAGAGAGCTGTTTCTCTTAAAAATTCAGAGTTTTGATTTATTTTTCAGCATTTTTTTCAAGAGAAACTTAGAAGAGAACCCTAAAATACATCCATTGGAGATGCTCTTACCATCTCGTTATCGATGTTTATAGCAGCCAAGTTGAATATAAAGAAAGGAGCCAAACAGAAGAGAATAAAAGTCGCAATGTGCACATACATGTTCCCAAACCCAATCCTCTCCATGTTCCAACCAAACACACAGAAAGTGCAGAACAGAGAGAGATAAGCCAATGAAATATCTTCCCATATATCAAGAATTCCACCTCTCCATTCAGGATTACTCACATCTGTAGAAGCAAACGAATATTTCCTTTCAAGAGATAACTTGCGGTTACTAACCGATCTTTCTTCCACAGGCTGCACTTGATTCTCCTCATCTCCTTGAGGATCATAATCTTTCCCAAGTGGACTAAGAATAGTGTACAAACCCGCACTCGCAGGAGCTGCTATTGCAATAGATATACATATAGCTACACCAATGGCGGGTCTCTCGGACCTTCTATACCCTAAGTTAAGACCGCAAAGCGCATACTGAGCAAAACAGTTCAAGTGAAGCAAAAGAACAACAACCATCATGTGGATCCATTCGTTTGGCTTGTAAATCCCGTTCTCGCAGTAAATCTTCCTAAGCGTTGTAACATCGTCTTGCCTCCATCTACAGAGAAGCACAAGGTGGTAAAACCGTTTTGGGTGTTGATACAAACACATGAGAGTAAACATTGCGTTGAGGATTTGGTTGTTAACTTCAAACCAAACATCTCTCTGTGATTTCTTGGGCAAAGCATGGTTCAACATACCGGTCATAACCATGAACAGAATCGCACCAGAGACAGCAACCACAAGTATCCACAAGAAAAGAACCATGTTCAACGGGTTTTGTAGCCATTGCTTACCCATTTTCATCAAGCAAGCCCACTCAATTTTCCGGGAAAACACCAGACTGATTCTTTCCCGGAAATTGTGGTTGCTTGAGCTTGAGCTGTTGACAGAGCGTGAAACCTCATTTCTTTCCTCTGTCATTCTCTTGAATCTAGCAGAAGCGGAACCAAATTTCAAAAGCTTAATCCTGTTACTATTAGATACATCAGGCAACGAACTCTCCGACCATCTCCTAGGTTTCTCTTCACTGATAAGAATCTTATGAGATGTTGAGAGAGCAGGAGGACATGAAACCCTAGTCTTAGATTTCTCAATCTCATCAGTTGAACCCATTTTCTCGTGCCAGGAAAAAAGAAGTAAAGGCAAATCCTTTACCGGGAAAAGTTAGTCAAAGGCATGTGCTTGGAAGCTTAGACATTGCAGGCAAAAGTGTGAAAACCCGTAAAGCAGAGATATGAAAGCGATTCAAAGAAGAAGATTCTACTAGCGGACGGATTCAAAACGAACAAAGTCTTCAACTTTGACAAAAGACGATTGAAAAAGAGGGAAAAATCTTCGAATTACATGCCCAGAATTGGAATTGCAGAGAAACGAAAGAGACGAACTAAAGTCGAATTCAGAGGGGAATTACACAGAGAAAGAGATATGGTTTGAATGAAGGATCAATTTAAAGCTAAAGATTTTGATTGGTAACTGATGAGAGACATCGAAAAAAGATGAAGAAGAAGAAGTTTTTGGTAGAGACAAGCGGTTTCTACTTCTGCCTCCTCAAAACTGTTAACGAGCCGGTCAGGGCCATGTCACCATTATGTTATTAATTATAATTAAATATTTATTAATCAAACACTATTAAATAATTTATTAATCTAAAACTAAAACGTTGACAAAAAAAAAAATCTAAAACTAAAACATAATAAGAGGTGTCCAAACGTAAGAAGATATGTAACGCCAAAAAAAAACATTTTTAGTCATTCATTATGTGTTTGTGTTCTAAGTAATAACTAAATAACTATCAATTAATACGTTAGTCATTCATTTATTCCCAATATGAATGTTTGAACAAATATTGGTAGTTTCAAGAGTTATATGAGTTTTCAAAACAAGTTAAAATTCCAAAAAACTACTACAATGTGTGGACTTTAGACTGTTTAGATAAAAGGATTCAATTCAATAATCTGAATTATAATCTGAATTCAATTCAATCGTAGAAGAGTTTTAGCCCACAAGACATCAAAATAAAAGGAGACCCATATTAGTTAGGCCCAAATTTAAAAATTAACCGACCCATTAACATTTTTGCATCAAAATGTCACACTAATTAAGAATCTAGCGTCTGAATTTTTTTTAGGGGACTTTCAGTTTCAAACCTCACACACCATAATGTCGAGAACGAAAACAATATTACAGACCACTCAAACAATTCTGATTAGCATTTAACATTGTTGTTGTACTTTTATAGTGTCTCTTTTTGTTTTCTCAATAACATGTAGATGAATTCAAAACGTGTTACAAGAATAAAATTAGCACAAACTATTAAAAATCCATGTCATGGTCGTCGCAGCTTTGATATTGTGCAGAATTTTATAGTTAAATTGATAGTGTATATTTATAATTCGAGTAAAGGAACACCAATTCAATTTACTTCCAACATGCTATAGTGCTAAAAATCTCGATTTTTTTTCTTTCATAGATATCATCTATCGAAAACAAATTCTTGAAAAAAATAGGATACGTAAAGTAATTCTAAAGTACCCACCCACAGACCCACTTTTTTTTTTGTAATTTTAATTTTATTGTTGTTGTTGTGAAGCATGATTTTAGTGTTTACATCGATTATTAAACAGTAAAATAAAGTTGAAAACCTCAACTATTTCGTGGCATTCATACTCATGAATTGGCGCTCTACACGATATGAATTTTTGACTCATATGTTGTCAGTAACTGCAGCTTTTGGGGAAGTTTCGTATTGTTATTTTCCTCCACCCACCCCACCAAAATCCAAAAGTGTTTTATGTTCGTCCCACCGAAGTGTTACGTTGATATAGTATAATTATACGTGTGTGTATCAAAGAATCTGCAGCATCTTGGTTCTACAGTCAAACATTCATATCCAAATCTATAATATAGAAACATATTAGGCATGCATTGAGTCAAAATGTCAAATAATCTCAATGACGTCACCTAGTTTAGTTTCTTAATTTCCCTTTTTGTAATCTTTTGACTAAAATAATGGAAGACGACAGATATGGTTGACCTTGTCCGGTTTCGAAAATGTTACATAATTAGAAAGCTTAGGAATCTCAAGACTTGAGATACTTTACACGTAGAAGCTATTGGAGCCAAACCACTTTCAGAATTATCATATTATTTATGATCGTGATTATTATTTAATTTATAAATGATTGTGTTATAAAAAAAAAAAAAAAAAAAAAAAAAAAAAAAAAAAAAAGTGTTATACATGCTAATGTTATTATTATTTTATGATTGTAAATGTATGCAAGAATATAACTATTCTACTTGTACATGCAAATAAACAATGCAGTGACAACAACCAAACTCTAAATCATTTTTGTATATTTCATTCACTACCACAAAAAGCATTCTTCAAACATAACATTATATTCAAATCTCAGGCGGTTTACCTAAACTGCTATGTAAACACTTCATTTTGGTCTCTCCTCAATCAGACTCAAAACTAGAACTTTGAAGAGGCGACTATCATTGTCAAATCAAATTTTATTTCATTCGCCTTTGAATCGAGACTAAGATACGTCACATGTGGATTACTTACGTTTACGATTAACTTTCTTATTTTCTTGTTGGTAATATTCTGTATTTAAAATTGTCCCATCATTTTTCATGGGGTGACTAATCTTCTTTGGCATTTTCTATGTAATTAACGGTTCAAATAATAATCTTCAATATATGCTGCAAAGAGTGTTTAAAAATTCTTTCTACCAATTACTCACACTAACAACTTTTTCCAATTCTTGACTCCGACAAGGAGGTTCATATATTTTCTTCATTTTGAAGTTGTTTACCAATTGAGGTGACCCTTTTTGGTTCAAACCATTTATTCTCCTGTTCCTTGTATATATATATAAAGTAAATTCACATATATAGTGGCATTGACAATAAGGATTACCAAATGTATATAATTTAATGTGATAAACAAAGTTTAACGAAATAAAATGTTCTTGAGATTCTAAAAAAACGTGATTGTAATCTTGTTGTTTTATGAAGAGCATAATTAAATTTTGTTCAAATGGCCCAATAACAAATAAAAATATGGAAAGTTCCAAGTCAGCTTAAACAAGCATTTGCTTAAAGTGGCTAATATATTCATTAAACTTCACATCCAATGAACACTCCTGTAATTTAAAGTAACTTAAGTTAAGTAAGTATCTAGAAGCCTTTTTCTTCTATGGTCCTATGGATTATATATTAAAGAGGGTTTGAATGTTTGATTAGTAAGTTAATTATAGGTTGGTGTGAAAGTGAGACCGGAGAAGGTATCTAACTTTTTTTTTTTTTTTTTAATTCCACTAAGTTTGATTCTGTATGTAACGCATATAGTAATCTAGAAAGTGACCGGCGTGCCTTCTTTGGAAAGTAATCCTGTAAAAGTAAAAGCCGCGTAGTGTAAAAGTATATGACTTCTTCTTCCCTTAATTATTGTTTTATAATTAGTCTTTAATCCAAATATTTAAACATATAATTCGTTTTACGAGAAAGATCTTCACACTCGATTAGTATACATTAAAATAAAATTTGAAAATAGTTAGTTCATAAATGGATAACAAAATGCCTGAGCGAGATTAAATCTATTATCTATGTACTTGATAATTTTGTATACCTATCCTCTATGGCTTTATAATTGGATGTTTTTAATTATCCATACATGGATAATCCAGTCTGCAGTAACGGATTATGACATACTAAATGAACAATTTATTAATCTAATTGATCGCTTCAAAGGGTATATATCGTATATTAGTGTGAGCAGGAAAAACAAAATAGAGAAGAAAACCTACAGTGTAAACTTGATGTAAATATGAAATGCTACATTTCTTCAAATATAAATCAGGAACATAAAGAGTTGCTGGGAATATATTGGAAAAGATAAAAAATTTAACAAATCTAGTGATGTAATCTATCTTTCCAAAAAATCAAATGTTTGGTCCAAAGTATTAGTTAAATAATTAGGCCACTATTCTTGACAACTCTCTCTAACAAACTCTTCTATATTTTCTCGTGGTATATATGCTGAAAAAGATGTATGTCTAATCCATAATATATAACTGTATATGGCGACTTTGACACATTATTATTTATTATTACGACTTCTAACCTAGAAGATAACAAGAATTAGTTATGGCATCAAAATCAACGTGGAAAAACATACGAAAAGCACCAAGTGATAAACCCTATAGGGATGGCGTAAGGGTAAAGACTAGAGACTGAGAATCTAGAGTTCAAGGCGTAAATTTGTTCTGCTTTTTGGGTTGCAATTTATTGGTGAACAACATTGATGTGTGTGGACCATTAGGTATTCAGGGATTCGGACAAGCTATTTGCTATCACCTTCCACGATTAGTCGGGTGCTAAGACTGACTTAGACGCCCACTGCTAATTAAACAAAAGGAAATTAAATACTATTTCTACCGGCATACACTAGCTAGTTAGCTACCAAAAAATGGAGTCTTCAAAATTTCGTGTCCCAACATCTACGATAAGAAAATGACTATTTCACTTACCAAAAAAAAAAAGAAAATGACTATTTCAACATGCTTACATAGTTACATATTCTCTACCCCGAGCATGAAGAGATTATAGATCTAGATCCAAAACTTTTTGAAAACAAATATATCATGGCTTATCTATCTGAATTAAATGTATTTAAATTTCTATATATAAATCACAAACAAATACGGTATTTTCAGTAAAATCTAAAATAAAATAATATAAATATTGATTGTATCTATGTTCAAAAATAATACGTCAATTTCATCTTTGTTTAAATAGAAGTTTGATATTCGAAAATGTAGAAAAAATAAATTCAGTTGACAATATACTGAATCACGATATATTTTTCATTGTATTTAGTTGTCACTTACGAAACAATAAAAATCCATCTTTAATTACTATGACTCTATGAGTTAAACACGCGCGATTGATGATTTTTATTGTTCTTCTAGTTGCTGCCATTTTTAGAATCGGAAGTACTACAGTTTTAGTGGCATGTATTTTCAAAGATCAATCATGATTTTGAATTTTTGATTTGATTATCGTGATTAAATTTTGGAAAATCTTTTTTTTTGTTTTGGACATCCAAAATCTATAAATCGTTATCGCGCGCTCTGCCTTTTTGAGGTTTGAAAACATTGGAGATAGACAGATTTTGGACAAAAAAAAAAAAACAGATTTCGACATATGTGTAGATCCATCTTAAAGAAGATGCGTTTCCAAATAGTTACCTTATTATATGCTGGTAAAAGACAAATTATTAATATGTATCGACTCATTAATTAATCAGTAAGATGGTTAAACAATTAATATTTGATGTTAGCAAGAAAAAAGAACACAATATTACAAATATTCAAAAAAAAAAAAAAAAAATTTTACAAATATTCAAACAATCACAACGATATCAACTAAAAATATCTGAAAGCATTGTTTAAAGGAATTTGTTTTGTCTCTGCTTAATTAGTTTATAACTTCATATATACACAATCTAATCAATTTACAACCAGGTGTGTGTGAACCTTCGCAGAATCTCTCTTAATCATTCATGTAATATATATCCAATAAAAATTCGATATATTTCCATCTAATGTAAAATCGGGTCTTGACTATAGTATTAGACGAGCTAATTATATTTAGCACAAACAATTTATTCTGTAACAGTGTCACGCTTATCACGACCACCAAAAAATAAACACTCATCTGTTTTATTTTTGAACCCCATTAATCTCTTATTTTCTCACCCATATTCAAAGTCAACTATTTTAAGACTTCGACATAATTAATTTGATGGCTATACTATTTACTTGACATTTGGGAAAATAATATTATCGCTGACAAATTTGGTTTTTACTTCTCTCTCCGACGTAGATAGTTACAAAATCAATTAATTCCATGCAAAAATGATAATTCAGCCCTAAAAATCAAATGAAATAACAGAGTTACACATTTTTTCAACGCGTTAGGTCACCTATCTTTCACTTTAGAACATCCTTCACGTCTCTATATAAACCTCGATTCTGTTATGCTTTGTTCTTCAAGTACAATAATCAACTCTAAGTCTATTATATTCAAGTCTTTGTTTTAACTTACAATGGCTTCAAATCAACTTACTGCCATTCTAGTTCTCGTAGTTACACTTTTACTCCAAGGTAATTACAATAACGTCGTCGAAGCACAACTCACGACTAATTTCTACTCAACCTCTTGCCCTAACCTCCTCTCCACCGTCCAAACCGCCGTTAAATCTGCCGTTAACAGCGAGGCTCGAATGGGTGCATCTATCCTCCGTCTCTTCTTCCACGATTGCTTCGTCAACGTAAGTTTTTTTTTTCTTTTACCCTTTTTTGTTTTCCTTGCATGTCAAGAAACTTAGCATAATTTTTATTTTGGTTCTTTACTTCTAACCACTGTCATGCTTACATATATAGGGATGTGACGGTTCGATTCTGCTAGATGACACGTCGAGCTTCACAGGAGAACAAAACGCGGCCCCAAACCGCAATTCAGCTCGTGGGTTTAATGTGATCGATAACATCAAATCAGCGGTGGAGAAAGCATGTCCCGGGGTTGTGTCTTGTGCTGATATCTTAGCCATTGCAGCCAGAGACTCCGTCGTAGTCGTAAGCTCCCTATTTCCTCTCTTAGTCTGGTTTTGAAAATTTTAAAGATTTAACCGGTCTAAAATATGAATTTCGTCTTTATTTTGTTGAAGCTTGGAGGGCCGAATTGGAATGTGAAAGTAGGAAGAAGAGATGCAAGAACGGCGAGTCAAGCGGCAGCGAATAGTAACATTCCGGCCCCGACTTCGAGTCTGAGCCAACTTGTTAGTAGTTTCAGTGCTGTTGGACTCTCCACCAGAGATATGGTTGCTCTCTCCGGTTCGTTTCATTTCTCTTCTTGCTTAACCCAATTCCTATTTATTATTTACGCAACTATATAAGTTTCATAGATTAAGGTTGATTGCAATTTTTTAAACATCGATTACTAATACATTGCTAAAAATTGGTGACAGAAATTATTTCTTAATCTGTGATATTTATTTCTTAAAGTTTTTATTCGTTCACCAATTTGTTTAACAAAAAGATACATAAAAGGAAATATTTCAAAGGACCAAGAGTCAAGAGAGTCGACACAAAATAATATAATTTGATTGTGTTGTTTGTTTTTTGTCGACTCTTTTTTTGTTTCTTTGTGTTTGTTTTTTCAACACATTTTTGTAACGCACCACCGACTTTTCTGTTTTTTTCTTCTTCCCAAAATTACGTAATCATATTTTTGCCTAAAATTACGTAATCATATAAATGACTGTTACGCAACACCGACAAAGTAATTCAAATGATACTTAAAATAATTAAGTCAACTATTAAACTAATCATTCAATTTTTTTTTTTGTTTTCAGGCGCACACACGATCGGACAATCCCGTTGCACGAACTTCCGAGCGAGAATCTACAACGAGACAAACATCAACGCTGCCTTCGCAACCACACGTCAACGAACTTGCCCTAGAGCCACCGGTTCCGGCGACGGAAACCTAGCTCCACTAGACGTCACCACGGCTGCTTCTTTCGACAACAACTACTTCAAGAATCTCATGACTCAGAGAGGTCTCCTCCATTCCGACCAAGTGCTCTTCAACGGAGGCTCCACTGACTCCATCGTCCGTGGATACAGCAACAACCCGTCGAGCTTTAACTCTGACTTCGCGGCGGCGATGATAAAAATGGGTGATATCAGCCCGTTGACTGGTAGTAGCGGTGAAATCCGCAAGGTTTGCGGGAGGACCAACTGATTCAAATCTACTCCACGCGTCTTTTTCCTATTGGATTTTGCCTTTTGTTATTTGAGTTGGTGAGAATAAGATTGATCTTCTCCAAAAAAATTCGAAGATCCCATTTAATGTCTTTTTTTTCTTTTCCTTTTCTTGCTTTGTGTTGAAGTGTGTATTTTATTTTCGCATTAAAATCTAATGAAATTAGCTTATATATCTGGCCAATTATTCCATATTTAATATTACCTTTATGAAGTGTTATATTCGCATATTCCCCGAGTGGTTACGTGTCTAAATTATATTGGTTATAATAAATAAATAATCGTGGAAGCGGGAGAAATTTCCTCTGTTTTTATTACGCGCCTATTATGTCCCGCGTGTTATCTGTTAAGCGCATGTTAGCAGAAAATCCACTATCGCTAAAATGCGCAATTGACACGTAAGCGATGCTCTCGTGCACACAACACAGTAAGAAACGAAAAGGTTAAAACTTTTTTCTTTGTCAGAAATAGAAAAACGCTTTGATGCGCATTAATGGCGATTCGGCCGAGAACTCGTAAAAGGGTTCAAGCAGTTCGTCGTGCTGCTGATGGAAGCGCTTTTAAAAAATGGTATTGCTCTTTTTTTAAGCTTTTGGATTCGTCGATTCAGATTTCTTTAGGGTTTTATCTAGATTCGTGAGTACTCTGTTTTGGGATTTTATTACAGTGAAGAATGTGGTGTTATGATAGCGATTGCTCTGTTTGATATGCATGAGTGCGGTGAGAAGAGAAGGGAAGTGAAGAGATTCAAGTACATTGCCAGTGGCAATGTCGATAATATCTCGAAACCAATTGGGAGCTTTGAAGATGAACCCAGATCACCATTTGTCTTCTTCTTGTACAGTAACCAAAGACTTTTACTCTGTTTCTTAATACGGTTGTGTTAAATTTCTAGTCAGTTTCTTGGGTTAATTAGATGGATTTTGATCCTTAGGTTTAAAAAGGGGACTGGTGATGTTAATTTATAAGGTCAATGTCTTTCCTTTTACGTTAAATGTTGGACCTTTTTGTTGGTTCTTGGTGAAATAATCCAAAAAATTGTAGGAAAAATGTCAGTGAGTGATTTAGCCATCCAGTAACTATTTTTCTTTCTCTAGAGAGGAGTTTAGGGAAAATTACAATGGAGACTTAGTGGATGCTAGCAGAATATGTTTCAATGTATGGAAGAACATGTCACCAGAGGTATCAATCAGTTTGTTCTTAAGATACTCAAAAGCCTCTCATTTCTGCTGCTAACCATATTTAATAAGTTGGATTTTTGCATTATTCTTGCTTGTTTCCAGGACCAAAAACCATTCAACGCCCGTGCTATGGAGGTTGATTTAGCACACAGCCGTAAATTAAACGAAGAAGCTAAAACTATCTATAAGGTAGATTCTATCCCTGGAACATAATTTGATACATTTGAAGATTCTATGGAGGTTTTTGCTCAGTTGATTGAATTTCTTTTATGAGACCAGCAACATTTGTGTATCTAGATCAAATTTGCTAAGCATACTTGAGGTAGCTGTAGAGTTAAACTAATGAAGCTTCTTGTAATGTTCTTTAGTTTTATAATTATTCGAAAAGGGCTGCGACATAATTTGCATTCAATTTCCTTTGAAATTCTTTGGCAAGTTTTAAGGTCGCAGAGGTTGTTGAACATTGTGATGACCAATTTGCAGGCAGATGATGAGGCAGATTCGAAAACTGTTGGGAGATATGACAAGGTCAGACTCATGTTTTTTTCTTCTTCTTTATATTAACCAAGAAGCCTTGTCTGTGTTTCCATCTTTTGCATAAATAGTTGTCCCTACGTTTCAATTTATTTTCCGACTACTTTACAGTTCTATGAGAGCTACGTTCATTATGAAGAAGAGGAGGACTATGATTCATCTGATCATTTTGGACATGAGTTTTGGTATGAATTTATACCACAAGCTCTGAACAATACAACATTGCCATATCCATTGTTCTTGGCTCTTGTCTTCTCACCTTTATGTTCATTGAAACAGGGAAGACGATACTCTGTTGGACTACTGAGAATCCCGATTTAGTGGAGAAGGTTTTTGCGTTTGGTGGTGTACAGGTTTTAGAGATTTTTTTGGGGATTTATGTAAATATAGACAAAGACTAGAGAGGCTGCTGATCTTATTTCCTTCTCTGACTTTTAGAGGTGTTGTCGTTCTTTTTTTGGTTACACCTTTTCTTTTTCTCAGTCACTATGGAAGAGAACCAGCTTCTTTAAAAATGACGGTGAAAACTGAATCTAAGTAGTAATTTTTAACTCTTCAGTAACTATCTTGTTTTCTCTAAAGAGGATTTTAGGGAAAATTACGGTGGAAACTTGGTGGATGCTAGCATAATATGTTTTAATGTATGGAAGAACATGTCACAAGAGGTATCAGTTTATTCATAAATCCTCAAAAAAAAACTCTTTTCATTTCTGCTGCTAATCATACATTTATAAGCTGGATTTGTGCGTCATTCTTGCTTGTTTTCCAGGAACAAACATATTCATCACTTTTTATTTTTATTTTAAGAGAGAAAATCTGGTTTCAAAACATTGAACATAGGGAGCGAGTCCAATAAATCAAGTCAAAACTCTGATTAGAAAACTACTAATCCGATCATTTAGTATATAGTTATAACGTATATGGTCGTCTTCAACATTTACTTCAAAACACAAAAAATTTTTTGCCAAGGAATCCGATGGCTAATTCGAAAAAAATGAGAGTCGAGAGATATCCTGCTTTTTTTCTTTTTGCTTCTTATACAAGCTACCTTTCATTAGTCTTATAAAAGCTACCTTTCTAACTGCTAAGAGCCTGAGACAGAAAGGTGCACCCTGAAGGTGTTTAGTTAATGTAGGTAATTTAAAAATTAACTAGTTCTTAAACAAATTACTTGTCTTATATATATATATTCTGTATTCTTCCTCCGACAGATCGACTGATGAGCTTCCATATTTACTGAAAGTGGAGGAAAGATCTGAACAAGGGCCGACATCTTAGTGTGGTTGATCACTATTTATCATCTAAAGGAACACTGTTGATTGTTTGTTCATGACTTCATGCGATTCTAACTTCTAAGTAGTAGAAAGAAAAACAGAATGATGAAAAATAAGCATAACATATAGGAAACATGAGAAAAAGAAAATGACAAAAAGTTATATATATCCCACAGGTTGTCATAAGTAGGCTTCTTAAAACTGAAATTCCCAAACGATTGCCTCATAAAAAAAGTATTCAGGACCGGGTCTAATCGTCTTAAACATTTATTTGACATATTTTTTCTTGCTCATTTTGCTAAGCTAAAACCGTTCTGATGATTGAAATAAAAGACACTAAGCATTTAACAAAGATACATGTATACATATACATTAAAGATAAATAAAAATGTACTACAAAAAAAATCAATACATTTTAAATAAATTAAACTAACTTCAAAATAATAAATAAATAATTAAATTTAGCTCTATAATTTTGTTTAGGTGACCCATGAGTTTTGAGTCTTCTTCCGTCTATAATCACTCAAAACCAATGATGATAGTCACTCATTCCCCCAAGACAATTTTGCCAAATTCAATATTATTCTTTTGTATTGGCAAATACTTTTGAATTTGCCAATACACTAGAAAAATTGTCTTCCGAGACAAAACAAAAATAATTGCTGTGCTGGCTCACTTCCATCTTCTTGATCTGCTTTCTACTACTGGCACCATATTGTGTGCCTTTTCAGATATGAAATCATCAGGATTCAGAGAAAGAGGACTTACAAGAAGTAACAACAAATATTTGAGTCTTCAATATAGAGTCGAAAACTGAATTCAACTTTTGCTTGTCAATGATAAACAAACAACTATGAACGAAACCAACCAAAGAACCCTTGAGTATACCTTACTCTCTCAAACCTATTTTCAACTCAATTTCCCAATAATCCACCATGACCTTATGCATTAGCTTGAACCTCAAGGTACAATAAAAAATTAAGTCACAATAAACACTATGATAGTTGGAGAATAAATGTCTTAACTGCAAATATGTAGTTACTCACCAATTTTTTTTTTTTTTGCAAATATGTAGTTAGGAATAAAATGAGCATTTTCCCAACTCACACCATTCATTAATTAAGTCAAAGAAACAGGATTACCATTATGAGTGGGCTTTTATGCATTGGGCCCATGGACCCATTAAAGATTAAGCCCATTTACATATTCTCCATATATAGCATTAAAGAGGTCCAATATTTTGCCCAAAAAAAAGAAAAAAAAAGAGGCCCAATATTGTAAAGCGATAAAATTGCTACGCCTCAGTGCATTGGTTTCGCTTACATGCGATTTATTTATGATATTTTGATTTTTGATCTAACTAAATTATATGCAATTTTATTTTGTGGTTGTTAACATAAATAAATTTATTGTTCAAACAATATTAACTTTAAAAAAATAATATTGTTTTTCGCCTTCATATCTTAAAAATATCCATAATTGAATATTATATAAAAATAAAAATATATTTATTCTAATATTATATATATGGACTTGCAAAAGAAATCAATATTGTAAAACTTACTACTATAATATATCAAAACTATATTCTAAAATATATAATATATAAATTTTGTACGAAATGAAATTTAACATGTGCTATAGTACGAATGATTATCTAGTATGTCTTTATGAATGTACATTTTTTGTTCTATCTAATTGTTGAAGATAAATCATCTAAGAAGAAGAAGAAAAGGAAGTTAAGTGATAATCTCAATAACAAATAATGATTCTTATTTCAAAATCTTTACTCCTTTTAATTGAATTCCGATTTGTTGGTAAGTAGGATTGATGATGTTAGAATTTTTTTTTTCATTCTTATCTCTGTTTTCTTAGCCAGAATTCATTTTATGCATTTTTGATATTTTTGTCTTCGTAAGCTATTCATAATGTTACCGAGTGGCCGTCCTATGAGTTGTTGAGTGATCGAGTAAGATTTTTTGAACTGCTTCCCTCTGTTGTTTCTCAACGTTTGAGAAATCATTTGAGTGAGAGTCTTCAGAATATCACACTTCGAACTTGGAGGATCAAGAAGCCACACATTCTTGACTCATGCTTGGCTAAACAAGTGCTTTGGATTTGTTGGGCTTATGCACTCATCCGTCAATTCGAAGGTCTTCTTAAACTCGATAGACAACTTGCAATGGATGAGCATTTGTCAGTGAATCATTCTTAACAAACCATAACACCGGAGACGTATATGTAAATGTGTTTTTTTTTAATTTACTTATTTCTTTAAAGAAAAACTTTAAATCATTTATGACACGTGTCAAAATCTTCTGTCTCAAACCCGTTCTTCCACCAATCAATAAACAATTATTTTAGGACATTGATTGTTTATATACGCTAGCAACTGCATTCAAATGTGTTTTTTTTTTCAAATGAAACTAAAACATCTACTATTTCAAACAAATTCATTAGTATAACGAAAACAGAGTTCCTCTGTTCCACATGAACTTGATGCTTGTGTTTATGCTTTGCAAATTAACCAAATAACCATATTATTGAATCGTTAAGTAATTATCTTTAGAGATTAGACGAATTTGGAAAAGTAAAAAAAAGTTGGTAAATAGAAATGTGCTTGAACTGCCGGAACAAAAAAAAAAAATCATGTGAGCTGTTGAAAAACGTGGATTCATTAACGTCTTTTTACTTCCAATACTTAAAGCACATTTATTTTCCACAGATTACACTTAGTTAGACACAAGCATTATTGTTTCATGGCTATAAAAAAATTGCCACGTCATCCATAATGCGTGCATTGGTTTCGCTTGGTTTAGTTGGTCTTTGACTCTTTTTTTTTTGGTAAGTGACCGGTGTTGGTCTTTCACTCTTTGGGGTTGGTTTAGCCTTTTTTGGCGCTTTTTAAAATTATTGAATATTTTTCTTCTTACAAGTTAATGATTTCCAATTGCTCTTATCTGAAAGAAAAAATAATAATTCGGTTACATATACAGATATACTCCACTCTCAAAAGTAAGCGCGAAATATCCCTTTGTATATTTATCAGCAGAATCCAAAATCTGTGTTCTTTAAGCTAAACCATTACTCCGCCTTGTGATCCTTCATGTCGGTGGGGTTTAAGTTGCTTTTCCATAACTCCTACATATGAAGTTGGAGCCTCTCATCTTCTGTATTAATGTGAGACTCTTTTAAGATTTTGTTCCTACGAAGATGAACCCACCTGGGGTTTCGCCAATTGTTCTTGTCGCCGTCCCAAGAAGAACGCCGTGACTATCCATATTAAACACACCTGTAAGAAAACAATGCAGACTTGTTGAGGATTTTCATGGAGAATTAACATACACGAAGAATTGTCTAAAAGGATGAAGCTTTTATTATACTGGCAAGGCATAGAGTGAAGCAGTTGATGTTTGACCGCCAAGAGCAATGGTCAGGACTTCAAATAGTCCCGCCGCTGCAGCATCTCCAAGCCGTTGAACAATCACATCTATGCATACCTGAAACCATAGCACACATAATGTGAAATAATAGACCAAAGTGTAACCCTTCCCTTTTGCAGAACTGATTTTCTAACTAGAAGTTGAGAAAAGGAAAGATTCAGTACCTTAGCTTTGTATTTCTCGTCTTGCGAGACAACTGTGAACAAGAGTTCCCTTCCAGGTCTAGTTACAACATAAGTTGTCACCTACCAAGTTATAAAACGTCAAGTGTAATTAATGGAACAGTAAGGCAACATGAGAGAGATTGTTGTAAGCCACAGACCTTTCTCAAGGTTTCAGATACAGCAACTGTAACCCAAGTTGGCCATATGGCAATAGCAACCAAATTCCCAAGTGCAACAAATGGAGATGCAGATATTGCAACCGTGACACCAGCTACAGTCAAGATCCGGCCCTGTAAGATTTAACATATGAACTGATATATATGGACCATGATAAAAAAAAATTCCAGGTATGGTGAATCAATGTGTGAATTTTATCCCGCATATGACATACCGTTAAAGTCAGTTGTCCAATGAGTATGAAAACTGCAACGAAGCTATTTATCTGGGCAAACAGTCTTCTTCGACCAATGGATGATTTGATTGTCGTGGCAATTATATTCACTTTCTGCAGTTTAACTTTATTTCATCAGTGAGACCGTAAGATGTTCAGCTTTCTTCTTGCTAAGTCCAAAAATTGATTCTATAAACTCAAAGAAAACAAAGGAATTTTAAAGTAACGGCTCATATCAGAATCACACTAGTAACAAAGGGATATTCTAATTTTCATGTGGTAAATGCATAGTATAACACATAGAGATGGTTCGCATGACAAGCCTAATATTGCATTGTCAACTAGTTCTGATATTACCTTCACATGATTTAGGTAATCTTAAAACTTGAAATCATTCAAAATATAAAGATCTGTCTTACTTGGAAATAGAAGAATGAGGAGATGACCGCACCGAGCCAAAGGAACAAAGACACTAGCAAAAGATAAGGCGATGCTAGTATAAGTCTCATGCCATCTAAGATGGCCCAAAGCTGAGGTCTGGTTGTGGAGATAGGCGATTTAGGAGAAGCAACTTTTGGAGAACCAACTTTTGGAGAAGTAGCTTCCTGTTTTCTCTCACGTTGATGATCATTATCAGTTCCCCTAACAGAACCAACAACAAAAATCAACTTCTCGACCAACCATGAGCATAATTGAGTCAAACTCATACTAAGTCTAGTCTAGCCCAGAACCTAAATTGAGTACGCACACATCTCGCTTGTATGGTGAAAACTTAAACTTGAGCATTACCAAGACCAACCTCAACTTCCAGATAAATCATTTCAATTTTTCGATTGGTTCCATACATAGCCACATATTATTCCAAACATAAGATAGGAAAACATAGCAAACAAAGGGTGGTTTAAAAATCAAATTCATCTTACACATATGGACACAGATTGTAGCTTAGCTAACCTTAGAGGAGACAACTCCTCAGAGGACTGGGAAATATCATTGGTGATCCCTTTAGAAGCCTGTGCAGCAAATTCCATCAAAAGAGCAGCAAATAGAAGTAGATCTGTAACGAACATCAAAATGATTTTTGAGTGAATTCAAAATGGCATACATGGAACAAACAAAAGCAGAAAAAAAATATCTCTATCTAGGTACTTAGATTGTAAATGGAACAATCATCAGACAATGTGATGCATACATGGACCCATCCAAGCAGTGGCAGCAGCAAATACTGATCCAAAAAGCTGTCCAAGGGTAGCACCAGCACCAACAAAACCAAACAATCTTGCACCTGACTGAATTGAAGAATGTTATATGCTTGGAAACAATAGCCAGTTCATAGAAATAAAGTACAGGGCAGCAGAAACTACCTCACTATCCATAACGTCTATTATTCTAGCCCACGTTGAAGACATAGCGACAAGATTAAGCAACGCAACCTTGGCAACATTAAAAAAAAAACGTATAATGTATCCAGCTACATTCAAACGACTTGAAATGAAAACCAAAAAAAAAACAAAGAGTTAGTCATACTCATACCCAAAGGAAAAATCCAACTCGAACAGAAATGTAAAACCAGCCATGGTTGTCCCATCCAGTAGCAGGATTAGCTCCATCTACACCAAATTTTGGGTCTTTTATTAGGCCGGATGCCGCCTCAACTGCATCCTTTGAAGCAATAGTATGTGTTAAACCATGAGACATGACTTATTCCAGAAAGCTTATGAATGATTTAAGTCTCCTAGCTTACCTTTGAATTAGACTCTGTTGGGGAGGCCCGCCAAAGAAGGAAACATAGAACAAGCGACAGACTAAAGAATCTATGTATTATAACCAATGCCTGCATTTTCGAAAAGCATGTGTAAGATAATAAAGAAAATCCAGAAGAAAAAAAACGGTAGAATAGAAACTATCTCATTTGGTATACTGTTCCAGCAAAACACGAAATAAACGGCACTGAAGCAAGAAGCAGACTATAAAGCAAACCCAATTCAATATATTTTTGTTCTCGCATGGTCAAAAGATTACAAATTGGAAACATAAGAAGGAGATAGAAAGAGTACCTTAGATTTGGATAAATTGGGCAAAGAGAAGATGAAGGTGGAAAGAGGAGCAGCAATGAGAGTGAGTAATAAGGATCCGACGAAGAGGCCTGGGAGCTTTGATAATCCCAGCGATATTGCTCCTTCATCGCGGAGTGGAAGAACTACGAAATACGCACTCAAAATCTGATTCAAGAGAACAAAAGTTAAAGGACACTCGAAATGAATGGTTAAACATAAAGACAGATAGGGAAGAAGATCGGTACGAAGAAGAAGCAGGAAGATGAGTGTAGCAACGCCGGGATCTCGTGCTGGTGCACCGTTACTATCGTGGAGATAACCGCATCTAATCGAATTCTGCCTGCCATTTGGTACCCTTGAGCTCCAAGGTCAACGTTCCCGAAGACTGATGATAGCCAAATCGGAGAAGTAAGAGACGAAGAAGAAGACAAAAGATAATATACAGAAAGCCTCTCTCTCATTCAGAAGTGTCGTCATTGTCTCAAAACGGCAATTAGTGTAAGCAGTTCTGAATGGTTTATTTTTGTTCCGAAATAGCCCAATAAAGGCCCATCCAATGGATGGTTTTTTTAGTTAACAAATACGACTTTTCATTACCACTAATCAAAACTCAAATTGAATGAATGTAACTAATCAAAGTCATTACTAACACATACGACTTTTCATTACTACAATTTTCTGTAACAACACTCTATTTTTATTAATAAACCGTTAAAATCAAATAAAAACTCCTAACCGAATTTTAGTGTAAAGCTCTCAACTAAACTGTTTTCAGATTGTTGTACTTGTCAATTATCATAAAAGGATAAAAATTTGAAAATTTATATTTTCAGATAGTCTTTTCAACATAATGAATCATGTGTTATCATATCTCCAAATCATTTATTCACATCTATTTTTGAATTCAGAAAATGTAATAACAAATTTTGACAATACTAAAGTGATAGATAATTCAATTGGACCGGAAACGATAATGACCTAGTCTTTCAACTCTTTTGAGTCCAAACACTTGCCGCGTTATCTATGCAACTGCCATTGACTGACCAGTGACCTCTCTATCTCTTTTTCACATTATATATAGACATGTTCTTTCACGGATCTTCTTCACCAAATCACACATTGACGAAGAAGTTTATAAAAAAAAAAAAAAAAGTCTTCACTCATATATAAACAAACAAGAAAATGGCTAGAATTGGAGCTTTGATTCTAGTTTTATTCATCTCCTTCTCTCAGCTTCCTTCGTTTTCAACTGCTAGGAAATTTCCGGTTGGATTTCCGTCGGTAATTGATGGCGTCATCTTCCCCGGGGAGATCTCTGTTGTCTCCAAGACGGTGGTAGGGTGCGAAGGCGAAGATGATCACTTCACGGCGTCTTATGTCACCGGAAAATTTGGGTCGTTGGTGTTGAACGCTCTTCCCAAAGGGTCAGTTCCGGCGTCTGGACCCAGCAAGAGAATCAACGACGTCAAGACTTAACAAAACTACTATCTTTGTCACTCGGTTGACTAAAAGTCACGAATGACAATTTTTTAGTTACCATTATTCTTTTTGTTTTAAGAAATTTAGAATTTTGTAAATATCAAATACTATACTTGTGTTACTATTGAAAGTAATTAATATGTTTAAATTGGTTCTTTTCAAAAGAAAGAATGAAGAAATTATATTTTGGTTTTAGGCTTTGTACGTCAATAATTCCCTACAATTAATCAAGTAGATATTTCAAATGGGGATAGCTAGACCTTGTTTGCTAAACGAATACAAAATTAACTGTTTCATTGTCTTTCTTATGAGTTATTACTATAAAAGAGTGGATATGATCAATGAAAAACAGAGTTTTGTCTTAATTAAACACAATCATTGACTCTTCTCGTATAATGTCTATTACTTTATCTTGGTACAGAATCTAGAATTGTCCGCCTTCAAAAGTTTGACCGAACTGCCAATCCTGAGGCACAACATCGTAGCTCACAACAGTCCGACCATCACTAGCAGTGACTTGAAAAGAGAGGCTTTGACCTCTGAGGTAAGTGTTGCTTTGCCAATTCTGTCCCCAGTTTCTTGACATGGATTGCCACTGATCAGTCTTTGAGCCTTTCAAAGAGACGGCCCTTATATCTCCAGCACCACCCACATTTGTGATCAGCACGAGGTCGAAATACGGATTCCCGTTGATCGTGAACCTTATCCCTCCACCTTTCTCACATGGAACCCTATCATTATAAAAGGACAGAAATGATACATTGATACCTAGAGCGTTTTTTTATAAGAAAACGTATACTGAATTGTCCTTCTTTGGCTACAATTTTGTTTTTACCTTCTGAATGCGACAGGAACGATTCCAGCCCGGTACTGAGCGATCTGGAGGAAGGCAGGCTCGGCCAAGTCAAAGTGCTTGAGAGGAGGATTGCACCAACCACCATTATCATTGGCTAAGGCAAAGTTTGGAGGACAAAAGTTTGTAGCTGAAACGATGATGGAACCAGGGATGCACCACTCAGGACCATCCTCACATTGTAGCTCAAAGCAGGCCCCACATTTCTGCCCACTATTGAACAAAGCCGTGCTCAAAGCCGCGGTTTGTAGCCCATAGCCTTGGCTGTGTAAGTTACCGTACCCACAAGCACCACCTAAAAAACATCAACACTTGAACGGTCAAATATGTTAAAGTATAATAATATGTGTGTGCGAGTGAAAGAAAATGTTTTAAGTACCCATTGTGCCGGATGCATCTTCTCCACCGTAGAAGGTAGCATGGCCTCTCTCCCAGCCTCCGTTGTTGTCTGAGTTTATAATGTAGAAGTTGATGGTGAATAGTGAAAGAAATAAAATATGGGAATATTCTGTAAGCTTCATGATTTTGCTGAGGGGCTAAAGAGGATCGGTGGAAGTAAGAAGATGAGTGAAGTTGGTATATAATTCGTTCACTTTATATAGGGATTAATTATGGAGTTCACTACTAGTAGATATCACTTCTCTTATGATACAAATATATTTTTTGACAAAACCTAAAATGGAAGAAGGTGACATAATCGGATCGGTCTTAATTCCCAGGAATTCCGTGTGTAGGTGGTTATGCATTATGCAAGTCTTGAGTCTTCACATGCAATTCCGTTAGCGCTTAACCATTCCAACGGGCAACGGCTATACCGCATGGACCCCTACTTTTATGCCACGTGGACGTATTACATATCCTCTCTTACCCACATCACAGATTCAGATGTATTCATTTAATATATTAATCGGTGAACAAATCATGCATTCTTTAGTGATCTTTAATTTAATTTCTAACAAATGATATCATCAGTCATGACTCATGAGAAAGAGAAATAATGAAATGTGACTACGGTTAGGCACTTAATATTAATCCAATCGATGTTATTAATCATATAGTCAGCTTTTTTTGTTCTTTTTAAACTATATATATGGATCTTACCTATTTAATCAATATCATAGTCTAAAAATTGTGTCTTTTCTTCATCTCTAAATTTGTAATTAAGAAAAAAATACACAAGTGAAGTTCGTTTCCTAAACTTGCATGCGCACACTTGAATAATTCATATATAAGTAGACTACAGTCATAAGTTAATTGGTTAGATATGAATTGTGAGGAAGAAAGAAACATGTGAAATGAGATCATCAAAGCATGACGTACTCGGCGTATGAAACTGAACAAGGACATATAAGAACATGAGATCTCCCGTTGTTTCCGGTAACAGACTTTCTTTCAAGTTGCTGTCAATTATCAGTTTGTCATCAATCATCATCATATCACATTCTTCGTTATATATGCATACACTGATACACATCAATAACAATTTTATTTTTAAAAAAATTAGAAAAGAAAAAAAAAATTGAACAGCCACAGCAGGAATTCGATAATATATTTGAATTTGTGCAAGTAACTTAACACGCAATTCAAGAGTAAATTGATTGCATTTTACGAATTGAATACATATCTAAAACCACTATATAGTCCAAAAATTCAAGTATGATCAAAAGCTCTGCACCACCGGTTCTGTCATTGTGTGGCTTGTCCTCAGGATCGGGCATGTATACACGTATGATGCATACTCCCACGTCATTAGATTTAAGAAATAGTAAGAACCAGGGACAGATGACCACAACTAGTAGTCTAGCTAGTACACAGCCGCCTCTTAATTGGGCTACTATGGAGCGTGATTCGGCCCATCAAGGCCTGGCCAATGAAATATCAACCAACCTTATGAAAACAGTCCAACACTAGACTTCGAAACTATTACCGTAGTTAGTTCTTTTTGTCATATGGTTTCAACTTTCAAGATTAAACGAACCAAATCAAAATCTAACCTGACAAACTTAGACTTAGTCATAGTTTGCTTTCTACTCGTATCCACCATTCTTACCACTTTGATTTGATTATAGGATTCTATAGCTTTAGACCTAACTATTTTCAATCTGAAATGAAACACATATGTGGACCAATTTGACACTAAACCTAGAGGCTAGATTTTATACCTCAAAGCCTACTCACCGACAATAACATAGATAGAATGTGATCCTTTTATACCCCCAAAGCCTAGTCACACCTAATTTACATCACTTATTATTACGTAATTAACTAGCATCGGCTATTTATCCAACACTATAAAACGGATACAATTATATTCTTCTTCTTTTTTGTGGCCTCATTTGAAAAGTGGGAAAATAGTGTATTAGACTATTAGCTAATCGTGAAGTTGTAAGAAAAAAAAAAAAAAAAAAAAAAAAAAAGAGAAGCTAATCATGTTTACACATTCGTATATGAGCATACACACGTATTGGTTGATGGGTCAGTTCGTCTTGTAAAGTAATTATGTATGATAATGGAGGTAGTGGATCTAAGAGAGACAAGTGTTTGCGTCTCTTGCGTGAGAACTTGTGTGTATGTTTGATTTGTACATCAGTAAATGTTGAATTGGATGTTGCTAATATGTGGACCAAAGATCCCACCCAGATACTTCCTTTTCCCTTTATGTAGACCATTCAATTTAAATCCAACTAATATTTTACACATTTTCGGTAACATTAAGTACGTTTCAATGTGCCCCGAAGATAGTAAATTAGTAGATTAATGGATAAACTCGCTTTATTTTCTACTGTAGTTCTTTTAATTATTTAATTGCTTTCCACAGAAACTAGCTAGGCAAAAAGAAAAGTGTACATCTACGTAATAGTTACATTTTCTTATGATTGAAGCAATTAGTTACATTTTCACATATTAAACATGATATTATGAATATCTGTTGCAGCCAAAAACAAAAAAAAAACTATAAATATCTGTTAATTGAAGATTGAAGTTTATAATTCTAATTAGTAAAGATTGTAAATGATGGAACAAATGCATTATGCTATAATCATCATGATTTGTTGAGAATCTGATACCCCAACATATGTTTATATATACAAAATAAATGTTCGAATGTTTTCTTTTATTAATGACTCGTTTCTCACTAAATAATTTCTTTCTATACGAGAGTGGATTTCATGTGGCTTGATTCCAAAGTTCTTAAGACCACTAATTGAGAGAATTCGTTATACATCAATTTTAATATCTACTCAACAATATATTCTGCATTATTAGTTGTCTTTTTGGCCTTGTCCTTTACGTTTGTCCCTGTTACTAATTATACAAATGCAACAAGATTATATGCCATAGTATTATCTCTCTTAAATTATCAAATATATATATCAGCAAATCTAACCAAAGATTTCTTGGACCGACCATCTCATCATCATCCCTCTCTCTCTTTCTAGCCTACCCATTTCCTACTCTTATAGAACAACTTATTTCCTTTTGTGTAAAACCCAAAGAAGAACTTGTATAAAGAAACAGATCATAAAGGATTTGAGCTTTGATATCTCCATGGATTTATCAAGTCTTTGAGTTTCAGACTGGAATCGAAGCCTCGGAGTAAAAGAGAGAACAAAAGCTGATCTTGTGCTTATCATAGCATGAAGAAACTTGAATCTCTCATCTCAGTCTCTTTTGTAGTCCGATTCGAACAAAAACTGGAGCAATAGGAAGAAGAAGAAGAACCTTAAAGGTGAGTCAAAAAAAGATTTGTGCATCTGTTTCTGAAGCGTTTACAGATGGCTAGATTCTTACTTGAGACGCAAGCTACCCCGACTATTTCAGCTACTGATGCAAATCCTAGAACCTTAGGAGACTCAGTCAGCAACAACAAGAATATAGCTAGCATGGATACACACATGGTGATCGTACTAGCCGCTCTTCTATGCGCCTTGATATGTGCTCTTGGCATCAATTCGGTCTTGCGCTGTGCCTTACGCTGCACAAGAAGGTTCACTCCCAACGAAGATCCAGTTGACACTAACGCAAACGTAAACGTAGCAAAGGGGATCAAGAAACGGGCGTTGAAGCGTATTCCGGTTGATTCATACAGTCTTGAGCTTAAGATGAAAGCCACAGAGTGTTTGATCTGTTTAGGGGAGTTTGTTGAAGGAGAAACAGTTAGGGTTTTGCCCAAATGTAACCATGGCTTCCACGTCAAGTGTATCGACACTTGGTTGCTGTCGCATTCCTCTTGCCCCACTTGCAGACAATCACTCCTCGAACACCAGACTCCAGCAAATGGTTCCCGGCGGGGTGATGACGTAGCAACGTAACAGAGCTTCATGAGGTCATCACTTTCAATGTTGAGTTTTTGCTTCACCTAAGTAGGTTTTCTTCTTTCTGGTTTGGTATATATATATATATATATATATTTGTTTTGTTTGTAAATTGCTGTTTACAATTAGGGAAGTTTTATCCACAATTTAGTTATATAATCTTCTAAGTTTTGGCTTTTCAAGTTTGATTTGGTTTTTGATTGACTTTGGTTTTCAGAATTGTTTAGCCTTTAACGGAATATAAAAACCAAAACCAAAATGTAACTCAGTCGGTTTTTTGTTCAGGTTTGAATAAACTAAATTTGTTTCAAATGTATATAACACTACATCACGAACCAAAGGCCAATCCCAAATCTTCTGTTTCAGAAACGATCTATTGCAAGTGACTACAATAGAAATAAACAAAATTGGTTCAATCAGCCAAAGTAAGCTCCACAAAACCTACTAAGTATCCTTCCAATGTTGAATCTAAACGAGTAAAGCTGGTTTAAATTGAGATGCAGCATGATTCCTCCACATGCTTTTTCAGATCTGTGATGAGATTGCCTTATTGTTCGATTAGATCAAACTTTATAGTATACGTTTGATGATACAAATTCAGGATTTGGTCAAGGCGGAACCATAAGTTACTAAACTGGTGTTTGTAATTCATGAGAAGTACAAAAGAGGAAACAAACTCTAAACACACCTTCTAGTCAAACCAATTTCCTTGTTAACCACTATGAAAAAGTCATTCTTTGCATCAAGATGAATGAAAGACCATTATTTGATAGTACAATACTTACATATAATAAAATCTTGATGGTAGAAGTTTTGACAAGATGATTATGTAAGTTTCAACAAAATCAATATACTTTTTTGTAGACTAAGCATTAATCATTTTATAAAGATAACCAAACACAATGTCTCATATAACAACAGACATAAAAACACACACACACACATGACACATACAAATGTTTATTTATATAAGGGGCCAAGGTTCTCATGTTAAAACTGCAGAGATCGAATCAGCGATGGAGACAATAGTCGACGGTGAGACTCCTCGACTTCCGGACAAATACCATCTCTGCATCATTCCCACCACATTCGCATTCTCCACCTTCAGTTTCTCCTCTTCTTTACCTTCCGTCTCAAACCCGATCTTCCACCAATCAATAAGCAATTTTTTAGGACCTTGATTGTTTATTTACGCTAGCAATTGTGTTATAATCTCTTTTCTATTCAAATGAAAATAAAAGATCTACTATTTCAAACAAATTCATTAGTATAACGAAAACAGAGTTCCTCTGTTCCACATGAATTTGATGCTTGTGTTTATGCTTTGCAAATGGATGACTAAACATACTTTTCTTTATAAGTAGACATGAATTCGATATAATAGACGTTAGCAGAGGCTCTAGATTATACCTCGCAAATGCCATCTTTGGCTGAGAAATGGTAAGTGATGATGGAATTAGCTTTGAAGTACTTAGACTGGAAAAAGCCAACGACCTTCTCGAGCTCGGTTTCTTCTTCTTCCTCGTACTTATCCTCCTCAGCCAAACGATCTCTCACAGAATTCTCTAGCTGCACTCCGTATTGAGCTCCTTTTATTTCCTTTATCACCACCACTCTTAAAACCTTCTCCATCTCCGCTGTAAAATAAATATAGTCATCAGACGAACCGTTTCAATTTCATTCGACACGTACTTAACCAAATAAAATAAGTAAACCGGAGTTTAACCGGAGTAAACCAAAATAAGAAGCCTAACCGAATTATATGACTAGTTCTTTAATTCTTTAACTTTTCATCACACTTTTTGGTATATCACAATACCAAACCTAATACTTAACCAAGTAGTCTATCTTAACCAGAAATCATCAAAACCGGAGAACCCTAAGTCAAATTTGATTTGAAACGTAACAAGGACTAATTAAGATTACCGGATGCAAGGGCGTCGAAGAAGTCGTCATCGCCGGCGAGTTCTTGGCCGGTTTTGCCTTTCCAGTTATCAAGATGGGTTTTAACATCTGAAGGATCCAAGTAAACTCCGATCGCCGTAAACTTTACTTGAAGAAAGTGGATCTCGATGTCTGTGATCCCTATAACAAGAATAAAACAATCCACATAAAATTATTACCTACGATTTTATTGCATTATTAAGGTATCAAACATTATGGAAGCAAAAAGAAAAAATGGTTTTGTCTTAGAAAAAATGAAAAACCTTGGCCCAGAAGTGAAAGTGGCTTGGAAGTGATAATTTGTGGAGGAAAAGGAACCTCGTGAACCATTACCATCTCTGTTCCCACTGGTTGATAAACAAGAAACACAGAACTTAATTAGAAATGGTATAAACAACATTCAATTGAAAAAACAATGCGAAACTTGTTAGAACTAAAAATCTTGCTTTGTTGGTTAAAAATTTGTAATTAAAAACAATGCAAAGAGTGTAGACTTACTTTCTAAATATATTATTTTGAAACTGAGAGTGAAGGAATTTATAAACGGCTTGGTGTACTATTTTATGATCTTAGAGAAAGAATACTTATTATGATGTAAATGTGAATATCTATATATTAAGCCAGGGACTGGTGGTAGGTAACATATTGCTAACGTTCAAAGCTTGTGATCTAAAAGAAGACGTATTCTTTTGATTAATTGAATTATTTTGTTACCAAAACAATTTTTTTTCTTTCATTGAATGCCTATGAAAAATGTTTGTTTAGCGACCCACCAGGAAGCCACGTGTTTAGATCAAGCAGTCAGCCCACAACCACTCGTTCTACCTAACAAATGAAGATACAGAAGTAAAATAAGAGAGATAAAAGAAAGTATTACTATGATACAGTAAAGAGATCAGTGAAAGAAAGCGTACATAAGTTAGATACAAAATTAGAAACAGCCACATTACTCCACAACGGCTCTTGAAAGTAGTAACGTATGACAAAGAAACGTATACAAACCCTTTTTTCCTCTTCTCTTATATCTCGACTTCCATTTCCCATTTTCTCCTTGATCCTTTGTCTATTTTTCTTTTTTCCCCTGAGTCATGTTTCCATTATTAAATTCATGTCAATCATTTCCTAAAGCCAAGAAGAGATTTCAAGAAACCATCTTACCGTGCTTCTTATGAAATCAATTTAGGGTTTGTCCATAGCACAAACCTATTCTCACGAAGGAGCCGCCTCTGCTTTATAAGAATCGTAAAAACCTTAAAATATACACATGGAGGAAAAGGGCACTCAAGATGTCCCCAAAACGTCACCGGATTCTGACTTGCACAGAATTTACTTCAAGAGTTTGATAAGAGAGGAACCAAGAGGGTTGGTGGCAGGATTTGGGGGAGGCAATTTGCGGCCAAGAGGATAATATCTTGTTCAGATGAAATCATCAATTCATGATTCCGCCATTACGGGTTTGGAGGCTGAGCTTATGGCTGAGCTTATTTTGTAAGAGACAACGGTTTACTTGTCCACTTTATAATCAACAACCATGAAGAAAATTTTCCTTATTGATACTATAAGTTTTGGATTAGATTTCAAAAGCTGAACCCAGAGCTGTGTCGATTTTTTAAATGGGCCAACTACTTACAGTTTTATAAGCCCAAATCTCCAAGTCCATAGTGTTTTAAACGTGGCGCTACCTAAAAGGGACAAATTTTTGATAAAGATGCATTAACAATTTAACATCCACAAGATTTAAAAGGGATAAGGAATAAGCAAATTTATCCTTAGAGATTTAGACGAATTTGGAAAACTAAAAAAGTTGGTAAATAAAATTCTCCAAGCCCATAGTGTTTTAAACGTGGCACTACCTAAAAGGCTTAAAAAAGGATATGGATATCATGATGCATTAACATTTACAAGATAATTTATCTTTAGAGATTAGACGAATTTGGATAAGTAAAAAAGGCTGGTAAATAGAAAATGTACTTGAACTGCCAGCTCAGAGAACAAAAAAAAACAAAAAAACATATAATATATGACCTGTTGAAAAATCGTGGATTCCTTTTAACATTTTTTTCCTTCAACATTTAAAGCACATTTATTTTCCACAGATTAACACAAGCATTGTTTCATTGCCGTTTCATGGCTATAAATAGCTTATTCCTCATCATTTCATAAAAGAAAAGAAAAAAGTAAACTTTTTCGAACTCAAATAATTTCTCCAAATTGAGATAAAAATCATGCTCGACTCCACCCAAATGCTTGCGTTTATTCTAGGTTTGCTTCTCCTTGCACTAACTATGAAGCGTAAGGAGACGAAGAAAACCATGTTAATGACTAGCCACACGAGAAACCTCTCTCTCCCTCCCGGGCCGAAACCTTGGCCTCTAATCGGAAACCTACCGGAAATACTAGGGAGGAACAAACCGGTGTTCCGGTGGATACATTCTCTCATGAAAGAACTCAACACCGATATTGCATGTATCCGTCTTGCGAATACTCACGTGATCCCCGTGACATCTCCGAGAATTGCGAGGGAGATTCTGAAGAAGCAAGACTCCGTTTTCGCCACTAGACCGCTAACAATGGGGACAGAGTACTGCAGCCGCGGGTACTTGACTGTTGCCGTGGAGCCACAAGGAGAGCAGTGGAAGAAGATGAAGAGAGTGGTGGCATCTCACGTGACGAGCAAGAAGAGCTTCCAGTTGACGCTCCAAAAGAGAACCGAAGAGGCTGATAACTTCGTCCGGTACATCAATAACCGCAGCGTCAAAAACAGTGGTAATGGTAATGGTTTTGTGGTTATTGATTTAAGGCTTGTGGTGCGGCAATACAGCGGAAATGTAGCTCGGAAGATGATGTTTGGTATAAGGCACTTTGGTAAAGGAAGTGAAGATGGATCGGGACCAGGGTTCGAAGAGATTGAACATGTGGAATCTTTGTTTACGGTTTTAACCCATCTTTACGCCTTTGCATTGTCAGATTATGTCCCGTGGCTAAGGTTCTTGGACTTGGAAGGCCATGAGAAGATTGTGAGTGACGCAATGAGAAATATAAGTAAGTATAACGATCCTTTTGTTGATGAAAGACTCATGCAATGGCGAAATGGGAAGATGAAAGAGCCTCAAGATTTTCTTGACATGTTTATAATGGCTAAAGACACTGACGGGAAGCCTACTCTGTCGGACGAAGAGATCAAAGCACAAGTGACGGTATGCATATTATGGACTTAATATTATATCTTTTTAATTATCGAATTATATCTAGCTACTACAATATAGTACATAGAGTATTTTTTTTTAACAAGAAAGTTTCGTCCTTTCGTGACCAATAGTGACCTGACTATATTAGTACATGTACTGTCAACTGTGTCTACAATTGTAAATCATTTGTCTATGAATGTTTTGTAGTACTTAGGATTGGTAAAAGTAAAACTATTACAACACCTCTCTAACCAGTTAAGTAAACCGGGATAGTTTAAAACTGATGATTACTTCAAAGATCATGGTACATTGTAATGGAGTTTCTTTAGAAAATCAAAGCTCTAAATATTTTCAATTTGCAATTCCATGCATTAGTGATGCATTTTCATAAGCAAAAGGTTTAATTTTATTTTAGAAAAAAATATATTTTATCTGATCACCTCTAACTTTTTTGGTGGTTGATTGGACTATGAAGGAGCTAATGTTGGCGACGGTGGATAATCCGTCTAATGCGGCGGAGTGGGCTATGGCGGAGATGATTAACGAGCCGAGCATCATGCAAAAAGCCGTGGAGGAGATCGATAGGGTAGTTGGAAAAGACCGCCTTGTCCTTGAGTCCGACCTCCCAAATCTCAACTACGTGAAGGCTTGTGTGAAAGAGGCATTCCGGTTACACCCTGTGGCACCGTTCAACCTCCCTCACATGTCCACCGCTGACGCTGTGGTAGACGGTTACTTCATCCCCAAGGGAAGCCACGTGCTGATTAGTCGTATGGGGATCGGGAGAAACCCTAGCGTGTGGGACAAGCCTCTTAAGTTCGATCCGGAGAGACATTTGTTCAATAACTTAGGCGTGGATCCAAACGAGCCTGATCTCAATATAATATCGTTCAGTGCAGGACGAAGAGGGTGTATGGGTGTGGACATTGGGTCAGCCATGACGTACATGTTGTTGGCTCGGTTGATTCAAGGGTTCACGTGGTCACCAGTGCCCGGTCAGAGTAAAATTGATATTTCAGAAAACAAGAATGATCTTTTTATGGCAAAACCATTACACGCGGTTGCAACACCTCGTCTGGCTCCACATGTGTATCCAGCCTAATTGAGAGAGAGATTACTAGAAAAAATGCACTATTATTCAAACAAAAAGAGAAAGAGAATGCACTATTAATTGCATGTAGTGGTATGTTTTTTTCGGTTTTAATTTCTGATTAGACATGTAACGATATCTTAAATATTTTTTCTAGAAAAGCTATAGATGTAGTTCCGGAAATTTCAATTATAGTCTAATGTTTTATATATGAAAACATAAGATTAAAAAGGTATTAACGTCTATTTGCAATTTTAATCGATTCTAAAGAGCATAAATCAAATACCTACCGGTAGTCTGGTAGGATAGTTTTGGGGTGGGCAAGGCAAAGAAAAATTCAAGCAAAATAATGTCTTGTTATTGGTTAATTAAATAATTAGGACGTTTATCGGGTTGTACATAATCCTAATCATTTATTGAATTTTAAATAATCAGGACGTTTATTTGAAAGAGCAGAAGTCAAGTATACTCGTAAGATATCCTTGGGGTAGGCAAGGCAATAGAAAATTCAGGCAAAATAATGTGTTGTTGGATTTAAAATATTGTGTTACTAGATCATGACCCGTGCTATACAGCACGGGATTTAATATTTTTCATGAATTAAATTGTATATTTTGTTCGAAGAAATAAGGAATAATTTAGTATAATAGTATAATATAAAAGGGAATATATCATAATATTTTATATTTATTACTATTTGGATATAATGTTATATATTTTATTTGACTAAAGAAGGAGAGAATATTGTATTTTAGAATTTAATATATTTAGCAGCATTAGATTTGTATTTTTTATATGAGATTAATAATTTCTTTGGTTCAATTAGGAATTGATAATTTTATTGTGTGATTGTGAACAAACAAAAAAATAGTTGTATTGGGTCTAAGTTTTTTAATGGATTATATTGGGTTTGTGGGGCCTAGTTTCATGGTTTAAAAAAAAGGAAAAAAAACGGTTTAACATACCTTTGGAATTTGCTGATCTGTTCCTATTTGATGTCTGCTTGAATTTTGTTACCCTGTGATTAAAATAAGATGACTTAAAACTTACGGCACATATATTACAAAGAGAATTGTATAAAATTTCAATGGTACTTACAGGCTCATCTTTCAAAATCATTTCCAAAGATATGCCAGAACCTTTTGTAAAATGAATCCACGAATGAAATATACTAACTTGAATACAGCAAAAAGTCTTGACATGCTTCAAATTGTTAATAGGAGTGTAGGGACTAACCATAGCCATTTCTGCTGTATTTTTAATTGTAGGATATGAGAATGGTGTTGAGATGATTTCTGTGAGAAAGGTACGTCAAGCCTAAATGGATATTTATAGTTGTAGATTGTTTGTGATAATTAGGAGATTCAGAAATATATTAATTAACATAAAATAGTTAGATAATATTTTAGAAAGGTATATTCTAGATTATTTGGCATATAGGATCAAAATTATGTAACAGAGAGATTTGACAATCTTTAGAAAAGATTTTAAGGAAACTGAATAGCTGATTATATTGATGCGTGATTAAACTAAACAAAAAACGTAAAACTAAACAAAAAACGATCTAGAATATAACAACTATTATAACTTATTTTATTTATAAAGGGTTTTAAGGAAACTGAATATATTCTCAAAGATTTTAGGAAAACTGAATATATTCTCAAAGATTACGAATTACTTGAATACGAATTTATATCTAAACAAAATATAACAACCTAATATCTTTAAGATCTTTAAACCCGTTTTTCGTTATTTGACCCGTTTTTTAATTAATTTGTTAATGTTAGTGACATGGAATTAAAATGATTATGATTAGAGATATCTAATGGCATATATTATAATTTCTTACAAAATTTACGTTACGACTTATAGGATGAACTTCCCAAATAATAGTATAGGATTTGCCTTATTAGTTTGAATTGATTTTATTATTTACGAAATCTCCCTAATTAATTAATTACAAAATTATGTGATTATATTGTTTAGATAGTATAATTAAACCCGTCTGATGACCCAATGACCCGCGTAATTAAAAAATGAATATACTACCTAGACAATATAATCAACTGAAGTCAGAAACAAAGATTTAGGAAACTGAAAATATTGTATTGTTTAGCTTAATCAAAAACAATGAAATTGATGATAACAGATGTTTAGGAAACTGAAAATATTGTCAAAGATGATAACAGATGTTTAGGAAACTGAAAATATTGTCAAAGATTACGAATTGTAGTTGAAAATAAATTTTGTTTAGTTATAAGAACGTAGACACATTTTCAAATTTTAGTAACATTTTTAAAAAATGAAGAATTATATAACATTTTCAATTTATATAACATTTTCGAACTATATGGGTATTATAATTCAAAATAGCATTTTTTATTTTTTATAAATTGGATTGATATAAAATGTTTTCAATGATATATCATTTTCATTAACATTTTCAATGACATTTTTTATAAGATGTTCGAATAATGGATTACTATATAACAAATTGAATAACATTTTTAATTTTCAATAACATTTTCGAATAATATATTAGTATATTAGTATATAACATTTTTATATATTATATAAACAAAATCTTTTATGTATTATATAACATTTTTATGTATTATATAATCTCGAATATTGATTGGTATATAATATTCTCGAATTATATTAATTATGTATTATATAAACAAAATCTTTTAATATCTTTAAACCTGTTGACCCGTTGACCCGTTAATATATATTAGTGACATGGAATAAATTTTATGATTAGAATTATATAATGGCATATATTGTAATTTCTTACAAAATTTAAGTTATGATCCTTAGGATGTACTTCCCAAATATTAGTATAGGATATTTTAATGACTCATAAATACTTGTTGAAATTTGATGATTCAATTAGAAATCAATTACTGTTTTAAAATCCACTTATAATTCAAAATCAATTAAAATCTTCGTCCAACAGGGGTATAGATGGTGGGTTTTGTAGGAGTCCATGTTGTGCCTTTTGTTGGTTTTATTTTCTACCAACTGATTTGTTTTTTATATTTTTGCCTCTAGTTTCTTTAGCTACTCTGTTTGTTTTTTTTTTTTTTTTTTTTTTCAAAATCGATCTGTTTGTTTTTTTTTCTTTTTCTTTTTTTCAAAATCGATCTGTTTGTTTTTTTTTTCTTTTTCTTTTTCAAAATCGATCTTAATTAACCTCAGATTTCTATTACTTAAACAGCAACATTAGTTCTTTCAATACGTTTTACCAAAACTAAAAAAGTAGGCAAAATTTTTTTATCATACCAAACAATGTAAATTAAATGGAAAAATTAATAATACTCAAAATTATTGGCTGTATGCCTCTAAAATGGAAGGAGCGATCCTGATAAACTAAATATCATAAATCCAACAAAATTCAATAAAATGTGGATTTATTACCTTAATGAGATTGTTTGTTTATCATTCAATGAATTTGTATTTAAAATGGGTAGGTTTTATCTATTTTTGGTGGATAACAAATTTCATAACTTTTGAGTCATTGACGTATAATATGGAAAATTGACAATAATAAGAGGAGGAATAGTTGACTCCAACGTGGACAATAAGCTGACATGGCAAACACGTGGTAAGCACGGAATCCACTTAATTAAGAAGCCGAGTGTCGCGTGTTACTCCGAGATCCCCACGTACCTAAACCACAGTATCACGTGCCTATCGATTTCTACATCTCATGATGACCGTCCGATACGGTCCTCTGAAGCATTGTCTTATAATCCTACGGCTTAGATCAAGCAACACTCGATGGCAATGCTTCTGTTCTAGATTATAAAAAAACGCCGTTATTTCGTTAAAGGTCTTTAATCATTGACCTCATTCCACTGTCTCACAGAGCAATAATCCACTACGTGATTCTTATTGTGCAACCATGTTTCCTCCTCTAGTATACTCCGCTACAATCATTAACAAGCCCCCACTTAAACGTAAAAAACATATACACACCGAGACTTAGCATGGATTGAGTTACACCCGATTATAACTCGTCAAACAGTTTCAGCTTAAAGTGACGTCAGCATGTTTTAATAACCTAGCGTTATATTAAGTCATCTTCTTACGTTAAAGTTCTTCCTTCTCATCCGACCGCTAGATATATTTCTCCGCCTCAATCCTCGCTGTTGTTTCATAACGTCTTGTTCATAGAAACATTAAAGCGAATCTAGCGAGGTTTTAAGTAACCTCCGGTTTTTGTGATTTAAGATTATTTTTTTATTGACGTGGAAATCTCATCACCGGGGAAAGATGACGTATGCAAAAATCGGTTACGGTGGAAGTTATCTAGTGAAACGCGGCGTATTGGAGCATCCGTGTGGATCCGATCATAATGCGAGATTGCTTTCATCGTCGTTCCCGATCAATCAAGGCGGGAATAGGCGATCTAGCCTTGGAACGATCACGGCGTCGATAGCGGAGACCGTAACGGAGATAGAGAAACAGAGATGTGGAAGAAGAAGCGGAGGGAGAAGCAGAGGAGGTGGAGGAGATAGTAGAGCCGTGGAGGCGGAGCGTGAGAAGCTAGACAGGTGGATGAAGGAATCGGTGACGGAGATCGTTAAGAATTTAAGTGAAGCGCCGTTGTTAGTCCATTTGTACACCGGAGAAAAGGAGGAGGGAACGGTGGTTGTGATGAAAGCGGAGGAATGGGCGGCGGTGAAAGGGAGATGGGAGAGAGGAGAGGCGGAGATGCCGGAGGGGATTGTATTTGTGGAGCAGTTAGGAGCGGCGGAGGAGAGTTGTGGCTGTGGTTTTGACGGTGGCGACGGCACACGTGCGTGGGGGTTGGTGGTACAAGGGAAAGGAGTTGAGTGTGGGCCGGTTTGTTATCTGCTTAAGACGACCCGTGTCGGGTCAGTGTCAGGGTCAGGATCCGGGTCGGGTTTGGGTATGCGGTGTACGCATTTCTGTTTAGCTAAGGTGTCGAGTTTTAGAGAGACTAGTGAATCTCAGCTTAAGAATTGTTGGCTTGTGGGAAATTGATAATGAAGCCTTTTGTATAATCTTGTAAATAAATATTTGACCAAATTTGGGTAACATATCAAATATGTTGATATAATTAAAAACTTAATTTAGTAAAAGAAAATCAAATATGTTTTTTAAAGTAACAAAATTAAATGGAGGTTGAATAACAATTGTTTTTAATGTTTGTAGATTACAATAAATGTAAACGTATTATTTTCCAAAACACAGAATTGATAACACAAGATTTCACAATCACAATATTTATGCAATTAATAATACTTATAAAATATGATTAGCTTTTAATCTGTTACTTAAATTGAAAATTCAAATGGCAAGAGGAGTCTTCTCGTAATTTACGGTTTAAGTTAGTTGGTTTATTAAAAAATAGCGATAAAAAGTGAAAAAGGCCTTTACGAAATTGGTAATGAGCTCACAAGAATACAAAAGATTCGATTATAAAGGCCCAAATTCACTATTCCCTCCAAATCGCGTTTAAGTCTTGTTTGAATTTGAAAAATCTCATAGATTCCCCATGAAAAAAAAAAACCGAAAAAAAAAAAACATTTGTTGTTGTCAGAAATTATTAAACTACGCCCACATCGCGCGCTCTTCTCACCTCATTCTTCTTCTTCTTCCCTCTTCTCCAATTCTAGGGTCTCTAATCCAACATTTCGATCTTTACTAATTGACCATCAGATCTTTAAACTCTAGACTACATCACTCGAACCCTCGATCTCCTTTTTGAGTACTTTCCCTCGAGGAATCAGAGAATCTCCAATCACCATTTTCTGGGTTTTCTCCATTTTCTCGAAATATTCTGGCTTTTGTTTTGGGTTCAAATCTTCGAGGGTAAATTTCTGGGTTTGCTCTCGAGGTTTTAATTGAGTCGCCATGGAAGAACACGACAATGTTTCTGGAGGGGTTTCTTCGATTCCCAGATCCGACTTAAAGGTAAGTTCTTTACTTCTTCTTCTTCCCTGGGTTTCGTTGAATTGATCTTGTTCGTTTGCTTATATACTTTGCCTTTCAATTTCTCGATCTAATTATTATACATTGCTTTACTTTTTCGATTTCTGGGATTTTAGATCGGAGGCGATGAATTGGACGAAAGACAGGAGTTGAGTAAAATTCAACCTGTTACACCAACTTTAAATTCCGGTAATTTACTATTTCATTCAATTGTTCATCGTTTTATAATATGGTTTCAATTGAGTTTGAATTTTAGTAAAGGCATAGAATATATAACCTAATTTTTACCTGTGAAATTTCGGATATTGAAGCCGTTGAAATGTAATTTGAACATCTATTGCTACAGGTAACACTGGTCATGCTTCTAAAGACACTGAAAAAGCCAATGAAATGTCTCAAGTTGGTAAAGTTTCAGAGAGTTTTGTTAAAGAAGGGATGACTAATAAGACTGAACTGTTGGGTCAAGAGGTTAAGTCTTCTTCCAGTAAGCTTGTTCACAACACAGATGTTGATTCTGATAAGCGAGCTTTGCTTAAGAGATGTGATAATGCGGATGCTGTTTCCAGCTGCTTGAATGATGATTTAACATCGGTTTGCTCCTCTAGGAGACACGAGACATGTAGTTCAAAGGATGTTAATTCAGAGTGTGGGAGTTCCAATGGCCCTGTTGCGAAAAGAGATCCAATGAAGGTCTGGACAGAAATGAAACAGAACGGGTATCTCTCTAATCCGAACGGTGGGATGTCAACGACATCAAGCAGCTGTCTCGTATCATCTTCTCATGGAGGGATACCAGCTCCAAGGAAACGTGGACGCAAAATCAAGAATAATAATGACGCTGCAATGGCGAAGAAGAGAAAGATAGAGATTGCAAGGAAGGAAGAAGTTGACAGGTTTGCTAGGCTAGCTGCTCCTAGTGGACTGCTTAATGAATTGAACCCTGGAATTATTAACCATGTGAGAAACAAAAAGCAAGTACTTTCCATTATTGAAAACATTGTCAAGTCTGAAAGAGATGCTGGAAACTTCCATCATTCTACATTGAGGCATAGTAATAGTGCAGTTGGGAGTCCTAGGAAAAACTTGGGAGATGTGAACACTAATGCCTTCAGATCTGATTTTAACCAAGGATTCAAGTATGCCATGCCAGAGGATAAGTACTCTATGCGCTACTACGATGAGAAATGCGCAGATGATGAGTTCAGTGAAGAAAACATTACAGCTAGGTCGAGGTTTCAGGTGGCAGGTAAGTTCTCAGAAAATGCCAGTTCCTTGTCGAGCGAGGACGCATCAGATCTTAACAGTGCTAGTGTTCTCACTGTTAATGGTATGTTCTAGAATTCAGTACACAATGTGCATGGTTTTATACTATCATATGTGGCTTAGATGGATCTTCATCATTTATTTGCAGCGGCTACTGTAGCTTCTCAATGGTTGGAATTGCTTCATCAGGACCTCAAAGGCCGTGTTTCCGGTAACCAAAACTCTTATATGGTCATTGATGCTATGAAAACTTTAGTACTTGGCTGTTCTTTAAATCTCTTTTTTGTTCTTTTCAGCTCTTCGGCGTAGCAAGAAGAGGGTTCGTGCAGTTGTCACGACAGAGCTACCTTTCTTAATAACGAAAGAGTTTACACCTGATCAAGAAAATGACCCAACTTTACTCCTCGATGGGGCTTCAAGGGCTTCAACAGTCGATGTCCACAAGACCAGATGGATGACTTTGTTTAAGCAACTCGAACACAAGCTATCAGAAGAAGAGTCACAATTGGTAATGGAGTTAAGATTTCTTAACCACACATCTTACCTTTTTTTATTGGCATCTGATATGGAGTTTGTGAACTCTGAAAATATTCAGGAAAGCTGGTTAAACCAAGTGAGATATATGCAATCACATTGTGATCAAGGTCTGCAACACTTGAGCTTGAGTTCTGGACAGAATTTCCTACAGTTAGGGATGCCACTGGACTCTAGGTATGGCCATTTCACTACCTATTCATCTCATTACCAGTTGAATATGTTTCCCCAATCCAAATTTTTTGTTTCCTGCTGTTCAAATTGTGTTGCAGAGCTGTAAACGCGCTGATCTCAGATAAGGATTTAGTCATTAAAGCAGCTGCAGCCTCTATATTCTCGACCTGCAGTTTTCTGGAGGAGAACATAACCTGTAGCTGAAATCCTTTAAACCTCTGACCAGTATCTGATTTAAGCTTTTTAGTTGAAAACTTTCATAGCAGAGTTTTTCTTTGTACGATCCATCTGTAACACTAGGAGCAATATGCTCATCAGCCTTTTCTTTTCCTTTTTCCTTTTATAGATTCATTTTTCAGCCATTTGTTTTACAGTATGCTAAATTAGTTAAGATTCTGAAAGTTATAAACATCTCTTCTTGAATAAAGAAGTAATCTTGAGGTAACTATGTATTGTAGTATGATCCGAATATGTTCTGGCTATTCAAAGTTTGGATCTTCCCCTAAGCCTAATTTCCCCAAACAGTCAAACCTCACACATGGAGTAACTACTACAATTTACAGTATGTAACAGATCCGTAAATAAGTTTTTGGATCTTACATAGAGAACCTAGGAGCAGAAACTGGTGTCATCATGCTGAAAACAAGGTTGCTTTGTTTAGAGCCAGTTAGAGACCATCTTGTTTGGTGTTGCTTTGGCTGATGGATCTTCTGGAGCTTTAGCCAATGAACGATACTGAAGCTTTACACTCTCTGCGTTATCCAGTGTTTTCACCACATACCTGCAAACGTAGCAAATGAGCTCTTAAGTAACAGAAACATTTATACAAAAGTTGGTATAGATTTTTGCTCAAGGGTTGTACAGGTGATGCCTTTATCACTGTACAAGAAAGTTTGCAGTGAGAAAGAAAGAAATGAGATTTTACCAGCCGTTTAAGCATTGAGTAGTCACAACAGCTTCCCGGCCAACAAAACGAGGTGGTGTCCTCTTATTTCCCTGATTCATGTTTCACTCCATCGGTTAGCAACTCCCGCAATCTTCCATCATAAGAAAATACCTACGATAGAGAAAAATCGCAGGGGAGAAAAAAAGAAAGGACCGACCTTTATTATAACTCGATCTGCCACAGCAAATGGGAAATGATTACTTTTGTTCCTTGATCGACCTGAATGATTCGTGACACCAAATGCACGTCTCTCCTGTGTATATGGGAAAGGAATCTCTTGTTTGAATCATAAATAAATGTGAGAGGTCATATGAATAGTAGTATTGAATTACTTGATCAAATCCTTCTCGTTTTCTCTTCGATGAATGGTTTGACTGTGAATTCTCTTCTCGGCAGAATGCTTGTACCGCAACTCGTAAAGCTGCGAAAAATCGAGCGGAAATAATGACAAGGAGTTCTCTGAGACAATACCAAATACAAAAATCATGAACACAAGTAATTTGCTCACTGAGATTTGGGGTTATCGATTCTTCTGAGACTGGTTGTGAACATGTGCAGCAAGCTTTCTAAGAGAGCACGACGGAAAATAGATTTCATATGCAAAAGAAAAGAGACAAAAGCAAATAGCAGAAACAAAACTCTGTACCATCTGTTTCACTTGTTCAATTCCTCCAGCTCCAAAAGTGTGTCCGCAAGGTAAAATCATAGCATCAGCCATCAAAGACCCTCTGCAATTGTGCAAAGAGAATCACAACGAACACAAAATAGGCTATAGATTAAACGTAATTATGAACAATACCAATCCAATGGTTTTCGATTTTAAAAGTATCAAAGTCCACCCTAACTTCTGCGCGAGGTAACACTAAAAGCTGTTTGTAATCCCGAAACCATAAATCACTACACCAAGATTCAGAAAGTGCTACATCTATGCTTCCATTATTGGAGAATTCAAGGGTTTGGAACAGAATCATATGAGCTCAACTCCGCCTTTAAAACCACAAAAACGCGTAAAACCACGCGAAAACATAAAGGAACATACGTTGTAGGATCAGATAAAATGGTCCTCAAAGACTCAATTGAATTGCTCGAAGAAGAAGAAGGGTCTCTTCTGCCGCTAAAATCACACCCATTATCCACAGCGATAGATGATTCCTCATTCCTAGAAGCAAAATTCGCTTCCATTGGCTTAAAATGCTGTGAGTAGTAAGCTGCGTTGTCTTGTCCAACCACTATCACTGCATTACCATTTTAGTCCACTGCCTCAATACTCCCAAAAGTAGAAACTTTTCAAACTAGAATTCCAAAAAAGCATAGACTTTGTGTGTGATTCTCTTACCAGCTCCTGCTGATACAGAATCTTCACCAGCGTCTTTGTTCATGCCCATGTCACCTTCATTTCCGTCTATGTCATCATCCTCGTCTTCTTCTTCCACGTCAACGTCATCCTCGCCGTCGGATCCACCACTGTCGTTAGTGTTTCCGATAATGGGTTTCTCCGAGTAGAAATTCTGACGAAACTCTAGATGAGGGTGTGGATTAGCTGCGGCGGCTGCTGCTGCTGCCGCCGCGAAATACCGGTGGTGGTCGCCGATAAAAGCAGCGAATTCACGGGTTTTAGGGTCCTGCTCGCCGACCCGGAAACGTAATGGGTCAGCATCTTGGACAATCATCGGCGGCACGTTGAAAGGCGCCGAAGATAGCCCTTTTCCGGCCATGGAATGATGGAATCAAACGATCGAAAATGATTAAAAACCTAAAATTAGACAAAAATTGAAGATAATTAAGAACTTAAGAAGGTAAAATCAGGGTTTGGTTTAGTTATGTGAAACAAAGAAGGAATTTTGAAGAAGAGAGATGAGTGATGAGAGGAAAAAGTTTCAATTTTCAGCGATCAAAATGAAAAGACTAAAGAAGAGAAAGAAGAAGTGGGAAGGCAAAATGACGTCGTTTAGAGAGAAGATAAACAAAATAGAAACGGTGACGTTTCAACCACAACAGACGTCAGGCTCAGATTCTATATCGGGCCCATGGATCCAAAAGCAAGTGTGCGGAAGAGAAGTCAACGGAATTTATCTCTTTACTGTTGTTGTTTTGTGTGTCCGAAAATAAATTGTCTGAAAATCATTTATTGTTTTGCCTTATTAGAATACAGTACAACTGTTATATTGAAGCTAATAGATATCACCATGTATAACTATGGATTTAGATTGGAACTTGTCATTAAGCCAACAAGATTCCTTTATCAACTGTATAAAGATAATCTTTTATTCTATCATATCTTTTGTGCAACTGCCATTGGAACTTGTTCTGTTCTTCATAAATAGTGTCTAGATTTGTTAGAATAAATATGTTTGGTGGATATCAATATAAAACATAAGTAAATCCACCGGGACAGGTTTTTCTGGTTTTTCTCTGGTACTCATGATTTTCATTGTTCCCATCAAGATAATGGATTAATGGTGTTTTCATGATGTTTTAGTGTTAAATCATATTCTTGATCCAATCATCATTAATAACAGAATCATTTCAGGATTCTTGGAACACAGATTCTGGTTAAGTGGGTGTTGGAAAGCTATTTTTATTTGGACTCTCAAGTTAAATGGAAAAAGGATCCAAAGATTCTGCATCATTGTGCGTTCAATAATTAGTCTCTCCTATTGATTGAATATTCAGAAGAAATGTCACATTATTAAGATGGTGTTACAATGAGAGGATCCTTGTAAAAAAAGTACAGGTACAACCGTACAAGGAATCACGGGTTTTAGGATCCTGCTCGCCGACCCGGAAACGTAACGGGTCAGCGTCTTGGACAATCATCGGCGGCGCGTTGAAAGGCGCCGAAGATAGTCCTTTTCCGGACATGGAGTGATGGAATCAAACGATCGAAAATGATTAAAAACCTAAAAATTAAACAAAAATTGAAGATAATTAAGCACTTAAGAAGGTAAAATCAGGGTTTGGTTTAGTGTTGTGAAACAAAGAAGGAATTTTGAAGAAGAGAGATGAGTGATATGGGGAAAAAGTTTCAGTTTTCAACGATAATGAAAAGACTCCAGAGGAGAAAGAAGAAGAAGTGGGAAGCAAAATGACGTCGTTTAGAGAGAAGATAAACAAAATAAACGGTGACGTTTCAAACTTATGTTCTTCATAAACAGTGTCTAGATTTGTTAGACTAAATATGTTTGGTGGATATCAATATAAAACATAAGTAAATCCACCGGGACAGGTTTTTCTGATTTTTCTCTGGTACTCATGATTTTCATTGTTCCCATCAAGTCATCAAGATAATGGATTAATGGTGTTTTCATGATGTTTTAGTGTTAAATCATATTCTTGATCCAATCATCATTAATAACAGAATCATTTCAGGATTCTTGGAACACAGATTCTGGTTAAGTGGGTGTTGGAAAGCTATTTTTATTTGGACTCTCAAGTTAAATGGAAAAAGGATCCAAAGATTCTGCATCATTGTGCGTTCAATAATTAGTCTCTCCTATTGATTGAATATTCAGAAGAAATGTCACATTATTAAGATGGTGTTACAATGAGAGGATCCTTGTAAAAAAAGTACAGGTACAACCGTACAAGGAATCACGGGTTTTAGGATCCTGCTCGCCGACCCGGAAACGTAACGGGTCAGCGTCTTGGACAATCATCGGCGGCGCGTTGAAAGGCGCCGAAGATAGTCCTTTTCCGGACATGGAGTGATGGAATCAAACGATCGAAAATGATTAAAAACCTAAAAATTAAACAAAAATTGAAGATAATTAAGCACTTAAGAAGGTAAAATCAGGGTTTGGTTTAGTGTTGTGAAACAAAGAAGGAATTTTGAAGAAGAGAGATGAGTGATATGGGGAAAAAGTTTCAGTTTTCAACGATAATGAAAAGACTCCAGAGGAGAAAGAAGAAGAAGTGGGAAGCAAAATGACGTCGTTTAGAGAGAAGATAAACAAAATAAACGGTGACGTTTCAAACTTATGTTCTTCATAAACAGTGTCTAGATTTGTTAGACTAAATATGTTTGGTGGATATCAATATAAAACATAAGTAAATCCACCGGGACAGGTTTTTCTGATTTTTCTCTGGTACTCATGATTTTATTGTTCCCATCAAGCTAATGGATTAATGGTTTTCTCAAGATGTTTTAGTGCTAATCATATATTCCTGATCCATTCATCATAGATAGCATTTGGATTATTATAAGAACTTTCATGATTCTTGGAACACAGATAATGGTTAAAGTGGGTGTTGGAAAGCTATTTTTATTTGGACTCTCAAGTTGAATGGAAAAAGATCCAAAGATTCTGCATCATTGTGCGTTCCATAATTAGTCTCTCCTGTTGATTGAATATTCAGAAGAAATTTCACATTATTAAGATGGTGTTACAATGAGAGGATCCTTATTAAAAAAAAGTACAGGTACAACCGTACAAGGAATCAAGCACTAATGAGATCAGATCATTACAAACAGACAACAATTTTTATATTTATTCTGGAGAAGACTGGTCTCTCTGTTCTTTGATGTTCTTGAACATCTTAGAACTCTTATCAAAAATCTTTGCTCTTCTGTTATAATCTTTAGGGTCTCTCCCATCATCAGCCCCCATGATAGCTTCCTTCTCAAGGTACTCCACAGGAGACTGATCTCTCTGTTCTTTAGAGTTCTTGAAGATCTTAGAACTCTTGTCGAAAATCTTCGCTCTTCTATTGTAATCTGTAGGGTCTCTCCCATCATCATCACCCATAATAGCTTCCTTCTCAAGGCACTCCAAGAGCTCCCATACTCCTCTGTTTGCTTCTCCGCCACATATACCTCTTCTCTGAGTCAATTCCTCCTCTTCCTCCGGTGTAATTGGCTCCATTGCCGCCGCATAACCTGACCCTGAAGCCACGCATCTAGCAGCAGCAACCCACCTCTCCTTCTTGGTTTTAAGGCTCAGCTTGGTCTGTGGGATTGCCGTGACCGAAGATGAGGTTTTATATGTTCTCGAAGATGAGTTGGTGATGATCTTTGTGCAGGTTTGAGAGATAGCTTCCATTGTTTTGTCTGATGGAGTTTTGTTGGGTCTCTTTGTGGTTTATATAAGGTTTGGGTAATGTGACCCATTAACACACGGCATTCATCACACGTGTGGGAGTGGCGATGAGTAAGAGAGTTTTCGAGATTCTCCAAGCTTGTTCTTGTGGCACGTGTCCCGAGATTCTTTTGCCGACCTACTTTGACTCTCTCAGAGGCTTTATCCAAGCTTTTGTTTAGTATATAGTAAGCTTACTGTTCGCCGACAAAAAAAAAGCTTTTGTGGCAGTTTGTTTACTTCTAGAACTTGCACCTAAAGATCATTTTTGAGTTTTATTATCACATCGACTCGGTTTAGTTTGATTTCTCATAAATGATTTCAGATCAAAACTTGCATAGAGATTTTAGCTTGAATGTGATACGTAGGCTTTGTATTCTCGCATTCAAAATATGCAAATTTCTGTGACAAGTTTGTCTAAAACCTGCAAATTCTATATAGTTTCAAAACCTGCCTGATAAGAGCATTCACTGTAAGCAACAACACATTGAGTAGCAAATGGAACATCAGATAAGTCTACAAACTGCAAAAGAAAACGAACTAAAAGATAACAGATATAGCTAGGGACTTGACTAGATGAAAATTCCCAAAATGGTAAAAGATGTTTTTCTATTTCAGATGTGCAAACCCTCTTCACAGCCTTTGTGAGGATCACATCCTTGAATTGTTGCAACACAAAAGGCGCAAGGAAGATTTGAATTCTAGTTTCCACCTTCATTGATAAACCCTTCTTTGCGACCTTCAAAGCCAGGACGCAAGAGCTTTTTCTCTCTCTTGGCGATTTTCCGCATCTTATTCTGTTCAATCCTATCAGCAATATTCCCTGATCTCTTTTGCTGCTTCTCCACCTTGAACTTTTGTTGCCCTTCAACTCTCTCTTTCCACTTCTCTGCGTTCTTCTCGTGCCTCTTCTTGTCTTTGTGGATGCTTTGCTTCAATAGCTTTGGGTCATCATGAACCTTGATACCAGCTGCCCTGCTTGTAGCTGCCTTCCATGAGTGCTTCTTTGCAATTACATCTCCTTTTTCTGGATCCTTCTTTGCATCCTCTAACTTCATAGCCCTTTCAAGTTCTTTTGCCTTTGAAAGCCTCCGTTTCTTTTTCTCTTTTCCGTGTTCTTCATCGTCATCAATCTTGACGTAACCAAATGTAAGGTCCTTAGCAGCCTCCTCCACATCCAACTTACCCTTACCTTTATCTGCTGACTTATTTTCCTCCACAGTCTTCTCCTCAGAAACTGTATCCCTCTTTCTCTTATTTGGCAGAATCTTCTTCCTTCTTTCATTGCTTCTTGGTCTATCTGAACCTCCACGACCACCTTTGAGCTCATCAATTTTGCGGTGGAGACGTTGCCTCAGCTCTTCGTACGTAACAGATTGATGATCCTTTTGTCTGTTGTTGTCTGTTTCCTCCTCACTGTCATCATCAGGAAGCTCAGTACCAGAGTTTTGCCGGTCAAACTTCTGCTTCCGTAAATCCGCGTGTTTCTTCTTTTGCTTCTGCTTCAGTGAAGCCAATCTTTCCTTCTCTATCTTCTCCTTCAGTAAATCGAGAGTCGTCAAAGCAGACTTCTCTGGGTCCAACTTATCTCTCTTCGCCTTCTTTAGGTTTTCATTTGTTATTTTCTTGGCTTTAGCTTTTCGAGCCTTGCTAAGACCTGGAAACCATTTTCTTTCTGTCTCATCAGGTAAGTAGAATCTTGCAGGGATGAGCTCTATCAACTTATCGAAAAATTCAGTATGCTGAGGAGTCTTGAAATCCAATCCAGAATCACGTTTACCCTTCTTCTTTGCCATCTACAACAATAACCAAAACCAATCACAATCAGAAAAAGCCCTCTCGGAGAATTGACATATAACAAACTAAGGACTCATAGTCAAGTTTCAGAAGCTAATTAACACATAAAAACTGTAGAATCAACTTAAAATGGCAGATTAACAAAATATGAGATGATAAAAAGTTACTCGAATGCTCAAGAATTACTGGGGAAATCAAAACTTACATCAGTCCCACGAGTTTTAGTCATTGCTCTCCACAGAGGAGATTAGCCAAAAAATCGGAAACCTCAAGACAAGCTGCAGCAATAAAACAGGAAATATTAATAACTGTGAAAGACTAGATATAGATTTTCGATATACATTATAGCTAAGCTAGTACAAATACTGAATCACATCAAAAGACACAAACTTTACTCGTTTACTAGATACAGAACTAAAGAAGATGACTTTGTAGACACCATTAACACATAAAAACAAAATTTCAACTTGCGTTCTTGAGCAAATATGCTCATTCATTATCCTGGAGAGAAACAGAAACCCTAGTATAATAGAGCAAGTTTACCTAATATAACAAGCTCAGGATGAGTAAAGAGAATAAGAAGCATACAAAAACAAGCATAAGAAACAAATCTTATCCTATAGACTGTAGAAGAAACCTATCTCGAAAAACTTGAATCGTAGAAACAAATACAAGTTTAAGTTTTTCATATCAATTGAGGAATCATCATAACTTAAAACTCATTATCTTTAGTCATAAACGATTCTGACACTAGAATCAATTTTCTTAAGCTATAAGAACAAACCCAGGTCGAAAGAGAACGAATTGGTGGGAGAAAAGAAGAAAACAAAGACAATCGAAGGAAAATCTCACCGGTAGCGACGATGGCGAATCAACGGCGTTGAGAGAAGAAGGCAGAGAGAAGAAGGCAGAAGACGAGGTTCCGTGAAAGTGGTTAGGGTTTGAATGGTTTTGTTATTTCTCAATTTTTATAAGGGTATTTATGTCAATGCGTTACCTCAACTTCTCCTCCAGCGTCCCAAAAACGGTTCGGTTTAATCGGATTCAAAATTGGTGAACCGGAAATCGAATGGAACCGAGAAGTTTTGCACGAATATGTTGTGAGAAGGAAACCACCTCTCACACGTTTCCACGTGGCATATTTCCCTTCACTCCGCTTCAGGATATTTCAGTTTTTAAAATGCTCAAAAACGGTGTCGCTTTTCTCTGCGTTTGAGAGTAAAAAGCTCGCTTGACCGGAGTTTCTTGTCTTTTGCTCCAATCTCCGGCGACCGATGGCGGTCTCAGCTTTCCGTGGGACGCGGTTACCGTTATTTCACCATTCTCAGGTCTACTAGTTTTCTTTTCTCTTTTCTTCACTGAAGTCGTTTCCTTTATCTGCTCTTTAAGGCTTAGCTCCTTTACTTCTCTGCTCAATCTCGATAGCTTCATTTTGCAGTTTCCCGTCGCGAGAACTGTATCACGAACATCTAAGAAGATGATCGGAGGCAGGAATTTGAAGGGTTTTGTTATTTCGGCTCAGTATTCGCAAACTCAGGACCTTTTCACTTCTCGTCTTCAAAGTACGGAAATTTCCTGCTTTTTCGTAAACTCAATCTCACTGTTTACATTTATGATACTGAATTATATCTCGTTAGTGTGTTTTTGTGAAGAACAGTTTATTGATCCATGTGCTTGTTTACATGGCTTTTGATGCAGGCCAGATAGAGAAGTTGCCCAAACTGGTTGAGGATATAGTTCAGACATCGATAAACACAGGTCCACGCGGTGTGACACGCCTTGTCCAAGGCGTTCAAGCCTTTGTAGGGGTTGGAGGAGAGTGGCTAAATGATTTATCTAAGGTGCCTGTTAATCTTATTTATAGGTTTCATATATGTTTCAAGTAGAAAATTCTTAAATTTTGTTCATAACACTTGACAGTTCCCGGCAGCTGAAACTATGTTTTTTTCTTTCTTATGGCTTCGAACTATCTTTGATTGCTAACTACTTTCTCAACTCGCCGCAGTCTACAAGCGCGTCTGGTGGATTACCAAGTGAATTGCAGCTTGGTCTACTGTCTCCTCTATATTTGAGGAAACTCTTTGAACGCATGGGAGCTACTTACATTAAGCTGGGACAGGTAAATCATGTTGCTAAATGTAGAGCATATTGTATCCTCTGATGGTGTCATGTAAATATCTAGAAACATGTGAAGTGTATGTCTAAAGTAAGCTTAGTTTACCATTCTATCCATTTAACAAAACTTGTAATGTATCTTTTGAATTTGTAGTTTATAGCATCTGCGCCAACTTTGTTCCCACCAGAATATGTCAAAGAATTTCAGAACTGCTTTGACAAAGCTCCTCCTGTGCCGTTTGAAGAAATTCGTAAAATCTTGCAAGAGGATCTTGGGAGACCCATAGAAAGTGTATACGAATATGTTGACCCTACACCAATTGCATCAGCCTCAATAGCACAGGTGTGTTCTTCTGCTTCTACTTCATTGATCGTGAATTTTGTTCATGTACTCTTCTTCTGCTTAAGGGAATCATCATGTCCAGGTCCATGGTGCAAGGCTTAGAGGCTCCCAAGAGGATGTAGTGATTAAAGTCTTGAAGCCTGGGATAGAAGATTTCTTAGTGGCAGATTTGAACTTTATCTACGTTGTTGCCCGTATATTTGAGTTCCTTAGTCCTGAGTTTAGCCGTACTTCACTGGTAAAGTCCTCTGTACTTAATTTGCAGTCGCTCCTACGATACTCTATAAACCATATACCCTATTGATAGGTTGGTATTGTCAAAGACATTCGGGAGTCAATGCTTGAGGAAGTAGATTTCAATAAGGAGGCTCAAAACATTGAGTCATTTAAGAGATATCTTGAAACCATGGGGTTGACAGGGCAAGCTACTGCTCCAAGAGTGTATAAGTACTGCAGCAGCCGACGGGTACTTACAATGGAGAGGCTATATGGAGTTCCTCTGACTGATCTAGACTCTATAAGATCACTTGTTTCCAGTCCTGAAAACAGCCTTATTACTGCGCTTAATGTGTGGTAAGATCTTTGAAATTGAATATTAAAATTAAGATTGTTCCTCCTCCTAATTGTAGGTGTTAGTAAAATTGATCTTCATGTGATGTACCCTGCAGGTTTGGAAGTTTACTTGCTTGTGAAAGCTTCCATGCTGATGTACATGCAGGAAACTTATGGCTGTTGCGTGATGGGCGGATTGGGTTTCTTGATTTTGGTAAATCATACTCTCTCAAGCCTAATCAATGCAACATTTCTTGCATTGCATGTGACTATTCAGTTACTCGGAGCGACCCTACTACCTCTGATTCATCTATTAATGCATGAAAATGCAATTTTATCCCATCAATAGTCTTCCTTTTTTTGTTGGTATTTTTTGGTGTATTCAAGTAAGTATTCACATTTTTTTAGGCATTGTTGGTCGGATATCCCCCAAAACATGGGCTGCTATGGAAGTATTTTTAGCGTCTATTGCAACTGAAGAATATGAATCTATGGCCTCAGCTTTGATTCAAATGGGCGCCACAAACAGAGATGTTGATGCCAAAGCTTTTGCAAAAGACTTGGAAAAGATGTTCTCATCTATCCAGGCAAGAAATTTTACTCTTCACTGACTAAGATGACCCTCTGTAACCAGCTTGATTTGCTTTCAGAACTGTAGTGCAAAACAATTACAACAATTTTCGCTAATCTTATGGAGAAAAGTGAATCTCTTCTTGCAGGAAATAGATACAGAGATAGTAGTGGCTACAGCTCGTGGAACAAATTCAGACACAACTGCTGTTGCTGCTAACGTAGTTATGGATGAGAGACAGATGAATGCTCTTTTCCTCGACCTAGTAAGCACTAATTAGGCGTAACTTTAAGGATTTTGTTTGGCTTGAAAGTTGTTAGGATACAGAAGTTGCATTGATTTAAGTTAAGAGAAACACCGGTTTGAGCTTTAAGGAGTGCATACAGTTGAAAATAAGTTTTCTTCCTCTTGTAGGTGCGTGTTAGCGAATCATATGGGCTTAAGTTCCCGAGAGAGTTTGCACTTCTGTTGAAGCAACTTCTGTATTTCGATCGATACACGAGACTGTTAGCCCCAAACCTGAACATGCTGCAGGATCAGCGGATTTCTATCGCCTCCAACAAGAGGACGAATCGATATAAGGACAGCTTCAACTAAGTTCATACAGATATACTTCGCTAAACCTATTCAAACTTTTTATTTATTTACTAGTGGTAAAGTTATAGTAGATTGATCAAGCCAGGAACAATGATGAATTTAATCTTGTTACAAACATATCATGAATATATACAACAGATGAACAATATCTTCTTCATATCTTCTTCTTCTATTTTTTTGTATAATTTTGCACAAGTGACATGATTTCTACTTTAAACAAAAAAAGTGCAGAAACAAATCTTTTACCTATACACAGATGTGAAAAAAAGAATGATAAACCAATGGCAAAACTTTCCATCTGAGAAGTACATAGTTCTCGTTGCTTCATCAGAAGCAGAGATCTATACAGAAGGAGGACGCTGTGAAGCTTTAAAGACTTGGCTTACAGTAGAATATCCCATTAGTCGGTGAAGCGGAGAACCTCTAGACACAGGTAGCTCCTCATCCTGAACAGAGGATCTCAGCTTTTCAGGTTTGGAGGGAGCTTTGTCTCTCGGAGACTCTGATGTTGAATTGCTATTCCTATTAGCATTTATGTCATGTGTTACTGCAGGAACTAAATGAGTTCTGGATTTAAGTGAGAATCTGAGAACAGTGGTGCAAGTGCCGCATCTGAGAAGATGATGCTTCCTCTTGAAAATGAGAAAGTCTACAGGAAGCTGCAGGTTTTCTGAGCAACTGTAACAGCTAACAAAAGGTGCCCCACCAGCTGTTGGACGGACATGACGCTTGGCCACACGTTGTCTCTCTTTTAGACGACGGGTCTGTAACTCATGGTGGTGGCCAGCATGTCTATTACGCTGATGATCCTCCACGTCTGAGACTATCTCGCGCCTCCATCTCGGATGATACTCAGGTTCCATTGGTCTCTGTGGACTTGCAGAATATGAACTGTAAGAATTATGAAGCTGACCTGAATACCAACCACCATGGTTTCTTCCCATCTCTCCTGAGATCCTACTTCCTTGGCCCTGACCTCTTGCCCTCGGGTTGTTGTGATACATATAGTCAACAAATTCGTGGTTCATGCCTCCAGCGTATGAAGGCATTTGAAGCGAGTGTGCACGGGAATAGCGATCAAACTCATCATGTGACGGATATGAAGGGCTTCCACGTGTGTATGGTTCTCTCGGATAGAAAGGCATGTCAGGCCGAAGTTGTTCTGTCACATGTCTCCTCCCTTGTCTGCCAAGACGCCCTCCTGGTCCCTCGAGTTGCAGAGACCTATTCTGATGCCGTTCGTTGTATGTGGTAATCCCATTGCGCCTATTCTCAGAGAAAGGGGAGGAGGAACTAGCGCCTTGCTCCTTATACCCAGGGTATCTATGCATCTCAAATTTGCCTGATCTTATCTTCTGAAGAGCATTCCATTGTTCGTTGTCATCGAGAAGTTGGTCTTCCCTTTCATCAGACGAAGACTCACTCCCGTCATAAGCAGAAGAAGTCTTGTTTGCAGGAGAATCAAGTTGGCTTTGCTTCTCTTCAACAGGGGAAGCATCAGGTGAGATCTCAGCATTACCAGATGAATTACTCGCTCTTGCAGCCACCACATCATAAGCAGAAGGAGTCTTGTTTGCTGGAAAATCAACTTGGCTTTGCTCCTCTTCAACAAGGGAAGCATCCGGTGAAATCTCAGCGTTACCGGATGGATTACTCGCTCTTGCAGCCACCAAATGATCAACAATCAAGCTTCCAGAGCTAGACCCAGATCCTGCAGCTTCTGCCACGGTGTTCATCATATGAGACTCCAATCTGGAATTGTCTCCTCCATTCTTCTCAGAATCACCAAGTGAACATTCCTGCTGTTGAATTTCATTTGTCTCATCTCCATTAGATAACTCTAAGTCATCAAGCTCCTTCTCCGTAGACTCAACGGATACATTCCTACCTTTCTCAAACTCTTGGGCTGCAGAACCCCCTGGGGATGACGGAACAACCGTGTTCTGCCCCGAGCTGCTGGACACATTGTTGGTTGCTGGCTCGCTTCGCGGCTCATTAGATTGACCCCTCTCTGTCTCTCCTGCACTTGGTGTACTGTTTGGAGCAATGCTCCGCTTTTTCGCTGAATCAAAGAAGCAACAAACAAATTCAATAACTGATAAAGATCATGCCTCACAACAACCAAAACCGAAATGGAAAGTTGCAGAATTGGGAAAAATCAAAGACCTTGAAGAATGGCAGAACAACCACCACACTGATAAACAGGAACATCTTCGTCTTCCTGTAGAATCTTAAAGCACTTGGGGCATTTCACCAACCGGATTTTCTGACCCTTCTGGCTCGCCATTGTTGGTACCAAATTCAATGACTTAACTCTACTTTTGTTTTTTTTGTTTGGTTTTAACTCTACACCTACTTAATCAGAGAATCATCATCAACAGAACCAAGAACCCTAATAAACAGAGAGAGAGAGAGAGGAACCAAAGCAAAAAGATTGAAACTTTGTGAAGTTGTTCAAAGTTTCTAACAGAAAAATTGGAGCGGAGACCAGAGGAAGAAGGTCAACGCGGTGTGACTTTTAAACTTTGTTGAAGAGGAGAAATGGTATAACCCGGGTCTGAGAGCTGGTTACGGATCCGGGTAGAGATGAGAAATGGCGAGAAGCAAAGAGTACATGATTCAAGAAGCCATGATAAAAGATATCAGATTGTGTAAGAAGATCCTCCACAGAAGAAAGAATCAAAGTAAAACTCTTTGCAGAGACTTTTAACTCGAGAGATTGTAGAAGAAGAAAACCCAGAAGTTGAAGATTATATAGAGAGAGAGAGAGAGAATGAGAGAGAGGAGAATTTCTTGTCGTGGGGGCGAAGTAGAAGAAGAAGAGGAATTGAGAGAACAGAGACAAAAATTAAAACCAAATCGTTGGACGGACTGTTTTTTTACTTATGGTTTCTCTCTTTTCTTGTTTTTTGCTCTGAGAAAAGTCTCTCTTTTTCCGTGTCAAAAAAGTTTTTCTTTTTAAAATCTTTTGAGGAATTTTTTGATATCTTTTTTATTCTTGCAAGTCAATTAGAATTTACATGTACACAAAAAAAAAAAGAGCATCAACGACTCGTTCTCTAATCAATATTCTTTCTTAAACAAAACCCAATTTGTTGATCTTTTCAAAATACTGTATTGGCCCAATGTTTTAAAAGAAAGCATCTGCAACAGAGATTTGTTCGAAGAAGTCGAAGAAGATAAGAGAAAGAGTAAATTGGGTTCTCACCTAATAAAATTTTGGATAAGAGTTATAAATGGAATGGCATTGTTAATGTCGGCGCCTGTTTCATTTATTTTGGATAAATTTTTTTTTTTTTTTTTTTTTTTTTTTTTTTGGGATAGAGAAATTTAGCCCCACTACTCTATACTACTTCCATTTTTATCATTTATTGATCCCCATATCCTTTTTTCTTACTTTTACCATTACATTCTTAAATCTTTTCTGACATTGGAAGTTTTTATTTTAGTTCTGTTGTGTGTTTGAATTAAAAGGAAAATAAAATATTAGTATATTACCGTGAATATTGAAAAGAGTTGTGTTCCACATATTTATTTTCGACAAAAAAACTAAGGTTTCCTTGGACCTGACAAAAAGCATAATGATTCTTAAATTTTTCATACATATATCATTGGTCCAATCTAACGACTTTTCATTAACTTTTAATCTTTTATTTTTAACCATACAATTTGAGTCTTTTGGTTCATAACCTTTTTAGGTATGAAACCAGTTATCGATGATTATCATATATAGCACCTACAACGAATTTAAGATCGATAGCAACGTAACAAAATATCAATCTTCAAATTGGTACATAAAGTTATAGGGAACTTTTGAAAAATAAATGAATACAAACAAGTTTTGTAGGGCTATCAAAAGTAGTATTAACTATCTGTATATTACATTATATTTTTAAACAATATGAAACAAAACTAAGCTAATGGTCGACAGACTCGGTCTTTTATCGTGTTGTGCTGTATAGTTTCTCTACTTTCTAGATTATCGTTTTGGCTTTGTGATTCTATAAAAGTCAACCTTTGTTTGTGGTGTCCTATTTCCTTGTAGACTTAGAGGTTACTTCAATATTTGTTTTCTCTGCACAATCCGATGACAACGGGATACGATTCACAAAACAAATCAAATCAAATCATTCGAGTCTTCTTCACATATTACACAAATTCGATTATGTGTTGACTCTTTAATAGAGTCAATAGTTTGGACCACTACATGCTTTATAAATGTTTATTTATATCTCAAATGGCTGTAAGGCTGTTACCTAAAATTCAGGACATGAACAAAAACCATCTTACTAAAAAAAGTCAAAAATAAAGTTTCAAATGTATAAAAGATAATATTGGAGGTCAACTCTCATTTGAAAACATTCATATATATTGTTCTAAATTGATATTATTTTCTATTTACTGTGTTCTCATTATGTTTCGTGAACACATGAAGTTATGGACCTTATGGTATTAAATAGGATGAATTTTCTTTTAGTTTTTGGTTTAAAAATCATTCTACTGATCAAGTTCTTGAAATAATAAAAAATTTACTAACTAAAAAACTTGTGACACCATGCTTATATTCGCACAACGATTGCAAACATAACTGGCTACTATAGACGATTTAAATGATAAGAATATCCAATTCTTCTACCTATGTTTTGGAGTGTTTATATTCTTTTTACTTGAAATTTTCCGATTTATAAATAAAAAAGACAACTCAAAGCAAAAAAACAATTCTTTTACACCTGAGATCTGAAATTCTTTATATTAAATACATGTCTTTAATTAATAATAGATTCCATATGAAAGAATTAAAGAAAGTAAGATAAAAAGGGCCCATAGTAACCTTTTCTTTAGCTATCTTTTAAGATTGATAATTGATTTTGTTGTTGTTGTATCTAACTAATAAAGTTCGTAGCCAGCGGTCTTGCAAAGTCGTTTCACACACACACACATGCAATCACATTTACAACTTTAATACTACCATGAAAGCATAAACTAAAGCAATCAAATTAAAATATTTGCATGCGCGTACATAATTACGCGGTCGAGCATTTATCGTTACATATGGTGATATGGAGGAAAATTTACGCAATGGACCTATCAAAGTATAACTTGAGAATTTTCCTTTTTTTTATTTGGTTACAAGATGAAACAAAGTCATGTTGAAGATGACCATTCCTGATATAGTCAAATCTTAATATAACTATTAAAACAAAAAAAAAAAACAAATAGAAAATCTGTTTGACCAATACACAAAATATTTCACCACGAAATAGAATTGGAATTCGGTAGTATAAAAAACCCAGACTCATTCAACTATGATTTTGGTCATATTATTTCTCTGGTCTAGATTTAGTTTTAAATTATCACATTTTCCACTGTTTTGGGCGACGATGAATTCATTTTTGTGTTCACTAAATTTTTCTAGACAAAACACATAAAGCATGAATAAATGTCCATAATAATTGAGTCCTTAGTATTTCACATTAACTCCAACTTTTGCATTGAGAGAGTCAACCAAATTGAGATATTGGAGGATTAGGTTTGTGTTTGGCTTTTGACTTTTTCTTCTCTCGCTTTTAAACTACTTAGGCTTTACGTCATTATTACATAAGCACAAATAAAAACTCCAGACAGAAACACCTGTAGCTACCCTAAGTTCAAAATACTTAAATAATCACACAAAACTTCATAAATAAAAGCATTTCCGAGCTAGAATTTCATATAAATTCTTACTAAAGAAGCTGAAGGTTAAGGTCCGAGACAGAACATAACTCACAATGACTCAAACATGACAAGACAAAGAAAAGAGACATAATTAGACTGTAACGACTAACGAGCAAACAAATGATAAAGAGTATTCAATCCAAACTTACACGACCATGGTTGCTTGATGTTGCTGGTTATTGCCCGAAAGAAACCTCAAAAGCTGTCTATATCCGCTTTTGTAATGATCCAGAGAGAAACAAAGCTGTCTAATCGCCTCTCGTTTCTCTTCCTCTCCTTGTAATATCGCATTCCTCTGAAACTCTGCTTGCTTCTCCAGTTCTTTAACAGTAGCTCTCAGTTCCTCCACAATGTTCTTAGACACAAGCTTGGTCTGCTTATAGACCAGCTCGTTAAGTTGCTCATCCAATTGCCGAATTTGGATGTCTCTTGAGCTCATCTGTGCTATTATATTGTCTATTTCAGCATAGACTCCATCTGTCTCTGCCATTAACATGTCGTATCTCAGCTTCTGCTTGTCGAAATCTTTGTTTAATGCTTCAATATGCTCACCCTGTGTGGCCAAATGTGTCTTCAATGCATTGTTTTCAGCTTGTAACTCAACCTCTTTTCTCTGCATCTCCATTTTCTCTGCCTCAGAATGCCTTATCTGATCTTCCAATACCTCACAGCGTGATTCGATTTCTCTGACCCGAGCTTCAAAGGAAGTCTTGTTCTCTAACAAACCAGCAATATCAGTCTGCAATTTTGTTATCTCAATAGAAAAACTTTGCTGACAATCACACAACATTTCCCTTAGCTTGGAGATCTCAGCATATGACACATCTAAACAGTCCCTACTTACCTCAAGTTCAGTTTCCAAATCAACCACCTGTCTTTGCACCTGGAGAACTCGCCTTCTCTCAGCCTCAATAGCTATGTCCCTAGTCTCAATTTCTCCCTGAGCAGTTTCAAGCTCAGCACATAGATTCTCGGTAAGCAGAACATCAGATTCTTTCTTCTTGGTCTCACCCTTAAGCTTCTCAATCTCTTGTTCAGATTCTTGGAGCTTCAAACTCGTAGTCCTTAGCTCTTCCTCACACTGGACATATTTCTTCATCAAGTCATCATAACTCATTTGTTTTTCAACAAAGTCATGGCTATCCATTGCCCCTGGTGAAACCAGGTGATGGTTAAGAGATGAGTAAAAGGCCTCTGTTTCCGAATCTAACTCGGAATAAGAAGAGACGGAATCATGATCCATTGTATCAGACTTGGGAGTTACAGGAGGAGAAGATCCATTGTGGTCTGAAACTTGACAATTGATATGTCTAATAAGACTTCTACGTTTGAAATGAAACAGAAACAACCAAGACACATGAATTGAATTATACGATTATACCTGTTGAGATTTCCACAAAAGAATTAGAATTATGTGGTGAATCATCCGGGACCTCAACTGTTGTAAAATCCATCTACACTTAAACGAAAGAAAAGGAATCAAGATCAAGGAAAAAATCAAACTAACGAGAACATGATGATGTAATAGAAAAACCCTATAAATACAAAAGATAAGAGGTTTAGATAAAGAGATATACGAGATATGAAAAGATATTTTTTGTTTTTGTTTTGATACTCCTAAGATTTAGCTATAAGCCTATAACTAAATGTATTTATATTATCTCTAGCTACAACAATTGTCTTTTAAATTTTCCAAAAAACAATAAAAAAATTGTGATAATAAACTATCCTGAAGAGCTAACTAATCGAAATCTCAGGAATAAAAAACTAGGGTTTCGTAAATGTTAAGACTTTCTTCTTCTATGTAACAAAATTGTACTTTTTCACTACATGTAAACAGAAATAATAACTAGTTTGCAACAAGAAAAATAAACTTTTGAACAAATTTGATCACCAGATGAAGAAAATAGAAGAACCCTTCATAAATCTCAGAAAAACAGAGTAAGTAACTCAGATCATAATAAGATCTACAAAACCCATCAACAGAACAAGCAAAGATCTAACCCTGAATTACGTAGGACCAAATAAACATGAGATTCACTGACCTTGAAAATTGATCTTGATCGAGGGAACAAAAGCGCAGATTTACAGGAAAAGTGATGGGGAAACAAAGGAAGGTTTAAGTAGAGGATTCTAGGGTTTGAGAGTTACGAAGCAGATCAGGTGGAAAGGTTTAAAGGGACGACAAAGAAGAGGGAAGATTTGTCGAGTAGCGAAGAGAAAGTGGCGCTCTTTGGGATTCAAATGTTTGCCATTTTCTTCTTTTGTTTATCTGACAGTCTGTTCTTTGCTGCCTAGTGGCCACACATCTCCACATGCACCCGTTTTTAAAGTTTGACCTATTAATTATTGGGTTCGGTTCTATTCAATTTTCTCTCGTAATTAACGTAAACCGAACATATACCAATTTTGTCTGCAAAGTGCAACAAACCCATTTTGTCGATTCTGTTGGGCTTTGATGATACTGAAGTTGGACCTTTGCTTTTTCGGCCCGCTGGTTTTAGCCTATATTGATATTTGATACTACTAGTAAAGTATCACTATCAATAATATATTTTAGACTAATCCGTTGATTAATTAATATTTTCAAGTTTTTTTTTTGTCGGCAAATATTTTTAAGTTTTATAGGTAAGAAAGTAAGCGACGATGAATATCCTTTACCCCACTACTTGTGCTTTGTTTTGTTCTTCACACTTCTATTTTAGTTTAGTATCACTATCAGTTAATATTTTGATTTAGTCACTGTCTAGACTAATTCGATGATCTAATATTTTCCTATAAATTATAAAGATTTATCGGCCATTTTCACTTTTTTTTACAGTCACAGTAAAACTGTAACTAAAAAAAATCGACTGTGGAAGTTGTCGGTGGTGGTGGTGGTTGTTGCTTGGTTGGATTATGATTTGTGACAAATATATTAATATTTTAAAAATCTGGAAGAGTGACGAGCAGAGAGACAAATAGCTTGCTCTTTGCATCTTCTAAGCCATCCAAAGATTCTCCTCTTCGTCTTCCTTACTTATACATATCTCTCTGTAGAGAAGAGAGCTCGGATCCAGAAAGAGAGAGATTCAGAAAGTCACATCACCACTCCATCTTCAGATCTCATGGTAACTCTTCTTCACTCATGATGATCCCTCAGATTTGACTTCCTTTTACTCGGATCTCCTCAGATCTAATCGCGTTTACTGTTTTTGATAATTCCGAGCAGATTTGAACTATTCCGACGTTTCGGTGTTGGAAGCAACTAAGTGACGACGAATGGAATCCGAAGGAGAAACCGCGGTATGTTTTTGACTCTTAGCTTCATCATCATACTTCCTTTATCGAAATCAGGAATTGTAGATACTGAAATTGATTGATTTGGGTGTTTAATTGTGTATTGAAGAGATCTGATTTCAATTTCTCTGCTTAAGAGTTTCTAATTTTGGCTACTTGATTCGACTTAATTGTAGGGGAAGCCGATGAAGAACGTTGTTCCGCAGATTTGCCAGATCTGTAGTGACAATGTTGGCAAGACTGTTGATGGGGAGCCTTTTGTGGCTTGTGATTTTTGCTCATTCCCAGTTTGTCGGCCTTGCTATGAGTATGAGAGGAAAGATGGGAATCAATCCTGTCCTCAGTGCAAAACCAGATACAAGAGGCTTAAAGGTTTACTTTGATCGCACTATTCCTGACTTTTGATCCATTAACTGTCTTCATCGTTCATCGATAGTTTATCAGTATGTTTTGAATTTGTGGTATTTATAGCAATTTGCTAATTTCTGATTCTAGGTAGTCCTGCTATTCCTGGTGATAAAGACGAGGATGGCTTAGCTGATGAAGGTACTGTTGAGTTCAACTACCCGCAGAAGGAGAAGATTTCAGAGCGGATGCTTGGATGGCATCTTACTCGTGGGAAAGGAGAGGAAATGGGGGAACCCCAGTATGATAAAGAGGTCTCTCACAATCATCTTCCTCGTCTCACGAGCAGACAAGATGTAAGGCATTGCTGTTCATTCTTCCCTCTTAACCATTCGCAACCTCCCGCAATTGGAATCTGATTTTGTCATTTGCTTATTTACAGACTTCAGGAGAGTTTTCTGCTGCCTCACCTGAACGCCTCTCTGTATCTTCTACTATAGCTGGCGGAAAGCGCCTTCCATATTCATCAGATGTCAATCAATCACGTAAATATCCTTATTTTCTTACTATCTGGCCAACACATACTCGTACCTAGGCTTCTCGTTTATGCCAAAGCTCTAAACAATAAAATCTGTTGTTGTCATTCACGCTGCAGCAAATAGAAGGATTGTGGATCCTGTTGGATTAGGGAATGTAGCTTGGAAGGAGAGAGTTGATGGCTGGAAAATGAAGCAAGAGAAGAATACTGGTCCTGTGAGCACGCAGGCTGCTTCTGAAAGAGGTGGAGGAGATATTGATGCCAGCACAGATATCCTCGCAGACGAGGCTTTGCTGTGAGTTCTTGATTTGTTATCTCGTTTGGCAGTCGTGGTGTCATGTGCTGCTTCAGGGTTATGACATTGCACAATCAGAGCATCTTCCTATTAAGCAATGTCCTGATGCTCATTTTCCAATTTTATTTGTTGTGCAGGAATGATGAAGCGAGGCAGCCTCTGTCAAGGAAAGTTTCGATTCCTTCATCAAGGATCAATCCTTACAGAATGGTTATTATGTTGCGACTTGTTATCCTTTGTCTCTTCTTGCATTACCGTATAACAAATCCAGTGCCAAATGCCTTTGCTCTGTGGCTGGTCTCTGTGATATGTGAAATTTGGTTTGCCCTATCCTGGATTTTGGATCAGTTTCCCAAGTGGTTCCCTGTGAACCGTGAAACCTACCTTGACAGGCTTGCGTTAAGGTAAATTATAATTCCCCATTCTTCTGAAGCATTATTCAAAGAATTGACTGCCTATAAGATTTCCCATTTAAATTTGATCATGCTCAATTTTGGGACAGATATGATCGTGAAGGTGAGCCGTCTCAGTTAGCCGCAGTTGACATTTTTGTGAGTACTGTCGACCCCTTGAAGGAGCCACCCCTTGTGACAGCCAACACAGTTCTCTCCATTCTGGCTGTTGACTACCCGGTTGACAAGGTGTCCTGTTATGTTTCTGATGATGGTGCTGCTATGTTATCATTTGAAGCACTTGCAGAAACATCAGAGTTTGCTCGGAAATGGGTACCATTCTGCAAGAAATATTGCATTGAGCCTCGTGCACCAGAATGGTACTTTGCTGCGAAAATAGATTACTTGAAGGATAAAGTTCAGACGTCATTTGTCAAAGATCGTAGAGCTATGAAGGTAAGTTTGTAGTTTTAGTCATGTAGTCACCCTTACTTCCATTTTAGTATATGCCATATTGACCTTTTATTTTCTTGCAGAGGGAATATGAGGAATTTAAAATCCGAATCAATGCACTTGTTTCCAAGGCCCTAAAATGTCCTGAAGAAGGGTGGGTTATGCAAGATGGTACACCGTGGCCTGGAAATAATACAAGGGACCATCCAGGAATGATCCAGGTAAGAGAAATTGGTTTAAGTATGGAAATCGAGAAGGCTCTCTCTTTCTCTCTCGATCTCTTCAGAGGTTCATTGTTGAAGTGCCATTTGTTGAATGCAGGTTTTCTTAGGGCAAAATGGTGGACTTGATGCAGAGGGGAACGAGCTTCCGCGTTTGGTGTATGTTTCTCGAGAAAAGCGACCAGGATTCCAGCACCACAAAAAGGCTGGTGCTATGAATGCACTTGTAGGTTTCTGATCTCGGAATTTTGACTTGTTCTTTCTCTGAAATTTTTTTGTTAGTCTAACCTGGGTACTTTTCAAATGAACAGGTTAGAGTTTCAGCAGTCCTTACCAATGGACCTTTCATCTTGAATCTTGATTGTGATCATTACATAAATAACAGCAAAGCCTTAAGAGAAGCAATGTGCTTCCTGATGGACCCGAACCTCGGGAAGCAAGTTTGCTATGTTCAGTTCCCACAAAGATTCGATGGTATTGATAAGAACGATAGATATGCTAATCGTAATACTGTGTTCTTTGATGTAAGTCACACTTCTCTATACTTGCGTCTAAATTTCTGTTCTTTCAAAATGCTTTTAGACACGAATATAAATTAAACACAGTTCCTTGAGTTTTGTTGTAACTTTTTGGTGATATGTTTTCCAGATTAACTTGAGAGGTTTAGATGGGATTCAAGGACCTGTGTATGTGGGAACTGGTTGTGTTTTCAACAGAACAGCATTATATGGTTATGAACCTCCAATAAAGGTAAAACACAAGAAGCCAAGTCTTTTATCTAAGCTCTGTGGTGGATCAAGAAAGAAGAATTCCAAAGCTAAGAAAGAATCGGACAAAAAGAAATCAGGCAGGCATACTGACTCAACTGTTCCTGTATTCAACCTCGATGACATAGAAGAGGGAGTTGAAGGTACAACTGTTTTTATTTTTTCTTTGGTTTTCCGTTATACCCGCTGTTTGAGATATTGATCCAGGGGAGGGGTTATTTATATTTGACAGTTCATGAAGAGAAGATCTTGAGCAAAATGCTTACGTTGTCTAAATAGTTTCCAGATAGATATCTCATCATGTCTTAACTTATTTGATATTTGTAAAACTCAGGTGCTGGTTTTGACGATGAAAAAGCGCTCTTGATGTCGCAAATGAGCCTGGAGAAGCGATTTGGACAATCTGCTGTTTTTGTTGCTTCTACCCTGATGGAAAATGGGGGTGTTCCTCCTTCAGCAACTCCAGAAAACCTTCTCAAAGAGGCTATTCATGTCATTAGTTGTGGTTACGAGGATAAGTCAGATTGGGGAATGGAGGTATTATCTCATTTTAACTCCTATATGAAACTGCAATGTTCTGACATATCCACTTTGGCACTCACTTTGTTTGTATTCTACGCTGTCTTTCTTCAGATTGGATGGATCTATGGTTCTGTGACAGAAGATATTTTGACTGGGTTCAAAATGCATGCCCGTGGATGGCGATCCATTTACTGTATGCCAAAGCTTCCAGCTTTCAAGGGGTCTGCTCCTATCAATCTTTCAGATCGTCTGAACCAAGTGCTGAGGTGGGCTCTAGGTTCAGTCGAGATTCTCTTCAGTCGGCATTGTCCTATATGGTATGGCTACAATGGGAGGCTGAAATTTCTTGAGAGGTTTGCATATGTGAACACCACCATCTACCCAATCACCT